TAGATGGCTTGGCACGTTGACCATTGTAATGGAATATTCTGACCACTGTCACAGGACACACACTACACTAAGTGCATTCACCCATCAAGCAGAGAGCACACCAATACATACCGTACCGAAGCTACTTTAAAAATACCATGACAGCACTGTAAGCATAGTATCCGCACTCCAGTCCTACTTCAACTTTGTCTTGTCCAACAGAAATAAACTGAACTGAGCTTGAGTGAAAGAAGAAAGGAGAAAACTTCAGGGAAAGTCTCCGCGGTGTACAAAACTTAAAACTCGAAAGATTGCAAGTCATGACCAGTGTCCAAAATCATGAAAGACTCAAAGAGCGCGGTCCGTGACCCGTGCGCTGACTTGTCCTATCCAAGCACGACAGGCAAATGCCCGTAAAGCAGCAAAGTGGCTTGCTCGTCAGCTGAAATCAACCTACTATACACAACTACTGGACATGTGTCAATCAAACCCTGTAAAGCTTGGAAGGTCCTCAACGACCTCTGTGGTCGGAAGAAATCGTCAGCTCCTGCTCGGCTCACTGGGTCTGCCCCAATGCCCAATTCAGTTCAGTTGTCATTAATCCGCAATGGCCTGACACTCTATCTCAACCTAAGCCTAAGGGACCAAGCATAGCAGATGGCTTGACCCGCTTCGAACCAGCTACATGCGAAAAAGTGCTTACTCTTCTATTGAAGGTAGATGAGAGGAAGGCCACGGGTAGTGACAGAATTCCCTGCCATGTGTTGCGACACTGCACTCGGGTCCCGGCCCCATCACTGACTACCTTGATGAACGTGTCACTGGCCATGGGAAAGGTTCCGATGATGCTGAAATCAGCCAATATTCGCCCCATTTTCAAGGCAGGAGACCCCGAAACTGCTAAGACCTACCGACCTATATATTTGCTTCTGGTTGTTTCAAAGATCCTGGAAAGGTTTGTGCATAAAAGGCTCTGTGCGTTCCTGACCGAAAATGACCTCCTTCCTGCTGAGCAATTTGCTTACCGAGCACACCACTCGACAGAGGACGCAGTCTTGTTGGCAGTGGATCAATTACGCAGTCTTGTTGGCAGTGGATCAATTTTACGAAGCCATGGACCAGCATCTGCATACTGATGTGGTGCTCATTGATATGAGCAAAGCTATCAATAAGGTCCAACATCAGACCTTGCTCCACGATCTCTTCGAACTTGGCGTCTCCTCTACGGCACTGGACTGGTTCGGGGACTACCTCAGCGCATGGCGCCAGTATGTGGTCACCGCAAACGGCACACGCTCAGAGGAAACAGCTTGCACGTGCGGTGTCCCCCAGGGAAGCATCTTTGGTCCAATACCATTCACGATCTACACGAGATGTGTTGCATCAGTAGCTGACCCGGTACGTACACTAATGTTCTCGGACGACATCATGCTGCGCATGAGCCTCGGTAGCGCTCACACCATAAACACCACCCTTTCCGCAGCAGTGTTGACTGTTGCTAGGCTACTCGATGCCAAAGGACTTATCCTCAACACCGGAAAGACACAAGTGCTTGCAATCAGAGCTGGACAGCAGACACACCTCGACCTCCACATTACTTGCACTGGCATACCTCTTGCCCAGACCAGTACGGCTCGCTACCTCGGAGTCACTCTGGCCGAAAACCTCCGCTGGTCACCGCAAGTCACCTCTACCGTCCAACGCACGGCTATGAAGCTGCGGATCCTCCGCCTGATCCGGCACCGCCTAACCACTGCCTAACAGTGCGGCAGACTATGCTGTATTACTCTGCCCTTATGATACCGGACATTCTACATGTATATGCATCGAATGTGCTTCTCCCAGGACTGTCTGCTCGGTAGTGGAACCCAGTAGCCAAAATTTGACAAACGCTGCATCCGTCGCGTGGCTGATGAACACCCACTAATCCACACTCTTCCCCTGTACACCAAGCTGGGTGTGTGCCCAGTGCTAGAATGAGGGGAATGCAAGCTCCGACTCCTGACATTTCGAATTCGTTCTGGAATTGTCAGTGAGCTGTTGTCGCCCCTTATTGTCTTGCAAGGCCCACCGACAGGGATGATCACTCGAGGTCAGTTGGGACGCAACCCTTCCCTCCTCCTGGTTCACAGTGCTTCTGGCTCATGCTGACCGCTGCAAGCCAGGTGCCGCCTTTGGAATGCCCTACCCAACTGCATGAAGTGGATCATATCTGCCCGCAAGTTCAAACGCATGCTACATGTACCTTACTTCGATTAAGTGCAATGGTTTTAGAAGCCTGCTGATGAAGCTCGAGTGAAGCATGCTTCAACTACTCGACTTTTATTTAAAATTCGAGATCTCTTTTCTGCTCGTTTTAACCCTGCCTCTACTCATTGCTACTTCCATTTCTATTTTATTTTTTATTCATAAGTCGAGGGAATGGAAAGGGAATTTTATACGTAAACTGCCAGGGGCATCGGAAGGTATTTTAGTGTGGTACGGTCAGCCATATGAAGTACAATTTCCTCGTGTGGGGGGGGGGGGGGGGAGGGGTGGCTGAGCCGAAAGTTTTGGAAATTTAGAGCCCAGATCAGTGCATTTTATTGATTCACGGGGTCCCTGGGGCAAAAAGTGGTACGGTCAATACCGTAGTGACCGTACCGTGTCCGACGCCCCTGACTGCACACAGTCAGTACAGTCAGTATCAGTAGGTCTTTATAGAGTTGCGCTCACTGAAATCTGACCCGAAGTGCAAAGCTTGCGCCCTCAACTGGCACGGCCCTTGACACCCTGGAAGTGGCACGAATGCGGCTGGACGTACACATGTACAAATACAATGATGTAATCAGAACTGGTCCAGGGCGCCAGCTTTGCACTTTGGGTCAGATTTCAGTGAGCGCAGGTGTACATACCGGTATGCATGGCCAGACGAAGTGCATCTCAGTTTTGGGCGATAAAAAGCGAATCGCACCCAGTCAGTTTTGATTCGCAAACTGCGATACGAACCCGGATAAACCGATCTCTGAATGCCAACTCATGCTTCGAACTATAAACACCAGAGCAGTGTGGAGCAGACTAGGGAAAGTGCCACTATTGTAATGTACAGGGAACACACAGACAATAACTTACTTGTACTTGCAGTGATCGGCGAGGGAGATTTCACCGGCTGGAGGTTTGCCAAGAGTGTCCTGCGAGCAGAGAATGTATTCCACACAGCCATCACAATCACAACTTGGCCAGCCGTCCTGCTTTGCTAGACAATAGGTTACAAGATACTGTATCACATATGGTACGTAAGCATCAGTGCAACAATGACAACAGCAGCAAGCTGAGAAATGACCCAGAAGCAACAAGACCATTTCAATCAAACGACTGCATTAGCAGTTATACCAGCAATGCCGGGAAAAGACACTAAGTCTACCGTGATGAAGAATCAGCTACTGTAGCAGTCACATTGCCGGTAACCGGAAACTTCAGCTGCCCCCAACTCCCCCAACTCTCTTGTACAATAGGTCATTCTAACAATGTAGCCATTGTGTTGCCCACCATACACCATAGCCTTACCATAGCCTTACCATAGCCTTACCATAGCCTTACCATAGCCTTACCATAGCCTTACCATAGCCTTACCATAGCCTTACCATAGCCTTACCATAGCCTTACCATAGCCTTACCATAGCCTTACCATAGCCTTACCATAGCCTTACCATAGCCTTACCATAGCCTTACCACCATAGCCTTACCATAGCCTTACCATAGCCTTACCATAGCCTTACCATAGCCTTACCACCATAGCCTTACCATAGCCTTACCATAGCCTTACCATAGCCTTACCACCATAGCCTTACCATAGCCTTACCATAGCCTTACCACCATAGCCTTACCATAGCCTTACCATAGCCTTACCATAGCCTTACCATAGCCTTACCATAGCCTTACCATAGCCTTACCATAGCCTTACCACCATAGCCTTACCATAGCCTTGCCATAGCCTTACCATAGCCTTACCATAGCCTTGCCACCATAGCCTTACCACCATAGCCTTACCATAGCCTTACCATAGCCTTACCATAGCCTTACCATAGCCTTACCATAGCCTTGCCATAGCCTTACCATAGCCTTACCATAGCCTTGCCACCATAGCCTTACCACCATAGCCTTGCCATAGCCTTACCATAGCCTTACCATAGCCTTGCCACCATAGCCTTACCACCATAGCCTTACCATAGCCTTACCACCATAGCCTTACCACCATAGCCTTACCACCATAGCCTTACCACCATAGCCTTACCATAGCCTTACCACCATAGCCTTACCATAGCCTTACCACCATAGCCTTACCACCATAGCCTTACCATAGCCTTACCACCATAGCCTTACCACCATAGCCTTACCACCATAGCCTTGCTTTACAGTTTTACTGTGCACCTGGACTAAGTTCTGCTTCCGTGGCACTTGAGCCTTGCCCGCCGCAGTGCACTGGGCTATATACCCTTTGTAATTAATCTCTTCACAACCAGGACCAATCGGGGTAGCTGTAGAATGCTGTCTGGTGATCATTCACTCAGTCAGCGCGGGGAACGTAGAGCTACAGCAAAACAGCCTACCTCCCGTCCTGTCCTCCTGCTTCCTGCTTCATGTCTCCTGTATTTCTGAAATTATCTCCTTACATAGTTTCAGTAGGCATCTACATTGCAAATTAACGAAATATCAAACTTCGTTCATAAGTTTGAGGGCGTTGAAAACGGGAAAATCAAAATTTGTGTCTACTTTGAAGTCAAAACAACATTGTAAGCAGCCAACAGCATCCTTTACACCGACGTACAGCATCTGATTTCCATGCTTGGTTCTTTGTATATGCTGCATCAGCATACGACGGATTCTGTCGAGCATATTTCACCAACGGATCGCGTTCACTGCTAGTTCTGCATAGCGAAGAAGAGAAAAAGAAGGAAGGGGAGGGGTGACATGTCAGTGACACCTGGCAGGCAATAGATATGAGCAGAAGAGCACTTTCAGGCTCTTATGTCCTGTAAAACCATTCCACACAACCAAATAGCAAAGGCAGTTTCCCAACACAGACATGAGGATTACCAATATTCACCATTTATATAATATTCAAAAGAATAACAGCTACATGTTACTAAAAAAAGTATTTAAAACCTGTTTGGTACTTCAAGTAGTTCTCCTTCCTTCGAAGTACTGGCTTTCAATGGCAGTGGGATCTGCCCAAAGACTTAGGCTGCATGATATGGTCATAGATAGAAACAAGATAAATTCACAGTTTGTGCGAGATTTGCTAGAACCGAGTTTTCCGCATCCGTAGGAATGCCACCACCCGTAAGGACTAGGGCCCAATTGCAGCTCCTAAAGCGATGGGAGGATAGTAGCAACCAGCCCTGAAAACCACACAGAACTATAATTATCGTAAAATCATGCACATCACCAGGCACCAGACTATAATGTTACCGTGAACCACGGAAGAACGCCTTTGACTTCTTCTTTTTCCACGGGAATTCCTCTGACTTTCTAGAACCGAAACAAAAGCACACACAGAAGAACCAATAAATCGCCAACGTCGACATGTAAAGCCAGACATCCACCTAGCAGTGAGCACAGTGCCAGGCTGAGCACCAGCAAAACTACCAACTTGAAAATCCACCTGAAAGGGTACATGCTTGTTGCAGCATCACCAGCAGACCATATTAGCTGTTCTTGCAAAGAATGCGGTGATAGGATCAAGCAATGAAATCAGCCAAGTCCAGAAACTGAAGATAGAGGTGCAGAGAGATATGGGAAAGTGTTGCCACGGCAAAGTGCATGAGAGGAAACCAACTAGTCAACAAATGAACTGCATGTACTTGATCCAGCACATTTCCATACTTTCCGATGACTTTGCGTTGCTCATCCCAACGGCCAAGGCCCTCCGGATAGGTTTTCAGAAAGGGACCGCCACTCCAAAACGTCCATGCTGGGTAGAAAATGTCCACTTCATTCGGCGTCTGGAAGGGTAAGAGAACAAGCAGGGAAACACCCAATCCAACTCTACACACCATGTGACAATGTTTGTACTATGCTACTAGCACTGGGGAACGTTATCTACCAGAGGTATACTCAATCTGCGGACAGAACTGTTTCGTCCTTTGTGGACTCATCAGCGCAGCACAGAGAAAATGAGGCCAAACCTGATCGCAATGAAAACAATTTTTTCCAAAGTCAGATTTAAACCAGACCCGAACGTACCTTACCAGAGGTACTGTAGAACGGGTAATTTTAGCGACTATTAATTTTAGCATTTTCCCATTGTCAACCGGTTAGCGACGTTTTATTTTAGCGATTTGCAGCGATTTTACTCGCGGATCACCAGTGCACTACTAATGTCTCAACGGATTAGCGACTTGAAACTTTAGCGAAAATGAGTCGATCGCTAAATTCACTAGGGTTTTACGTCGCTAAAATTACCCGTTCTACAGTATTTAAATATGTACTTTGAATACTTTGAAGTACAGTCAACCTCATGAATAATGACCTCGGGTATAACAGCAACTTCTGGATAACGACACAATCTTTGGATCTAGTGACCATTTGACTACATTCTTTCAAGTTTCAACCTCACAAGTAACGACAACTCGCGAATAACGACACATTCTCGTGCACGATCGGGGGTCGTTATTCGCAAGGTTGACTGTAGACTACTTTGCCATGCAATGCCACTGTCGGTGACAACGCAGCGGGAGTCTGGTTTGTACTTACACGGCTGAAACTGAGAATCGGCGTCGGGTCGATCCATTTGTTAACCTAATACAAGACAAAAAGAATTGAATGAAAACCAAGAAAGCAACTTAAAAAAAAATACTGCATGTAACTTTCAAGATTCAATAGTGGCAGCCAGAGGTAGCCTATCAGCCGTGCGGTTGCATAAATATATTTGTATTCCAACTCTACTCCTTTTCTATTTAACCCCCGTGACCAAAGGAAGTTATTTCAGGACGAACTGCAACTACACGAATAGAGAGAGAGAGAGAGAGAGAGAGAGACACCAAGAGATAGATTCAAAAGTTCGAATCAAAACCTCCATACCATAGGATAGTCTTGCGTATTGATGAGTAGCTCCATGTCCGGTAGCAATGGGAGAAGCTTCAAGAGGAAGTGTTCTATACCTACTGACCTGCAAACAGGATACAGAATACCAGGAGTGCAATCAAGCCAGGTGTGCACTCTGCCATTAGAGCCACCGTGATCAAATCCACAGTTTATGGGACTTCCACCTCACTACAAGTCCTATACATGTATTACCCCCCCCCAAAAAAAAACAAAATTCACGGCCCAAGGCTTCCTGACAATCACATACAAAAATAATAAATAAACAATGGCAAGGCATTTGAGAAAAGTAAAATTTCACAAGCATTAGCAAGTACGGTATGGGGCTCTGTGCCCAGAGACAGAACTTAGTCATAGAGCATGGAGCGTGGAAGATTCTGTTGCAACACAAAACTTCATGATTCACCAAACACAATTTAAGGGAGAGAGAGAGAGAGGCAAGGAGGCGAAATAATTTGAAGTAATTTAGCACTAACTCCACATACCAGTATATTCATGTGGTGCAAATATGCACATACAGTGCAAAAACCAGCTTCCTTACCAAGAGGTCAAAGCTTGTGTCAAAGTTCCGTTATGAGAACAGGTTCTACCTTTGTAATTTTTCCACAATGTCACGCGAAATGGTGCAGTCGTCCTACCCATATCTTGTTTGCACATTGTGTGGCTTTTAGAATCTAGCTCCAGCAGCGCTGCATGTATTGCTTCTCCTCATAATAATAATCTTTTTTTCAGGATTACCCAAACTCATAACACTCGTATAATCGTGATTACAGAGCTGGCTCTTCCTTTGGGTGAGAGCTGCTGGTGTAGCTTGCACGCGGCCTCAACATATTTTTCTCTGGTGTATTGCATGCGAAGTGCTAAATTACTACCAATTCTTCCATCGCCTGGCCTCACTATTGCTTTATGTTAGGGCTCCTGACTTTACCCACCAGTTGACTGATTATGGTACGAAACTCCGAGCTGCAACGGAACTTCCTCCTCCACTTACTGTGTTAATTGTTTTGCGAGCTCACCAGTGGTGATCAATCAACAAGACTACATGTACATGAATCATATTCATTAGTTGAGGGAGTTGAACTACATTATAGCCATCAGCTTCTAAAGAAAGCAAAGTTTGTGGATATCCTTGAAGTATCACAGACGCACTCACGGTCCTAAATAATACCATGTGAACCAAAGCGATGGGAAGGATTTCAGTTGCCTCCTGAGTTGAAAAGGAAATTCAATGCACAAACCCCACGTCCTGTTCGTATACATGCAGCATAACGATATGAATGCATATCTGGATCATGCTACACAATACCTTGGCTGGAACATAGAGTTTTCTTGCCGGTACAGTTTGTGACCAATGATCTGATAGTGCACCACGCCGTTCCGGCGGTCCTTCTTGCCCCGCTCAAAGTCCTCCTGCTTGATGCCGCCTCGGTCACGCCATGGCTTGAAATCAGCATCCAGGACAGACCGGTAGCAACCAGAATTCTGCACAAAACCGAGAGAAAGCCAGGGCCGAGTTGGTGGCAGTATTTAGACAAACACAACTATGATGTCTCACTACATGTAGCTGCCAGCATCTACAGGTAGGTACAATGCTACACATAGTGTCCAATGGTACATTCGTCTCAGCTTTCTCCACTTCCAAATTTCATGAAATGATGCAATCGTCAAGAGACTACTGTACTCCATAGCCATTTCATGAACTTTGGAGACAGACATGTTAGTGATAGCTATTTGCCTACTGTATTTTGTAATTTTGTTGTTGTTAGCCATACAGCACCACACATTACCGTTGATCACATACTTCACTTGAGCATTCCTCGTAGTCGGTCACGGCATCCTCAATGTGCTTCAAGTACTTATCCCACTTGGCTGCACCAACAAGACACACAGGAATACAGTCACAATCATGATCTACTCATATGTGCAAGCTGAGACCCCGGAGCAATGGCAGCAGACATTGGAGTGCCCAAATTGACAAACAGCAAAACCTACTACCGTAGTAGCACAGGACAACAGCACAGTTAGCTGTAAGCGGCCAAAGTGCTTTGGTACATCCGAAATCCTGTTTGAAAATTCCTCCTTCGATTAAAGACTGAAATCGGAGAAGCTTGAACTTTCTTGGGCATCCCTAAACGCATGTGTAAATCATGTACAGGGACATTCCAAGAGTACATAAGCTCCCAGGGAGGATATATACTCTTGGCCATACTATTACTACATGTATTGTGTAGTAACTGTATAGGCAAGTCTCCTGAACTTTGATTCCTGGAGAGATAATTATATCGGAGGTAAGCATGGCGGCGGGTTTAGATTTCAACTTTTTTCCTCCCTACATTTCCCACACACACACTTTGACACAATTTGCACCACTGGTGAAGGTTTGCTATTGCCAATTCAGCGTGCAGGTGGCTCTCGTCAGCCTCCTTAACAGCCAGAGGCTGCACCTCCTGCATATAATCCTGCATATAATAACATCAGTATTAGGATATAAGAACGTGGTGCAAGTTTTGGCAAGAAGAAAGCGCTTAGCTGTAAAAAAGAAAAGAAAAAAGGAATACTGTCACAAGTTGAACCCGCCAAAGCAGGAAAATGGGCAGCAATGCCAATTTCATTTTCATTCTTTAATATTTCTTGAGTGCACTCCGTGGCACATAACGAATATAGCCACTACAAGGAATTGAGGGTGAATCCAACCGTAACTCGGATACTGAGTCAATAAGAAATATAAAATAGAAGAAAAACACACGGGAACGAGTTATGAAGCAACTATCCACGACTGTAACAAGATAATAAGCAGTTTTACAAGCCAGAAAGTGCGATAACACTAACAGGGCACACAACTGACAGGCTACTGAGACATTCACCGGCCTGAGACCTAGCTCTAACACATCTCGTTCAGTGTTGAATGTACCCATCGGTCGTTGTACTGTCACTGTGTCAGCTTAGAGCTGGGCACTCAGTCTTCTTCTCTCAACTGACGAGGCGATTGGGGGGGGGGGGGACTGAATGTTGCAGAGAAACGGAAAGTAGTTTTCCTGACCTGGGTCATGGCTGGATGTGTTTGCCTCTTCCCTTCAAGTAGCTCCCACCCCGTCTCTCTTACTCACACTGGTGACGTGTCACACATGCATACACACTGGTATCAACCTACACATTACATAATCCAATACTAGTATTAGATAAACGACTGACGTTAGGAGAAGTCTAAAAACTCCCCTAGCATAATGAGGGTCACTCGGAACCGGGTTCAACACCCATAACTCATAACGGCGCGTTCAGACTACCGATAAAAAGTGACCGATTGTGAAAGTCGCCAAGGTGATTTGATCACGTGACGTTACTGGCACGTTACCGGTGGGAAAGTTTTACTGCCGCGGCTGCTGCGGCAGTAAACTTTTACCGGCAGTAAAAAAGTGCTCAGGCTGCATGCGCGCTGCGAAAAAAGGGAAAATCCCTTGTTCGTGCCGCGGTGAGAGCTGAAAACTTCACGGTCACGTTAGTTTGTTATCGGTAGTGTCAAGAGTACATTATTATTATTATTATTATTATGACGGATAACCCAAAGGCAATGGTACCTAAATCAGGGGCATAACTACACAGTGTAGTTATGTACTCTTGGTAGTGTGAATGTCCTTCACGGTTTATCGGCATTCACGGTTTGACGGGGTTCACGGTAGTCTGAACGCACCCTAAGGTTCAGATGGTCCCAACAGACCGGGGCTCTACCAACCGTGGATGATTGTAGTATGGTCACTGCTTCCGAACACAGACAGTGTCCTCCACCTTGTTTCATGCTGTCAACCTTTACATGTACATACCTGCAAATATTGCGGCCAACACATGCCAAACATGAATACGTCGTGCAGATCTACGACAAGTACGAGTAGTCTACTACTACTAGTACTACTAGTATACTAGTAGATACGACTGATGTGACCCGACTAATTACTTGCAGGCCCAGCGGAACTAGTCCGGTTGGTCAGGCCATGGCCGGACCAACCTTTTGGCCACCATGTACCAGCGTGTGTTTACTGCTGAGCAGGTCTTGCATGCCCACTACTGCACTAGGTCAGACACAAAGCAGGACAGGATATAGGGCATGGCCGGACCAATCAAAAACTGCTTCCGCCGGTCCTGACTTGGACTTCATTCAGTGAGCCCCGCATTCTGAAGGGAAGACTGCCAGGACGGACTCCCGGGAGAAGGCGTTTTGTAGATCTCCGCAGATGACACTGGATCACCGTGACATCGCGGCAAATCAAGTCACACTTCGCGGACTGGTTGGTGGAGCCGGGACACGGAATGAAACCAGGCATAGCATGGGCATGACCATGATCATGATGACAGACATGATTCATGAAGGCGAGGTAGATCAATGGTCAAGTCACCTGGTCAGGACTAGTCCGTCTCGAACTTCTTCACTTCAGAACGCGGGGAGACCAAGTAGTGTCGTTGGGTTGTCTTTCTGGGAGCTGATGACTTGTAATCTTTTTACTTCAGATTAGCTTTAGGCCGAAGCGGGTGCCCGCATTGTGACGATAGGCTTGAGCCGACAAAGACTAACAGTTAGCAAGCGGATCGGAAACATCAATGGACGTTTAGGTCGGCGGGCCGCAGTGCGGCCATGTGGTCGACGATTTGGGTTACTCTCTTGTTTCATTTCTGGCTGATTACCGCCAGCCGTGCCCAAGGACGGAGCCCCTATCTAGAAAACGGCACGCTGCCACATTGCTCTCAGCTGCACCGCTGTTCTAGCGAAGGCGACGCCGCAGGGTTGCCTCCACGTTTGAATGCTAACGTAGGACCTACCCTAGCAAGCATCGCGCTGTGCATTCAACAATCTGCTTCGGCTGGATTTCGTGTAGACGCGACATGGCCGCAACTAATTCCTCCCGTCCGAAATGTGTCGACTGGCAATGGGATGGAGAAGAAGCTACCGCCCACAGTTCTGGCTTTGGTACGTAACCATCGGCGCCTTGCACCGACTGGAACTCATTGCTCCGAACCCCTAGGACTGACTGCTGCACAAGAAGCTTTAGTGATCATCTTGACTGCTGCCAATCTTAGCTACGCTGATGAATTGCACTTGTCTCAGGAACGTGTTGGTTTGGAGATCCGTGACACATGTACATCAGCTCTTGCTACATCGTATCAAATCAGTGATGTTGCCCGGCAAGTCCAGTACACATCGGAAGCTGCACGAGAGTTTGGCGTTGTTCGCCCCTGGATAACAATCGGGCCGTCGCTGAGCGAGGAAGTTCTTGCTATATCGCCCCAGCTTTCTGCGGGTGAAATTACCCACGTGTCACACCGTGCTACTAGTGATTTGTTTGAGGACAAGAACCGCTTTCCCTACCTGCTCCGCACTGTACCACCGGATATGTACCAGACTCGAGCCATTGTGGATCTGATCGTGCAGCAGCGCTGGTCGTACATCGGACTAGTGGGGTCCGGTGATACGTACGGTCTTGGAGGTTTGGACGGCCTGCGAAGCGAGGCGACCGAGAACGATGTGTGCATCGGCCTGGAAGAGTCGTTCTCGGTGGACATCAGCGATGTAAACCATATACACAGCATTGTGAAACGCATCGCTAACGATCTACAAATGAGCGTTGTTGTCATATTCGCACTGGAGAATGATGCCAGGCATTTCCTGTCTTGTCTTCTTGCTACAAACATCTCACGCGATTATACAATCATTGCGGGTGAAGACTGGGTGACGAGAATCAACTTGCATGACATTGCGTTGAACCCCAAATGTGCCGAGAATACATCCGCCCCTGCTCCTAGCTTAGAGGACGTGCGGGAACCGCATGTCATAGGTTTCTTTCCGAGGAGTGTTGGTCTGGAGGACGTCATGGATTCTCGTATCAACGAGGTGTTCAGTGAGCAAATGGCCCTCATCAGCGCGCGCGTTCCATGGCTGCCTGCCTATGTGGAGCGGCTGGCTAATTGTAGCGTCGCACGTGGCAATGGCGATGGAGGTGAAGCCAATGTCACCTACTCTAGCCGTAGTACTTGCAACTGGCCCAGTGCTGATGCCGCCATTCACTTGCGCCCGCTACTCTCTCTTGTCGACACAGTCCTAGATAGTGTGAACACCGTGGACCAGGGCGCTGTGTTTAAAAAAGCAGCCGGCCGCTCAGTGCCGTGTTCTGCAGAAATCGCCGAGCTACTGCTGACAAGTGGGGAAGACAAGACGAATTGTTCGGCAGAAGACGTTCCGTGTTGTCGAAAGTTCACGGACAACCTCAGTGCATGGCCACTGTATCATCTGATCCATGCCACGCATGTACCTGCAAGCACTGGAGACATATTTGAGTTCATCGGGACCTGGCAAGGCATCAGTAAGTCAACTCCCCGTCTCAATATCAACGAGACGAAGTTCAACATGTCCTTTCCCCGTTCTCGCTGCTCTTCGACTTGTGCACCTGGCACTAAGATCCAGCGCAGCACCAGTTCCGTCATACCCTGTGACAGAGTCTGCTGGACTTGTGTGGATTGTCCCAGCCATTCAGTTAGTATGGTGAACAACGATACTTGTGAGCCGTGTGTCCTGTCATCCACACAGTTAACAGTTCCCAACAGTGCCGGTACCCACTGCATTCAACCTCCTGTCATCATATTCAACTACTCGTCCGTGTACGGCATTGCCGCGGCAACCATTGTGAGTGTCGGCGTAACTCTGTGCCTGCTCACAATCGTACTCTTCTGGACCAATCGCTCGGAGAGCGTTGTCAAGACATGCGACCTGCATCTGTCCACATTCATCTTGTGCGGCTTCATCTTGGCATTGCTCTCGGTACTGCTTGCCTTCTTCGATCCGAACCCGACGATCTGCTTCATCTATCGTGTCTTAGCACTGCCCTGGTACATATTTGTGGCAGCGTCGATGCTCTCCAAGCTATCGCGCATCAAGCACATATTCTCGAAGAGTTCTTTGAGACGTGGCAAAGACCTAGGTCTGTACACAACGGTGAAGTTCCATGTCGTTGTCATCTGTGCGGCGACATTGTTGTGCTTTCTGATTGCGCTCACGGCTTCCTTGATTGAGCGGCCAAGTATCGGGTCTCACGTCAAAGATAGAGCTATCTTGTATAGGTTTTGCAAGTTTCACGACAGCAAAGCTAAGCTGCCACCGGGTGAAATCAGTGAATTGGTGTTCGCAATCTATTCCTGCTCGTTAGTATTGATACTGTTCATTACGGCCTTCAAGTCGCGCAATGTGCCGGAGGAGTACAACGAGTCGTATCACATTTTCATTTCCACGTTTGGCTCTCTGATGTTGATCGTCAGCCTGACGATTGTGTCGTTTGTTCCGAACACCGAGTACGTTTAGACTATCCTATCCGCCTGCGGTCTCGCACTGCAAGTGTATATGACCTGGCTTTGCGTGTTTGCACCGCGTGTCTACTATCTGCTTGACCTAAAGCTGAGTCCAAAGACCAAGCTTCAAAGACGAAGATACGGATCCAGCTCGGTGTCGTCTTCACGCAGTATGAGCATCAAGAATCGCCTTGACAAAAGAACATCGTTCCACCTGCGGCGCATGGCAGTTGACTTTGGCAGCCCAGATACGTGCACGAGTAGATACATAGATGGCAGCACCTCCAGTGGTGTGGGACTGATGCCGATTTCGGAAAATAACTCCTCAACACGTAACACCAGCTCGTCGGCCCTTGTGAATGGATTGAGTGCGAGTGATGCTGCCACCAGTGGTTGCACCAGTGATGGTAGTGTGTGCGCCGTGACAGTGAATAGCTCGCTGAGCAATAGTCGCAGTGACAGCATCAATAGCATATCTTCAAGGGACGAGGTGTTTACTGTGGAAACCGCACTGGACAAGCGGAAAAAGGGCGATCAGATTATGGGCACCTACGAGATCGAGGCAATTTAGCCACGTCAATTCAATGGTCCCCAAGTTATGACTTTCCTCTTGCATTTGTTGAAAAGAGTTGCTTCGAGATTTTGTTGCCTTGGTTTTGGCAGGCCATCATCCTGCCAGGTTTTCTTGATTTACTTTCACTGTATCAGGTTTTTATTTTCAGTTCACTTCCATCCGAACATTGAGTGCAAATTGAGCCATACTTAGTAACTTAGTAATACTGCGGCCTGTATTTTTGAGTAGTAAGCTCTCTCGTCGCGACTTGGTCAAGCACTCTTTCCAGCTAGCATCAAAGCCATCTGCCATCGTGCAAAGCGCGCTGTGCCTCTCGGTGTTAGAGCACTCTGACTTGGATTAACAAAAAAATGCTTTGTTATTCACTATCCTTCACTGTGATCAGTTCAGCCAGTCACTCCACCCATAAAGCCTGGCAACAAGCAGCTGAAGCAGCTAGCTGTCTTGAGAATGAGTAGCCTAAAGCACATAATATGGTTACCCGTTTGCAGACTGTGAGATCACTGCCCTGGCCTGATACGACTATAGTCTATAGTATAGAGGGGCTTGCTCTGCTTCGTGTGAAAACTTGAGTACTGAACTGGAGTACTGTATCAGAGAGTTATAGATGACTCACTGTACAGTATTGTGTAGTAGACTGCGCTGTACATCAGGATCCCTGGGAAGGTATTATAACTTATAAAGGATTATGAAGAGCACAATCATAATTATTTCCCTAAACCAACATTACAATCATCGACTCATGTTCCACCAACCACGCCTCCCTGGTGCGACAATCTCAGTCTCTTCCAGACCACGAGTCCTTCGCCAGATATCCGCACTTGGCCAATCCTCAGCCTACAGGGTGAGCCGCGGAGTCAAACCGGCCAAAGGCAAAGAGCCAAGAAACGCAGAAAAACAGTCGCGGAAAAGATGAGTGAATGCCACGGGTCAGCTAAAAAGACAGTGTAGGCGTGGAAAGGAGCGCTGGCGAAAAGTGACGAGAGAAGGGGAGGGAAGCGGAATGCACCCTCATTTGTATCAACGTGAAAATTCAAACACAAAGGCGACAAAAGCGGATCGGAAACACACTAGTAAAGAGCCGGCGCTTTAAGCGTGGCCAATCCAATCCGAACGCGATTGGTGCATACTTAGTGCAGTAACACTGTGCAATGTGCAAATCGTGTACCTTGCTTCACTGGGTCTAAGCGGCTACGAGGAATAGTGTAACACAGTATGTCGTGGAATCATTCCAAATAATTTAATTTCAGGCAGCTGCACAACACATGTACACGTACTGTGACAATGAGGTCTATGATAAAGCAGTTGGTGACAAAATAATTCAGGTGTCATCACCTACACCTACATGTGTTGTACTGTATGTTGAACTGAGAGATCATAATAATTATATTATCATAAGAATCTGATCAAGCAGGGTCAAACCTGTCAAAGTCACGAAATAGAACGATGAATGGCATCCAAACTTAGAAGAGAAAATTGAGAGAGAGAGAGAGGCTCGACCAAGAGCACACTGTCATATGACGTGGTCGAATAAGCAACATTTCTGAACGCCATCACTGCACTTTATCGCCATCTCATCCTCTCTCTGCTGCCCCGTCAGCAGACAGTGACGTCTCCTCGGTCACGGAATCACTGCTATTGTCACTGAGAGCAGCCTCTTTCACAGGACAACTCCACTCACTAGCACTAGTACCACTGGCTGGACTCTCAATCAAGCCACTGGTACTCTGGGAACTCTCACAGCTACCAATGTACTCCACGGAAACAGGCACAACACTGCAAGTAGTGCTCGCCACCTGGCGAAGGTGAAATGATGTTCTTTTGTCTAGACGTAACGACAGGCTAGATGTCCGTGGGCGCATACTGGACACGTAGGAGTTCCGTGCGCTACCACCACCATGCTGGTTATCCGTGGCATAGAGCTCCACCAGCAGGTGATAGATGCGCGGTGCAAACACACAAAGCCAGTTCATGTAGAACATAGAGAGCAGAGAGGCAACAAACACCACATTCAGGACGTACTCGGCGCTGTCAATGAATGAAATGATGATTAGACTGGACGTGGCTGTCAAAGAGCCAAACGTCGATATGAATATATGGTAGGACTCGTTGTACTCCTCAGGTACGTTACGTGATTTGAATGCCATGACGAATAGAATCAGCATTAGCAGGCACAGGTACGTGGCAATTACGTAATCTCCGACAAAGCCCACAAGGTTGCTACGATAGCGGCAGAACTCATACCACGTCTCCTGGTCCTTGACGTAGTGATGCACAACAGGCCGGTCCAGGAGAGTGAAAACAAGTCCAATTACAAAGCAGAGCAGTGTCAAAGTAGATATTACGGCCACGTGGAACCGCACTGACGCGTACACACCAAGGTCTCTGCCATGGCGAAAGGACCTCTTCGAGAATATCCGCTTTATGCGTGATACCTTGCAGAGCATAGAGGCCATAATGAATATGAACCATGGTGATCCAAACACACGAAGGGCATAGCAACTCGTGGCACTTGGGTTGAAGAATCCAAACAGCATGCAAAGCAATGCTAAGATGAAGCCGCACAAGATGAACAGGGACAGGTGCAGGTCTGACGTCTTCACAACGCTCTGGGAGCGATTGGTCCAGAACAGAACAATGGTCAGAAGGCACAGAGCTACGCCAACACACACGGCACACACGGAAACAATGCCGTACACCGACGAGAAATTGAACACGATTGCAGAAGGCACAACACACCGTGTGCGATTCCCGTTCGGAACGGTCAAGTTTGAGGACGACATGATACACGGCTCGCAGGTATCGCTGTTTACAGCACTCACAGAATGAGCAGGACAGCTCACACAAGTCCAGCATACCTTGTTACAAGGTATGACAAAACTGGTACTGTGTTGTCTTCTACTGCCAGCGGGACACACAGAGGAGCAGCGAGACACCGGCAAGGCAAACTGACCCAGGGTAGTGTTCGGAAACCCAAGCCTTGGATAAACTTGGCTGGTACCTTGCCAGTAGCCGACAGGCTGGAACACATCCCCGTTCTCATCCAACTGGTTGATGTGGATGAGGTGGTATATTGGCCACGTGCTGCCGTTCTCAGTGAAAACTCTACACAACGGCCTATGGTCATCGTCCAGATGGTGCATGCCATCGGGTAGAAGGTCGGCCACCTCCGGTTCACACGGCACCTCCTGATGCTGGACTCTGGCGAGAACATCCAGCGGGTCGGTGACGTTCACACTTTCCAGGACAGTGTTGACAAGAAGGAACAGCGGGCGCAGGTGAAAGGAGGTATTGGGACCGGGCCAACTGCACGCTTTACCAACTGTGCCGCTGTCATGCTGCTTGCGATCACCTGAGCCAAATGTGTCTGAGGTGTACAAGCTACAGTTTGCCAGCCTCTCCACGTAAGCCTGTAGCCAGGGCAGGCGTTTGCTAAAGAGAGAAACTTGCTGACCCAGTGTCTCCAGAACGTGCTGGTTGATGGCAGAATCATGGCCCATCGTGTACGGGAAGAAGCCTAGAACATGTGGTACTCGCACCGGCGCCGTGCCTTTCTGCTCCTGGGTCAGGCTCGTTGAGGTGTTCATCACACACACGGGGTTCGGCGTGAGGTCGTGCAAGTTGATTCTCGTGACCCAGTCCTCACCCGCAATGATCGTGTAATCGCGCGAGATGTTTGCAGCAAGGAGACACGACAGAAACTGCCTCGCATCGTCCTCCAGAGCAAAGAGAACCACGGCATTCATCTCCTCGTCGCCCGCAATGGCGCTCACAATATTCAAGATGTGTTGGATGGCCACATCGTCCGTGCCGGCTGAGAACGACTCCTCCAGACCAATGCAGACGTTGCGTGAAGTTGCCTCGCTCCGCAGGCCGTCCACCCCACCTAGACCGTACGGATCACCAGATCCCACAAGTCCTATGTAGGTCCACTGCAAGTGCACAAGCAGATCCACGATTGCCCGGGTCTGATACAGATCCGAGGGCACGGTGCGCAGCAGATACGGGAAACGGTTCCTGTCCTCAAACGTGTTACTGGTAGCGCGATGTGAAAGATGAGTGATCCGCTGTGCAGACAGCTGGGGTGAAGTTGCAATGACTTCGGCACTCAGAGAAGGTCCGATCGTTATCCAGGGGCGAACAACACCAAACTCTTGTGCAGCTTCCGATGTGTACTGGACTTGCCGGGCAACATCACTGATTTGATACGATGTAGCAAGAGCTGATGTACATGTGTCACGGATCTCCAAACCAACCCGTTCCTGAGACAAGTGCAATTCATCAGCGTAGCTAAGATTGGCAGCAGTCAAGATGATCACTAAAGCTTCTTGTGCAGCAGTCAGTCCTAGGGGTTCGGAGCAATGAGTTCCAGTCGGTGCAAGGCGCCGATGGTTACGTACCAAAGCCAGAACTGTGGGCGGTAGCTGCTTCTCCATCCCATTGCCGGTCGACACATTTCGGACGGGAGGAATTAGTTGCGGCCATGTCGCGTCTACACGAAACGCGGACGGTGCCGATCCTGGAGGACATATCAGTGCAGGGTTTTCTTGACTAAATGTAACGTTAGGGCCTAGTTCTACTGCGGGCCGGTGGCTGAAGCACATCGCCGTGCTGTCTTGCCTGGGACATAGTGCTCTGGCACAAGTAAAACCATTGAATGCAAGAATCCAGAGCAAAAGCAGAAGTGCGTTCAAGTCGTTGGCCGGGGCAGTCCAGCGAACGCCAACGACGTTGGTGATAAGAGAAGCCATCGGCCGGATGGCCTCGTCATGGTCCGGGAAAGCAGAGACGACGCAAGCGCTGGGCGCTAGGAACAACTGCTTGGATTTAGAAATTAGTTTACGATGAAAGAATTGCTGTCATTACAATCATGTATCACGATTTAGATTATGACATGAAATCTAGGGGAACATCGCGGTTCTGGACGGGTCTGTGACAGGTGGACTTGCAGGGCGACTCACTCAGACTCACTCAGACGCTCACTGACCTGCTGTCGTGCTGACTGGCACCGTGGTCAGTGAGTCAGTGACCTATGTGTGTAGCCTGTACAGCCTGTACCATGCATGGTGTACTGCTGTGGTCATACCAATGCCGCAATGGTACTTGGTAGATCTACCATGGACCATAGCCTCGCATAGGTGTACTCGCAGTGAACAAGGTAACAACAGTAGTCTTGAATGACACCACTTACAAGGATAAAAGTTACAGTGCAGTGTAGTTATGCTCACCTACACTACACTACATAATACAGTGCTGCTCAATGCAATCCGATCCGGCGAGTGAATGCCACGCCAGGCACTGTGCAGCCCTCGTCCCAGACCTGGGAGCCCCGGAATGTGAACTGGCCCAGGGCGCAAACCTGGTTCACACGATTGGATTTCATTGTCATTATTGAGCAACATTGTAGATCTACCATGTGTACGGGTAGATCTACTGATGGTCTGTCCCGAGTCGGAGCGGCCGCAGTTGGGCCGGTAAACTGGTACAGTCAACTTCGCTAATAACGTCTGCGGATATAACGACAATTCACGAATACTGACAGAATTTCCATGCCCAGATCAAAGTCCCATCTAACTGTAATACATAATAAATAATATATTATTAATAATGAAACGTCGGGTATAAGGACACTTTTCTGATGCCCCGCCGAGTGTCGTTATACGCAAAGTTGACTGTACATGTATTTCATTGTAGAGCATTCAAGTCAGTCTCATGTCAACAGACATACCTGTATTGGCGTTAGAATGTATGCAAAGTTGGATAGGAAAAACACGGCAACCCATGGCGTACACTCATATCTCGCTTATCCGGGCGATCTGGGACTGGGCACTGCCCATAGATTTGAAATCTCCGTCGTAACTCCGAATCACATACGTTTCATTCGGGAAGGGTGAGAGGGGCATACGACTCACTATTCCCACAACGATTGGCGAAAAGTAGTAGTATTGCCACTAAAACTCACCCACGGGGGGGGGGGGGGGGTGACAGGGTGCCCAGTAGACCATGAGACAAGACCATGGTGCCCGTAACTCCAAGGTCCAGACAAGGGAGATATGATGAATCCTTAGCTACGTGCTGAGCTCTAATTCATTATCCAATAAAATCGCAGTGCATCCACGTCAGGGTGGCAACATGATACATGATACACGTACCGCATTCGTCAGCTTTCATATTTTTTTAAATGTTCCATTGATGTGTACCACCTCAGTTCCGTATCCTCATACTACTTGTAAGCACAGCAATATACTGTCACATATAATTCTACTTCGAAGTAGTTTGAGCACTCTCTGTAAAGAATGCTCAGCTACGTGCTGGGCTCTCATAATTTACGACTGTGGTGTGCTGTTGAAAATGGAGTTTCAGGGTAAGTTGCAAAGTACATGATTCGTTACCGGTATCCACAGAGGGCATGCACGGTCAACACGGAGCATGATAGGGCATTGCAAAGTGCAGATACTAGTACAACATACTACTTGGTGCATGTTTCTGTGCACTTATCGTAGCTGCTGGCTGGCTACAGTGGTGAGGCTGTGATTCTGAACTTACTTGATGGTCTGACCCCGTCAGTATAGCAACCCCTGCGCTGTGCGGCCACACCCCTACACTACATGTGGGCTGTGCAGCGAGCATGGCTCTGATGACAGCATCCATGAGGTCGAACATTGGTTGAAAACACTGAACATTCGGCTGCATAGCTCGGTGCACAGCACACAGAAAGTCCTGACAGTCTACACGCTGTGCAGTATGTAGTCTCGCGGTGTTTACTTGTAGCTAGCTAAGCTTAGCACCCTGTAGTGCAACAGTTCAACCTTACCAAAGATCTTTTTTGGAGCTTTCACCTTTACCAAGGATATGTCTGAGTCTTGCCGTGGCCTGGATGCCTGGATACCGTGGTTATGTCTACTTCTATATGTCTGACTTGGGATACACTTGTGCCACAGCACCATACAAAGACCACGCGTATCGCTAACCATCCATCCTATTCAGGCATCCAGCATAGTTTGGCCATTCTGACATGTGACCACTTTCACTCCATGAGCAAACCTAATCATCCAGTGATCGGAAGGCGGTGCACAACCGCAAGCACGGAGATCTTATTATCACTCCGGTTTTGACAACTTAAGAGTATCATCACACTATCATGAAACATTGAATCCATTTCAGGCCTGATAAAGCAATTACAAATTTGTCGGCCTTTTTTCCAACCCAGGGCAAGCCTAAACACCTACTCTTATACGTTGTTAACCAGATAAAACGCACCCCATGTGTACCACAAGTACTTCAAGTAGTTTCCGTTGGGATACAGACCACTGATAAATAGAGACACCGACACATTGGTGTTGATAATAGACCCTACCCTTACATCTCAGCAGTCATTACTGCACTCTTGGGGGAGAATGATGTAATGAAAACAGGAAAAAAATGCATCGAGGTGAGTTCTCTTTCAGTACGCGCATGATACTCAGGCAACGGCACATGCATGCACAGTTGTACGAACATTTGCATGACACTGTTCTACAGCTAAACGGCTCAAGATGATGTCATGAGAGGTCTCATGCAAACCATCAGCACAACCATCATTATTACCACATCATGTACTGAATTTAAGGGTGCGTTCTAAAATCCTCTCGGAAAAGTTCGAGGTTCTCCGAAAAGTTGAAGAACTGTTCCTACATTCTCTCTGAAGTTTAGGAACCTCTCCAAAGCTCTCCAAGCTCTCCGAGCGACAAAGGTGGTTAAAACTTGGAACTACTGTTGAACCGTCCCCTTGGAAAATCGCGATTCCGTGGCCGCGACAAATTCCGCGATTTTCATGAGTTTCCGCGAATCTAGTATTTCCGCGGAAAACGTGCAATTTTCTTCATTTTGCCTCAATTTTCAGTGCATCCGTGAGCCCATGTCATGGCCCACACTGTACAGACTTTCATGCATGGTGTGTTCTGTGCGCTAAGCTATGTGTACTTGGTGTATGCGGAGCGTGTGGCTGTGAACTTTTGTTCCCAGGGCCACATTTTGACATCGCACTGTTCTTCGCGCTTCGAAATTTCTTGCTAGATACTCCGTTCACATTTTGTGGTCCATAACTATAGCTGCAAGATACTGCAGTTTCCGCAAATTTACTATATCTAGCCCACATTTTTCACTCTTTTCGCCCACAATTTCTTGCGCAAATTCCTGAGTTTTTCACCGCGATTTTCCAGGGGGACAGGCTGAAAGCCACGTGTTGTTCTCCCCTATATGTTGATCATGAGTGTACACCATTGGTAGGGATGTCAGCGAACGCACTGCGCAGGCCTCTGCGCATGCATTGCGTCATCGATTTTGTCACCATTCCCTTTTCGCATACGCACAGTGCGTACAGTAAGATCGGGCGCCGAAGAACACCTCGCCGAAGAACACCCAGGCTGGAAAACCGCCAAAATTTAAGAACAGTCCAGGCTAGAATTATCAGATTTAAGAACACTTTTAAAATTTGGAACATTGTACATGTATTGGAGGTGAGTACATGTCATGTACACGTGTAAACAGTAACTGCTACATGTACCATAATTATGTACAGTCATTCCCATTTACGACACCCACTAGTTTACTACATTGCACTACATGTACATGACAAACGTCATGACGTCACTCGACTCGCCGCGCGCTTGTGAATAAGAACGGTCTGGCTAGAATCAAAAATTTAAGAACTTTCCTAGGCTGCGCTCGAGCCCCTGCGTTCTTCGGCGCCCGATCTTACTGTACTACATTCGTATCACTCAAGATCGCGGCCACTTTGGCGCTTTGAATGCGTAAAAGATCTCCAAATTCTACAAGACCCGTTCCTAAATTATCCCAGTTTCTTCGACTTCCAGGAGAAATTTCTCCAAGAAACTAGAGAAAAAAAGAAAGCAGTGTTCAAAGCACCCTAAAATTTCAACAAATCAGTTTAAAAAAGCCAGCTTGGGGACCAGGGTACCCTTTCAAATTTTCACAAAAAAATAGTTTGAGAAATGAATGATGGACAAAATGCATGATGTCATGAAGAACAACCAACCTTGTTTTTCAGATTTTCCTGCTGAGCAGCTGGTAAAGAAGCTGAAAACCACCAAAATCCACAGCGCGATCATCTTGTCAAAAATCGCCATCGCCAACCACCTCTCTTAGTATCTATTCTTCACTAAAAGCAGTCGATTGTCGACAACATTCTTGCAACACCATCAAAAATACAAAAAAAAAAAATACTGCGTTCATCACATCATGCCACTTTTCATGTGAAATGCATGGCGACAGTATATACGTACGTACACATGGTACATGTCACAAGGTACAACAACAACAAAAAAACAGAAACAAAATTTTAAAAAAAGCTTGACTTCATCATCATGCACATGATCATGGTCATCCCATGCGCCCACTGTTCACATGGTTCAAGCACAGGGAAATTCCCGCGGAAACTCGACTGCTGATTCCCACACGTGGGCGCAGACTTGGACCGTGAGTCCTTGACGTGGATATGGCGAGCCTGACGATGACGCATCGCCTTCAAATCCACAACTCAAAAAAAAGTGTTGGTTGTTTCTCAGAAGACATTTTCTTTGGCAAACAAGTCACAGCTAGCTACAGGTAGCCTGAGGTAGGCGGTCCTGCTTTTTCCTCGGACTATGACGAACCGGTAGATAATTTCTTGTCCGTCTAAACGCGCTGTCGTCAGCTCAGCGACCTTCCATTTGCTCCTTGTGATCAGGTAGTGCGTTTGACTGCAACTTCTGTTGAAAACGAAATAAAAGGAGCCTGTTATATGTTTGGTCGATGAAACCACTGGGCAGCGGTGAGCGCGTGTATATTCCTGGTCGCTTGTGGGTGACGTTATGGACCTTTACACAACTGATAGCTGGCGTGCTGTGCTTTGCCATCGGGACACTATGGTTACATGATGAACGTTTTGGTAAGCAAGGGATCCATGCCAGTAGTTAAATTTTTTCTTTGACTACAATGTCAATGAGTGCTGAAGAATACGAGAAGTAGTACTACAGTATGCAATTAACAGATAATTACTTTGACTAGCATAGGAAAATCCAATCTCAGATTAACATGCATAACAGGAACACAGGGCAAGGTCACATATATTTACAGTGGAACTCACCTTGTACATACTGTAAAAGCCCGTAATAAGGCCCTGGCAGACACGTCCGTGAAGGTCCAGAACATGGGCGTCAATTTGGGCCCGGGCGTTATTTCGGAAAAGTGAAATGAGACTTGTTTTCAGTTTTTTTTATCACATGCCTGACTACTACACGAACGCACGAGCGTATAAGGTTAGCACAGTGTACTGTCCACCAAATTATACTACAGTGCAGTACCGTACATGCATGTGGAGCTGCACATGCACTGCACTGTGTGCTGGGCCTGTGTTTTTGCCCACGGGCGGTTACACGGAGGTGGGCTAGAATATGAGACAAGAGTGTCACCCCGCGCAGGGGCGCGGACACGGGTAGTGGGCGTTATGCTGGGTGGCTGTAATACGGGCCTTTACGATGCTCTCATAAGACGTACACTTGCTTAGTACGGACATTGGCAGGGGCGCGGGTGTAGTGTGCCATATTGAAGTATGTTGGGATATTAAAGAAGTACATGTACCTTGGATATTACATATACACTCCTGTTCCCCATGTGTGTGTGTCTGTATGTGTATGTATGTGCACGCGCCTGTTTTCCCTTTCCTACTCTGTGGCACTGCATGGCGTCTTGACGTTCACACAACCCTGGATTGTTCATACAGGCACTGCTGGTCTCCCGGTTGCTCTTCAGGTAAGCTACACCAGCCCATCCATTGAGACATATGCACAGCCTGTATCTGTAGATCATACAGGCTACACTACAGCTACTGTCGCATGTATAAGCCGCTCGTGCATGTGAACCTATGGCGTAGATCTGATATCAACAAAAGAAATGCATAGGAAAAGATGTGTAAGGAAACCCGATTTTGCTGAGAAGGCTGTGATGCCGGTGATATTGGTGATACCAGTTTTCGACAAGCCAGAATACTGGAACTACATTTCACATTATAAGCCTGTCTTGTATAGAAGCCTGTCTCATAAAAGCCTGCAAGATTTCCCCGAAAAAGCCGTTTTAGCCGCGGCTTTTATACAAGACCTAACGGTATGTACTATACATTCACCATATGATAGTGGTCCGAAGTACGATAATCAGTGTTGCTTGTATCAAGCCTGGTTCAGTGTTTGTGTGCAAGCTGTTTGAATAGTTCCTTTCCGATCTGAACTGATCTATGCCCCATCCTTGGTTGATTTCTCGTGTGACAACCATAGCGTAGATGCCGGTGTAGTTTGTGGTGCCAAGGTCATGTGTGTTCCCGAGTTGACACAAGGAATTGGACGTCTTTGTATGCGCTTGCATATGTGATGGATTGTAGTATGTTGCCTGACTGCCATTAATTGCCTTGCAATGTTCTACTCTTGTTCTCTGTTTCTTTTTTAGCATTACGAGGGTCTGGTTTTTCTTTGGAAAGTTGCCTGCACTGAGCTGCTACCCAAGCTATTCTCCATTAGCAGTAAGGGTCATGTTAGCAATAGGGAGTTGAATCTTCCATGTTGTGTTCGCTACGTCTTTGCAAAGGAACCGCTACAGCAGATCAAAGTGCTCAACGCATGCACTAGTGTAGTGACTAGTCAGCACAATGGAGGCTCATCACACCTTGATGCAGTGGAAATATCATTAGAAAACTGTCTCTACTTTGCCACAATGCGATACTCGGGAGACTAATACGTAACAGCACATCTAGTAGGGCAGTGCTTTGCACACGACAAATTCTTTAGTAGAGAGGCAGCCAGGTATTGTACAGATAGAACAGAGTCCATAGCATCAGATCTGTTCCATGAGCTTAGTTTTGAAGCGGAAAGCACCGGTTCTTGTAGTTCATCAGACACACAGCACATTGCATTTCATTGGTGGATCATGGATGTGACCGGTGGTCATGCAATTACTTATAAGTATATTAACCCTTTACCATCCGTGCATGCTTGAATCGATCTCTAGAGAACGATGGACATGCATACACTAAAACATTCGTATCCCGATTGATTCTTGGTGGATTAAAAGAAAACTAGAAAGAAGCCGAAGAGCTCAGCTTTCCATTGCATCAATCGGTGAAGAGCTCAGCTTTCCATTGCATCAATCGGTGAAGAGCTCAGCTTTCCATTGCATCAATCGGTGAAGAGCTGCGATGTTGCATTCCAAAGATATTATGCTCGACATTTCAGCCGCGGCAAAAGTCGAATTTCTTTCCGAGTGACTGACCCTGAGCGGGGAATTTCCCCTCTCCTGACATGCCGAGTCACATTGGCATGCTTTGAGCACATGGGCAGTATGAAAAGAACCTCAAGCAAAAAATGTGGAATGTTTATGATGAAGGAGCGAGAAATGGCTGGCGAGGAGAGAGTTGCCTCATATATCCAGCGATGGGGTGTATTTGAAGCTCCTTGGTGCTAGATATGTGATATCGGTAGTATCCTGTTTGAGCTCAATGTACGCAGCTCGTGGAGAGCTTTCCAGAATGCTCAAGATTGTGAAAATTGGTTGATTAGAACAGAAGATATTCTCAGAATAAGGTGAGAATTATTACTTTTGGGACTGCTGGGGAATTTTGGTCGGATGGTAAAGGGTTAAACCAAAGCCAGGACAACAGTCAATACATCATTTGGTTTTCCGTGCCTGTAGTGTAGGTGTGTGCGTGCATGCGTGTGCATGTTTTGGCATTTTCGTGTGCGTGCATGCTCGTGCTGGTGTTGTTGTGTGTATGCGTCTACTTCAATTTGAATTACACTCGGACGTCTCTTATCCGGGCACCTTGGGACCGGGCACTGCCCGTATCTCAGATTTGCCCGTATCTCAGGATAACTCATCTACCATGTATGATATCATTTTTTGAAGAAGTATATTTGGCACGTATTGCACATGTTGAGGATACAAAAGGAACCCATTGATAAAAATGTGGGGATTACACAGGTTGGCAGTGAAACATAAGCACTTCCACATACGGAAAAAAGTTCAAAAAACCCAAATAGGAACTCAAGCTGAAGGTGCCCGGTAGAGAGACGTGCCCGTATCTGAGGCGTCCGGATAAGAGGCGTTTGAGTGTACTGTCTATCTGTATGTCTGATTTTCGTGTAGATGATCAACCCCTTGCTAAACATGTCTTGTCTGTCTTTCTGTTTGTATACAGCAAAGATCATTCACCATGCCCTGCCAGTATGCAGTGCAGGCCTCCTCAGCCAGTTTTTTATTGTGCGGTTGCAACGGAGGTGAGCTGCTAACTCCTAGAGTGTGTATAGAATAGATTGGGTAATAAAGTTACGTTTACTCTGGTGTCATCTCTTCATAATGTTAAGTCGCACGGGTGATTTGCATTGATCATATACCTTACTAACATTCCCTAAACTTCCCCGCCGATTTTTAACGATATTTGTACGAAAAGTGTCATGTAGGTGCAGTTGGCTTTCAGTGCTTTAGAAAGCAAGTTCTCTTGTTTGTTGTTCTTACCAACTACAGACTCCGTCCAGTCGATGTCCTTGTGGTGGTTTGCTGGTTCATCGTCCTTGCTTGCCACTCAGCTGTGCACTCCTCATGGAAGATACCAATGAAAGCAGGACTCACGAGCATGTGAGTCACTCATTTCAGTGGTTCACTTACTGATGTTCAACATGCTTTACACTTTCATTTTGTAAGGTAACGACACCATAGCTTTGTGAGTGCAGATCTTACTCGCTGTGTCTTTCGAATATTTTTTTTCAGGCAATCCTATTTTCAACTGGGCAGCTTCTGCACGAGCGCATTCATTTTCTGGGTCTCATTGGTGGCTCGTTGCTGGAGACATCACGTCATCTCCCAGCACGGGCAGGCGGGTGGCAAGCCGCAGGCCTCCCACCTCAGGAAGCGGTGAGTCGTAGATATTGCATTTCCCAGTCTTGAGTTCTGTGAACGTTGGTGAACCTGCCTTTGCAACATGAGGAGGCATTAGTGGCAGCACTTATCTGAAGTTGAAATTCTTTTATTGACGTACGTTTGCATTCCTTTTCATGATTTCTCCTCGTGTACTAGAGACACTCTTGATACAGTCTTTGCTCATACACGTACATAACTTGTTGTATCACGGGTGGTGCTCGTATGGGAGCACTTCTTTTGTGCTATACACACATGCATGTATTCCTTGTGCCTGTCTGCCTTAGTGCTGCGGCTTCTCATGGTAAATGTCCCGCGGATAGCGACAGTGACGACAGCGACCATGCCCATGCCGACGCTGCTGATCCAACTAACCAGGAGGCTAAAGTCTCACACTTGGACACACATCTGTTCAACATGTCGCTGGGCCCGTCCGGGAATGGCCACTTCAGCCCAGCACCTTCGCCGCAAGGTATGTGTACCAGCAGCCTTGTTCTTGCACAACATTGTTGTTTTCTCCACTTGGTCTTCAGAAGCACATGCCTATGCTTTCGTTATGCAAGGCGCAAACATTTCAAGGTCAACTCATACAAAAGTCGCATTGCAACTGTGTTTCAGTGTATCCAGTGCCTATGCCTTATCCCCATTGAGTCTGTGTACGTGCCCAATCTCCGGATAGCTACGGTATGTCCCTGAGTATAAGTCGCACCTTTTTACACTTAACTTCACGACCAACAAAAGTTATAATCGAGCATGATATACTAAGAAAGGGTTCGCTCCCCACACTGGAGCTCGCGCTATTCCGCTGACTTGACTTGACACTTGACTGACTCACGACTGCCATCCAGAGAACACGGGAAGTCCATCGAACCTTCGAATCGGCAAACCTGCAAAACGCACCACTCCCTGCTCAATACACAGTGTTTCGGGGAATTCACCCCTCATCAGTTGAGCTTGAGTAGGCTGAGGAAGATTGTGCCTTTTGCAGGTTTGCCGATTCGAAGGTTCGATGGACTTCCCGTGTTCTCTGGATGGCAGTCGTGAGTCAGTCAAGTGTCAAGTCAAGTCGGCGGAATAGCGCGAGCTCCAGTGTGGGGAGCAAACCCTTTCTTACAAATCATCGCCGAAGTCGTTACCACTATTTCATGATATACTACTGAGAGAATATATCAAAACGATATTGACATGGACCTGGAAATGGGGTACGACTTACAATCAAGTGCGGCCTATAATCGGGGAAATGCGAGGTGTTTCGGTATTATTAGGTCTCCTTGTCGGAGCTCAAAGTGAATGGCTGGGTAGATTGCATTGAAGGTGTGTGCACTACGAAGCTTTTTCAACAGCTCAAAGTATCAACGTCAGATCGCTCTAGCTGCGAGAAATGCAGTGGGCTTTTGCACTGAGGCCTAAATCCGTCTACACGTGCAGAGAATCTACTGGAGATGTAGTGCTTCAGTGCTGCGTTAGCATAGGATGACTTAATCGTGGGAGAAGCAGTAATTGTATTACAGCCTTCTGAATTTGTTCGAACCTGTGAAACAGTTGCCAATAGTCTTTCCTGCATCTGACACATTCACTTTGCATTCTGTTACTCACTGTATTGCTTTTTTGTGCATCTAGGTTCCTCCTGGCTGGGTTCAGCCATGGATAAAGGATTGTTCCACACCTCGTCCACCGCGAATGGTAATGCCGACTGCCATGGATCACCGACGGCAGCTCGCCGTAGACAACAGGAACAGGATCCGGCATCGTCGCCGAAACCGCTTGTCAGCCCTGCTCGCTTCACGATGCCAGCTGTTACTTCGTCACCACACGGTGCCCACTCCTCTTTTACTTTCTCAGCATCGCCGACGTTTTCACCGGGTGTTTCCCCACCGGTGTCTGCTCATGGCAATCGGTCACAGCCTGCTTCCCTCGATTTCCATGGAGGGCCTCGTCGTCGGCCGCGTCGCAACACTCTGTCCGATGACGAGGATTTCCAGGTGGTGTCCTATGCGGAGCAGACTCTCGTCAGGCAGGACCGTGATTCGAGCGGTGAGTACTAGTAGATGCTGCAGCTGCCTGTACACAGCCTTTGGGCAAGCTGTGAAACAGTTCCATATAGTCTGGTGCAATCTACAACATGCTACGACACGTGTTCACAGTTGTAGTATCAGCTGTTTGCACTCATGCCTGCGACATTGAAAATGAGAACTTACAACTTCAGCACAGGCGTTCACACTTACATGTTTTTGTTGGTCCATGTACGAGTCATGCTTCCAACAGTCCTATCCTTTTATTCAAACACGTTTGGGTGAACTGTTTTGAAGGCGCGTTCTGGTAGTCCAAGTCGCCCTTACATCCACAGCAGTACATAGCCATGTCCACATATATTGTGTATTTTCCATTATCTACCCTTATTACTAGCAAGTGCAGCATGTGTACAGTGCATTTCAAAACTATAGACGCGTAGGGTTTTTGAAATATTTCAAATTTGGTTGGAACTTTTTGAGAATAGTTTTCGGAATATTGCTCAGGATCGCTCCACAATTACTCTCATTATAGTTTCTAAAGGATTGGATAACAGACGCCCAATTTGGAAAAATTTATGCACAAAGTGATCACAGATTTTATGTGGTATAGATGCTGGCATAACGGTTTTTGCCTAGGTGCGCGTCTATAGTTTTGAAATGGACTGTAGCTACATACAAAGTCATACTGTAAGCCAGACACTCATGAATAATGTACATTGTGATGTACAAAATCCATCTTATTGTTCATTCGGATCATATAGTATTTAGTTGTTCTGATGACCGGGGTAAGACTGTACTGAGATGAATGACTGTGTTCCATTTACTGCTTTAGCACGTAATGCACTGTAGCTAATGTACACACTGCAAAAATGGATCAGCAATGCGCATGGCGGCAATGCCAGCGCCCCGTGGCTGCTTGACTTCTCAGCGTATTTTAATGTCCACAACAGTACATTGCCGTGTTATGAGGTGCTAGGGACGTTGTACTGAAGGACATGGCATGCAACTCTGATCTCCATGGTCCTGTACTGTTTCTCCTTGCAGTGGAAAGACCTCAGCGGCCAAAACCGATTGCAACAGCTAAGGTATCGCAGGCCCCAGCCGAGAACGGATCGATGAACAATCACTCCAGCAAAGGAGGTGAGATTGTCTTTGTTTGGCGTCATGTCTACAATCAGTGGGGGGGGGGGGGGGGAATGAGCAGTCGGTGTGGTTCCAACTTTCAGAAGCTTCCTGTGTACTCTATATTTCATAAGCAACATGATATTCGTAAACTGTGAAGAGAGCATTTTGTAGTCATCGAATTTTCATGACATAAGTGTATGTAATTGCGGGTTGCTACATGTAAGGTTGAAACTGCAGGCTGACACTGAAGCCATTATGGACAGGCCAAAGCGTACTCTACTCTGATTTTGTGGCTGTGTCATTCACTAGCATTTCCCTTTTCTGTCGTTTCTTATTGTTTATGCTTTCCTGATAGGCCAGGAGAAGAAGTCTCGACTGTGGGGGATGTTTGTGTTCACTTGCCTTGCTGTTAGCATGATACTGAACATTGCTTTTCTTTCCTACCTATTTCTCTGAATTATGCAGTCCATGACAACTTATGAAACTTTCCAGATAGACTCTGTCATGGTCTGTGCTATGTTTTTAGTTTCTTTTCTAACTTGACTCTACAAGTGTACAGTCTGTCAAAATCCAGCTTTCGTATCCAGTATGTCATTTGCGGCACTGGCTTGATTTGAAAAATAATAACACCAGTTGGTATAAGAAATACCTGCAATAGCACTGTTTGTCAAGCTCTGTTGAAGTACTTGCCAGTGAAATTTGACCTCATGGAAAAAGTAGTATTGCTGCTACCATAAAATCCTGCCAGAGCGCCCCTCCCTGACTTCTTGTCGGGGGAAGTGATTGATTGTATCCTCGTATGACTCTGTGATGCCGTACTGCAGTAGTTGAGTGCTAGACCCAGTTGGAAATGTAGGCCACAATGCCCACCCTCTTGACCAGGGATCGCACAAACCCTGAGTTTTGATTGGTCTGTGCCACTCCTGGCTCTTGACCTTTGGTTGGTGTACGAGATGCACGAACAGTTTTCGTCCGGTGATTATACTTTTTCATGTAGTACTGAATGCGGTAATTAGGACTCGCCTATCCGCCACTCCCACCTGGACCTACAGTCAACTTTGCATATAACGACACTCGGCGGGGCATCAGAAAAGTGTCCTTATTCGTGCAGTCTCATTATATGTAAACAGGTAGATGGGAATTTGCTCTGGGCATGGAAATTCAGTCGTTATTCGCGAATTGTCGTTATATCCGCAGTCGTTATTAGCAAAGTTGACTGTTACTACTAAGTAGTCTGTACTCAAAAGGTGGCAGAGGTAGGGACGCTCTGGCGGGGTTTTACGGTACTAGTAAGTACAACTACTTGGAAATGCATGGACACCTTCATACGAAGCCCAGTATATCCCGAAGTCAAATTCACTGACCAGTACTTGCGCCATTTATTTTATAACATGTATGTATAACTCGTAATCACAAGGTGATCGTAGAGGCATTAATCAGCGAGAATGATGTCTCTGAATCCAATTCTATCGTGTGCTGCATGAGAGAGAGCATGCAAGGGAAGACTCGTAATATGTACAGTCAGAAAAGATGAGCGCTGGTTCTGGAGAACTCCCGTACTGTATTTGGTGATGTTTCGTGATTTTGTGGTACACTGTGCAGTGCCGCGAAATTTGAAACTTGAAAAAGGGTCTAAAAGGTACCTCAACACTAGGGTTCGAACCAGGTATTGTACAACTCCCTGGTTTGAACCGCAAATGTACCGTCATGCAAGTGGAGTGTTTCCCCAGTGCTTTGGGGGAAAACCTTGCCGGAATCCTATTCTTGTTATGGCTTGCTCTTTGGAGAAATAGACTTCAAGGAAGAGCATTCCATAGGGGATTGCCAACCAAATTGTGACAAAACTCAAAACTTGACCCATTTATGGGAAAACCTAAGATAATCATCTTTTTCTGAATGGACTGCAGGCCAGGGACTAGACTGAGGGTGGTACATGTACATTATACTTGGGGGGCGTTCGTTTTTGATCTACAACTACTTCTTTCGGTAGAAGTGTTCGTTTTTCTACTCCAAAGGGTAGATCCTACTTTCGTCCGCCAGGAGAAAGTAGGCAGAAGCCGGTAGAAGTTCGTGAGATTGACAGCATGAAACAAGGTGGAGGACACCGTGTTACTGTAGTAAGGTCATGGTGTCCTCCACCTTGTTTCATGCTGTCAAACCAACATGTGTGAACTAAAACAAGGTTTATCTAAGTAGAGGTACGGTATTTCCAGCAAGATCAAGGAGTTGTAAACAATTAGTACAACTCCATACAGAAGAGAAACACTTCACGTACATATCATGAAAAACTACTAAATCCGGTAGAATAACGTTCATGCCCTTCCTCTACCATCTACCTCTATCGGTAGCTAAAAACGAACACAGCCTTGCTTTCACCAGATAGCAGAAGCAGCAAAGATCAGGCGAACCTAAAGGATAGACCCCAAAGATGAGACAGTTGCATGGTTACAGTTACACATACAGCCACAGAATCCCTGTAGTCAAGAATGGTATTATGATCTTGCCACACCCGGGCATAGATTTATTGAATAGATGTTGTCATGAACAGGAAGTCAACGAGCCGGCCGCACATACAAACACAGGGACAAGCACAAAGCGTTAATAATAATATACAAATAGCAGACACGCACCAAACCTGTACTGAGTGGCCTATGCGTAAGAAAAAAATTAAATGAGTCACGTATGTCATGCTGATTCATCAAATCGGGGACCGAGCAGGGAAGAGTATTGTACAGAGAGGAGGACATCAGCTCAGTAGAGTATCATCAGCATGAAGGAGGCGGGAGCGGACATGGGTACAACCCAGTCATAATGAAGAAAACAAAATCGTCTAAAATGAGTTCTAATCTGGATATCTGTTCATTCTTCTTTCCGTGGAGCCCGTTGTCTGGGTGACTTCCTTGGTGATGCAGATGCCTTATGCACTGTACAAAAAGAGGATACAGAATAAAACCAATCCCTCAAACCAATGACGACAGAATAAAAGTATAGAAAAAATTGGACACATTGCACCATGGATTGGTATTAAAAAAAAAATTATATTAGGTCCATGGATTATTTTCAGTAGCAATGCCCACACACTTACCAGCAATATTCTGGGAAGGAATCCAGTCGTAGTCAATGTCATCATCACCGCGAGTACCCATCTCCATAGCCTGTGCTGGTGCACGCTTCTTAGACTGAAACAACACAGAAGCAAGGAAAACAAAAGTCATGTTCTGAGCAAAAAGTAGAACAAGGCTTAGATCAAGAAACACAAGCACAACTACAAGTTGAACAAAATGGCAAAAACCGAATACAACTGGTATCCACTGCAGGGAATGCGGATAGGTGGTCATCTGAAAATGCCAATATTTGCTCTTTTATCCTCACTCTTAGCCACCCATCGAGGCAAACACACCCTTGTGGAGGGGTCAAAACTTTCGAACACTGGCTTGTAGAAACCAGTGAATGATTTACTGAGATACGATCAACGGTGTATTCCACTAGAAGATCAGTAAAGAACGATAAAATGGACTTACTGAGCTTCCTGCGTAATAGTAGACAGCCAGAGCAGCTCCGAGGACAACAATGGCACCGAGAAGGACATACATGAAGAACCTATCAAGAACATAAAAACCACACACCATTTGTACAAACACAGCAACAAAAAAAAGGGGAAGCGGTTTGATGAAAATATCCTTCAAAGAGCCTCTTTTGCAAATTCTTCAAGTAGCCTCAGTTTCTAAAGGTGGTATCAACACAAACAGACCCGGGTGAAAGGCAACAAGCTTCAAATGAAGGAGAAAGACGAAAAACTCATCAACCATCCTTCACAAAGAGAAGCATGTCACGCTATTCAGAGGAACTGCAGGTTCAATCCAAATGCCTAGAAACACATCATTGGCGGCGAGAGAGAGCGAGAGAGCAACTGCCCCACATACACATAGAATGAAGGAAGAAGCAAGAACTTACGTCTCTCCGTCGAAGCCCTCTTCAATTTCATATGTGTTGATGGTCTCGTTGAAGACAGCATCGCGGAACATTGTGCCATTCTGGAGGAACCAGAAAGTCATCAACGGATATCAGCATAACATTAAGCTAGTCCAATACAATCATGAGAGAGAGAGCACACACACAATGACAGTATAGCCTCAGTCCAGAGTGTTGGTATCAATAAAATCAGTGGGAAAGTAAGGCAGTGAGAAACACAGACAAGCAGAGCAGAAAGACAAAAGACTTGTCCACCACAGGCTGTCTGTGCACCACCAGCCAAAGCCCACCAATAATTCAATCCAAATGCCTAGAAACACATCATTGGCCAATAGCAGACAGAATGGAATAAAAAATGCATGCACAAAAACAAAATAGCAGCCAAGTTCATACCTCGTCATGATAGTGAACATTGACGGTTGTGGCGAATGGGCGGTTGGCAAAGAACTCGTGGGCAAAGAATGAGTATGCAAAAGACTGCTGAGTGGAGGGCTTCACGATTGCCTCATAGCGCTGAGCAGTGAACTGAAGACAAAGGAGAACAAACCACCCGTGTAAGCACAGATAATGTATATTCCACAATATTTTAACTCGTGCCTTCTTCTCCAACATGAAATACACAAAGAGATAATACACCACTAGCGGAGGAACAGAATATAGCACATGAACTTACATTCTGGATGATGTAGCTGTAGTCCTGAGGATAACTGTAAGTCAAATGAGAAAGAGTGCATGCAGCAAATCACGAAGAGACCATTACCATCACAAACACACAAGATGACATGTAAAAATGGCCAAAAAAGGATAAAAAGAGATCGTTCAGATGTGTTTGTGTTTAGTTACATGCACTTGTCAGAGTAGATCGGAAGAGATCTTGAAAAGAAAGAAGACCGACGGTGGTGCACAAATGCTGATCTACTCATTTTAGTTACACATGCATAGTCTGTATAAAATGTAGTCCATGTATTCGTGCGCCACATTCTCTGTCGAAGTTTTGTTCACCATAGTTTCATCTCCGCAATACAGAATTCCCATGACCCTACTAGGCTCAAACCTGACGAAGGAAAGTAGAATCTACCGACGTGGGCAGAAAAAGGAACACACCTACTGAACCCTGTAGTACACAAACTAATGCGCATCAGCCAATCTAAAATCCCAAGCTGACCAAAATATGTTATAAATGGATCATGCTCATGGGTACTAACAGCACCCCATCATCATACATGTGCATAGCACATCCGGACAACTTACTGGAAAGAAGCCTCGATATGGTCAATGATGAAGTCCATCTCTCCAGTATTGGTGAAACCAATCAAACAACGGATCTCCTTACCCACAGGCAAGTCTTCAATAAGCAACAGACATAACAAGAAAGAAACCATACATTTTATCAGTGCTCATCATGATCATGGCAGGAGAAATGGCCACATATCAAAAGCAGAAAAGATAGAGAGCCTCAGTTCTAAAAGAGGTATCACAACCAACAAAGTCCAGCAGGCCTAAGCACACCAAGCATGGAGGAAGAAAGTGAAATACTCACAAGCCTACTCCAGGCCAATAGCAGCTAAACTGGCTTCCTGGATTTAGTCAGTTCAATCCAAATGCCTAGAAACACATCATAGGCTGCTTGTCCCACCAGTACAATGCATGAAAGCAGAGCCACGTCATGCAGCGCATCACTATCGTCCTCACCCTTGGATTCATGGTCTGGGAAGATGAAAGCGGTGTCAGTATCGGGAGAAGCCTTGATAGTATCGGTCTCTTCCTCCTCTTCGCCAGCAGCTACTGCATCATCACCAGGCTACGTGCAAAAGAAAGGAAAAGAAGAAGTGAGAACTCATTATGAAACCATTTTTTCGGAAGCCAGCTATTTATTCGTCTTGGCAGGACAAACAGTGCTGCACAATCAGAATGGTCGAATTAGCTCGAGAGCGATTGCCCATGAACTTCCGATGACTCACAAAAGGCCTGTTCAAGCAATTTTAAAACTGTAACAATGCTCTTGCCTCGCGGTTTCCTCTTATTTCGCTGTCTTCCCTTGTATCAGTTTGTTCGAAATGACACAAGCACAATGTGTAATCAATCTCGGTGCTCAACACAAGATCAGTTTGGGAGTTCGCAAGTCAAGAAAGTGCACATACCGTATATTCTCTATTATAAGCACAGGTCTCCATTACTAGCACAGTCTCTAATACTAGCACACTGCGAGCACCTTTCGAAACATTATAAGCACAGTCTTGGTGGAAATCAATGCTGCATGCATGATATCTAGCATGTATTTCTTCTTGCTTTGTATGGATGTATTGCTTGAAAAAATAAAAGCACGGGGTAGAGGGGTGTTGAAAAAATATAAGCACGGCGCTTATAATAGAGAATATACGGTAGGCTATAGTAGGAAAGCACTCTTTGCGCTACATGTGAGATGCATTTTAGAGTTCGTCTCGTACAACAACGGTCACAAAGCACGGGGGTCCGTACATGTATGCCAGTTCGTCCTGCAACTACAGCGCTCAGGATCAGGGATACTCCCACAGCCAAATTGACCACTGCAAAGACTGTATACTTAGCAGGCATGCTGACTTTCAGCTGTAGAAGACCATCTAAATAGATACCGTAACGTCGCGTATAAAAGCCGTGCTTATTCCTGTATAAGCCGAAGTCAGTGCTACGTTTCTGTTAGGTACCTCCTCCCGTACAGTCTACCCTTTCCCCTAGCTGGTCTGCATGAACCATATGAACCCCGTACTCACCTTTTGTTCCGTTGGCCTGGGTAGTACTTGCGCGCCCATATTGCCATAGCTACCCAGGCCCTTCATAGTCTCTTGTTGTCTCAGTCTCTCTCTCTGATAATGTAGTTGTTGTAGTTCGTCTTTGTCTCTGTCTCATCGTCAACAATAAATGTTTCCCCCTGCTCGTTCCCGTTGTCTGTTGCGTTGTGTCTGGGATGATGGAGTCACCAGTTGAAACTCAACATTTTTATTCAAGCCAGGCTTCTATTCGAAACACGTATCTCTATGTATGTCAATACTAAAACCAGGCTAGGTACTGACAGTGTACTAGTATCTTCAAAAAATCAGGCTTCTAATAAGAGATCGGCTTCTATACAAGACACTACAATACATAGAAAGTTTGGCAAAGCACCTGATGAGTGCTCAATGCGCGAGGCGCAGAGCTACAGTGGTCCCTCTATAATCCGGCACCATTTGTGCCACGGAAATCTGCTGGATTAGGGAGGGTGCTGGATTAACAAATCTGATCTACTGCTGCAATGTGCATGAAGAGGACATTTGGCTACTGAAAATTGTGCTGGTTTATAGAGGGTGCTGGATTATAAAGTGCCGGATTAAAGAGGGACGACTGTATTTACAAGACCGCCTAAGTGCGTGGGTGAAGTCCACACTGTGCTGCAGTGTTTTCTAAAACAGAATTCACGGAATAGAGACGCACATAGTGCCCACTTACCATTTCTGAAGCTGCCTGTGGATCATCTCCATCCTGTGTATCATGTACCACAAAAGAAGGAAACATATTATATCCAGTACACTGTTGGGTTTCAAAATTCTTGAATCAATTCCTTTGTCAAGAGTACATACCGCCAAGATTGTGCAGCTCTACACAAAGTTCCGTCATGGCTCTTTCTTGGAAGTATGTCATTGATGACGTAATCCGGTTGACTGTACGCAAAACTGCGGTCGACCTCAAGTTGAGTACATGCATACATGAAAACTGGTTCAATCATTCAAATGACGTAATTCTGAAGAGGAGCTGTGACAATAAGCCATCAAGAGTTGCACACTCTTGGGAGTTACGTACTCTAGCTTTTACTCATGCCAAATTTTCTAAATGGTTTGTCATGAAAGGAATGTTATCACTTTATTTCAAGATGTGTACTCAGTAGTCAAAAATATCGAAACGAGTATCACCAAAGAAGTACATTAGGATCACACACCTCTACACCACCTTCACCATCGTCATCAGTTCCAATAGGATCGGCGGCATCCACGTCATCACCATCGTCCCCTGCATCCTGTGCGAACGCTAGGGCTGCCAAACCATTATTATCACATCACAAAAAGAGATGGGAAAGTACGGGGAGAGTATGAGCAGATGATCCACGTGACGATGTATTTCCACAGTTGGAGATGTCCAGAACAATGGACAATGAAATTGACAAAAGAATATCTAAAATCACGAATTTTCAATCTCTTCGCCTCAGTCTGTAAATAATTGGTATCAGGATAGATAAAAGACATGGAAATTTTGTGTACGCTCCCAGACGAATAATACCAGTGAAAAACTCACTGACAATCTCCATCTCATGGTTGCAGACAAGCACTCCATTGTCCCTACCAATTCAATCCAAATGCCTAGAACACATCATCGGCCTCAATAAAATCAAAAATCATAGCTGGATAACTTACATCGGCTGTTCTGGTATAATGTGCCTTGGAAGGACAGGAGGAGGATGAGGAATACGGCGAGAAACCTCATTGTGGCTAGCCTAATATTACTAAAAATAATAAATTCACTTCTTCCTTGACTGACAGCAAGCAAAATGAGACCAAACCAGAAACAGTCAGTGAACCAAGCAGCGAAATGTGGGAAGAAGATGGCGTGCGAGGAGGCGACGTGGCCTTCATGGGCACGAGGTTTGAACGCTGGCTTTTACCCGTTTTTGCTCTGCGTTGCCGTTGTACGTATACGCTGTCCGAGCGTTGACGTCACATGGATTTCCCACTAAAAAAAATCCCAGGCACTTGTATTTTGTAAGCCCGGCGCCGGCCCGTGCCCGGTCGTACAGTTTTTTCAACTCCCGGACTTGCTTGCTTACGTAGCTAGCTAGCTAGCGCCTTGTCATTAATTTTCGTAAAAATTTGGCGGTAGCTTTTGAAATCATGCAGGGAGTCGATATGTCGTAAAAATGTTGACGACTCCCTGTTTGAAACTTACTTGTTGAAAGGTTTGAGTTCGAGCAGAATTCTTGCTTCAGAATCATATATGCATAGGCGATCTTTGAAGATGTTACTTGCATCCCTCAATCTGTATTTTACTTTCTGTCAACATGTTGTGTAAATTAGCAAAGAAGCAGCAGCAAAATACGGATGTCTGATACCCATCGTTGCCAGCATCGTCATCGGGTGTACTAGGTTTAGCAAGAGTACTCTTGGTTTTAGGGTCCGACGGAGCAATATCATATTGAATATGTCAGAAGGGAGCCGACACAAAGAGCTGTTTTCAGCAGCAGGTAGGACTAGGTGCACAGTCACTACTTTTTGGTCCAATCAGCGTGCCCCATATCTTCTACTTCTAGTGCTTCCCTCATCCCGAATCTCATACAGAATATACTAGTACAGAATAATATCTATTATTATTTTATTATTGGATTGTGTACGTGTGTTAACATGTTATACGATGCAGCTCATTTGTCACTGTCGTCACGCGTTCGTGCTCTTCGAAGTTTAATATTCAAGTTGAATTTCGGACTGCTCACAGTAGAAGGGCTGCTGAGTGATGGACACCTCTTGCCTGTATTGCTCAGCAATCTGAGTAGGAATGCCGCCAGCAACTTGTCTGGTGATGAAGTTGACGAAGAGATCAGGAGCGAGATTGAGCTTTCTCTACAGCTTCTTCAGCATGTCTCGCAGGTAAGGAAATCACACACTGTAATTGAAGAGCATGCAGTGCTGCTCAATGAAATCCGATCACATGTGTCAAGTCAGCGCCCTGCACCAGTGCACAGCCCAGTTATCGCAGGTCTGGGGCTACCCAGCGCCCTGCACCAGTGCGCAGCCCAGTGTTCGCAGATCTGGGGCTGCACAGCGCCCTGCACCAGTGCACAGCCCAGTGTTTGCAGGTCTGGGGCTACTCAGCGCCCTGCACCAGTGCACAGCCCAGCGTCCGCAGGTTTACAAGGGCTGCACAGTGCGGGTGCCCAGCACTTACGACTGTCCACACATCTTTGGAGGAGAAAAAAGGCTTCGAGTTAAACAAAAACTGTGAACGGTATCATTCGGCTGTGGAGGAGGAGAGTTTTATGATCCGAGTTTCAGACTCCAAAAAAGAAGGATGACTATACTGTACAGTACACACAAAATTTTGATTGCCTCGGCAAAACTTTAGCGAAAACACTCCTTTCGCTATAGTTGCTAAAATATCACCGGCGCTAAAATTAGCTGTTTTACAGTACAATGTATGCACTGGAGCACGGTGCTAGCTTTTCTCTAGCTTGTGTCAGCGGATTGCAGTGAGCACGGCGGACTGTAGACCTGCAGTCTGGGCCACAGAATGCGATTCCCGCGCTATACAGCCCCGGGAAGCACTCACGGTCTGCCCAGGCGAACGGACTTGACGTTGACATGAACGCGGCTTAGAAAGCGTAGAGAAAGACTTTGCGCAGAAAGACCCCAGCTCAACACATGCGTGCTGAGTGCTGCGTGTGTGTATTGCACAGCGTGCTGCATAACGATGTAGGTGTCAGCAGAACAATATAGGAGGGTGTACAGTTCACCGCACAAGACATAGCATTATGCACCCATTGCAATCATGTCGATAACACGATTGCAGAGCCCAGTGATGATTACTTCGGCATGAAACTCTGGCTTACAACTGAATTTCCAAATTGGACCTCTCCTCCTGTATGTGTAAACAATAAAAAACATGCTTTGCGTTCCGCGCCTTGAGCACTTTCCCGGCAGTTGCCAGAACCCTCTGCGTTGTAGAACCAGTCATACTCTACCATTGTCAGATGTGTTGTCTCTGGCGTGGCTTTAGAAGTCAACTGAAATTACTCTGCCTAATAATAACATTGTTGCTAGCCAACATTTCCTTGGGCACACTTGTGAAGTGTATGTCTTTTGGATTATTTCATCTCCTTCAGGAGACTGGTGGAGCAATGGCGTTGTACGGCCTGAATGCTGTGTCGGCACTGGCAGCATTGAAACGTGCACACTGGTATCACCAGCTGGCGTCCACCGCAGTGCCCGGCATCCTACAGAACCTGACCGTGGCTGTCAAATCATCCATTGTCTTGCCTGCGCTCGACTCATCTGCTGGCGCCTACAGTCCACAACCACCTGCATGCAAGCCTGGTACGTTACGTTGTTGTGTGCGTGAATGGATCAGAGACTCATTATAGGCGTTGGGCTAGCGCTTGTAAATACCTGTTTGAAACTCTTTTTACTGTCTTGCTTGTGTGCGTTTAACGAGTCTGAATGCAAAACGTGACATCTATTTCATCACTTTTCGAACGATGGCCGAAAGGATTCATTTATTTGTACAGTAGGTATCGGTTATAGCGTGGGTGTTTGAAAAACGACTTTCTATTCTTATTTCCGATATTTCTTACACACGATAAACCAAGTGTGACATATCATGTGCATGTGCGTAGAGGCAGGAAGATCATCGTACATGCAATGTAGTGCTACTGTGCATGCGGCTGGTCATAGTCCCATAGGCTTACCATGTGGCTATCCAACACGAGTTACATGACCACAGCAGTTGAACCTGCAGCACTACGACGCAACGCGAGTCAGATCGGAACTGAATTGGACGGGTATTATTACTACAGGCGATACACTTTGTACTAATCTGGTATGTTTTGCTGCACAAAGTCCATTCTTAGGACCGATATATTCTACTGTACGATAAAATTGCTTGTAAGAATAAATGTGCACTTGAAATCCATGTTATGATTATGAAAACATGAGAGTTCATTCTTGTAGGCAGTATATTCTTTTACACGACCACGCTATAACCGATACGCACTGTATTTTGTACCTGTCCTGTATCAAGTATATACCCATGTTTGTGTAACAGGTTTGAACTGGATCTTGTCTGATGTTGAAAGTGAAAATTTGCATGAAGTTGCTCCTCGACTTGTTGATAACACGGACCCTGAATTTGGAACTTACCACATTTTGCAATTCGATTCTTCAGTGCCGCACATGCCTGTCTGGTAAAAAAATTTCTCTATCCCTTTGCCGCTGAGCATACACAGTAAGTTTTAAAGGGGAAGTGCATCGATTTTTCGAGTAGGGTCCAGAAGAAAGACAATGTGATATCAGTTCGAATGGCATATCTCTCGCTTCACCACAATACGCCAAGCTTGCCAACTTGCCAATTGTATACTCACGTTGCCATAGCGACCAGCGCAGTGATGGCGTATGAAAGGCTTAGCTCCAGCACAGAGAAGGTCGATCCCCAGTCGTCTTACTGTATTCACGATGTGAAAGAAGTGCTGTGTTCAATAATTTCCCGCCATGCGCTGGCAACGTAATTTGACTGAATAAACTTTCGGCGAGCAACGGAGACACAAGCTCATGCTGCTACCTATGGAAAGTTGGAAACTCAGGTGCCAGGGCACTTTTCCAATCCAGATGAGCGGACAGACAACATCATGTCATGGACGAATGAAACGGGTCATCGTGGCACAGATACTTTACTTCTTCCTTCTTTGTAAACCTATACGGTTTCTTCTTTTATTGTTTTCGTTTAGCAAGAAGCAGTTTGACATGTCCAACCTCAAATCGCCCGGCTCCGGCAAGGAAAAGAAATTCCTTAACGCAGGGGAGACAACAAACTTCACTCTCTTTGTGTGCCTCGTATGTAGAGAGTGAAATTCATCGTTTTGCTTGGCTAACACTCTTGGGATGGTGGCTGCCGGTAGCGTTGGCATTTGGAAAGTCCATCTGTTGTCCTGAAGACTGCCGTCTTTTTGTTTTGCCTCCAGACTTTTTTCATTTTTATCAACATTTGTTGAATATTTTATTTTTAATGTAGAAAGGAAATATAAATATGAGTTGAGAGTAACTCTCCATCACTGTAACCAGATACTATGTACAGTCAGAAAGTGCAACAACTAGGCACAAAACTGACAGAGTACTGAGACATTCGACGTCCTGACACCTAGCTTCAACACATCTCCGTAGCGCTAACCGACAGCCTTCCAACTTGGAAGGTTCAAGGTTATGGAAAGACCAAAGAGGGGAAGGCAAGCGCAACGAAAATGAGCACAAGCTACAGTCCCAACGGAACAAAGAATGTCGATTGTAACTGGACTATGACGAGATATTTTCTTTATTGTTTTGTTTCAACGCAGTGGAATAGATTGCATGTACACAGTTTAACAGCCCTGTCTAGTCATTGGGATAGTGGTGATGCATAACATGAATGCTGCAAACAAAGCCAAGACTTGTTTTGCAATGTGTGTAGGAACAACACACGGATCCACGTGTAAGTGGTCTTTGTTGAAAATGACTATTTGTGTGACATTTGTCGTTAATGTAAAGTACAGGACGTGACATGAAGAGCGAGCTAGAGCCCTTTTTCCTAATACTAGTTGCTGGTGATGCATGTAAATTCAGCTTATGGAGTGTGCAGGGGTGGGGGCACTCTTGTATTTTAGGGCTGTGCGAGATTTGGCGGCTGACTAGTGTGTGTGCGTGTGTGTGTGTGCTGTTGCTATCCAGTATGTGTGTGTGTGTGTGTGTGTGTGTTTGGTGACGCTGTGATGCTCGTCTTGTTGCTCGCCTTGCTATGCCCAAATCTTGTCCCAATGAAGTGCATTGCTATGCCCAAATCTAGTCCCTATGAAGTGCATTGCTATGGCCAGGTCTAGTCCATATGAAGTGCATTGCTATGGTCAGATCTAGTCCCTATGAAGTGCATTGCTATGGCCAGGTCTTGTCCCTGTGAAGTGCATTGCTATGGCCAGGTAACTGTTATAGTCCCTGTGAAATGGATTGCTATGTTCGCTGTGTTCGTCACATTAACCAGCTCTCCAGGCAGTGGGCGAGTGCGTAGCGAGCAAGTGGGTTTCCCGGATGCAGCGCAGGGTATCTGTTGTCGTAGCAACACGGTGGCGACGGCCTGGGACATGTAAGGTCTGTGACCATGGTGACGTGCCGCTGGGTTTACGTAGTACAGTGCCCCGCCACCACTGCTGTTACTTGTCCCGGTGTTTCAGTCCACTTCCGTTATATCAGTGTCCCCAGTGTTATCAGCTTGGTCTTCTTCAGGCACGTCATTGTCTAGGACGTTGCCGGTTTCATTTTCCATAGGCATGTTGTTATCTATCGCGCTGTCGGCGCAACTGTTGTCAGGCGTGTCATCATGGAACTTGCTTTGAAGCTTAACAAAGTGTAGCTTTAGGAGGCAAATCCAACTTTGAAAGGCTTCAATATCGACGTTTGCATTGAATGCTAATTTTTCCAGTGTGAACACGAGTGATCTTAGCCTACTTTGGTCTTGGACGTTTGACTTGACAATCGAATCCTCGTATTGGCTGTATAGCGGTTGTCGCTGCCGGATGTGGATCTCGACTTGGGTGGACATGATTCGGTCAATGATCCCCTTCGGCATGGGCGTGCGCATGCTATTGGTGAGGGTGTAGAACATATACAGTGCACCAGCGCGGTTGTTGAAGGCTATGCGCTCGTACACTTCCAGTAAAAACGTCTCGCCGTCACTGTCGTCATAGCTGGGCGGGGGTAATCGATGCTCTGCTGGCTGCTCGCTCTTTGTTGCTTTGTCCGAATCACTGATTTGCTGTTTTAGATGTGCATGGTTTTTGTGGATTACAGCTTGGTGTCTCTGAGTGTTGGCGATTGCTAATTCGCATCGGGACATATATTGTTCGATTGTCCCCATGTCCGCCCGAGCACATACTGCACAGTCTCCAAGTGGGTCATGAAGGCAGGTCATTTTCTGTGGCCACTTGGTGAAGTCTTGTATGTTGGTGACTGGAATGTGATAGGGCCCAAGGTAGTGACGTCCATGCTCGATAAACTGATCCAGCTGGTGTAGTGCTTGGCTAGCATGCAGTTCTGATTCGCAAACAATCTTCTCTAGAGTGGCGCGGGCGACCAACATTATCTGCGCAGCGTCCAGTGCAAAATGCGCCGACAGGTCGCCCTTTAGTAGTTTGTGCCCTTCTAGTAATGAACAGTAGGATGCCAGTTGGGTGATCTCATTGCACTCTGCCAGCTGCTGTAAAGGCTTCCTATACTTCGGAATGCTGATGGCCAGCGTGTCAGCAATATTTTGCAGCTTGCGGAACGAGCTGCTCAGCAGAACCTTGTTCTGTTCAAGTAGCATTCCAGTTGGTGTGCAGGGCACTGGTGCCGGTAGATACCCCTCAACACATGGGTCTGCCGCTACCTCTGGCAGACACAGGCGCTTGCAGAATTTCAGCAGGCATCCATCGATTTCATACAGTGATCCCAGTTTAATAGCGTGCCATACCATGGTAGGATGTGAACAGTACTCTTCCCCAATGTAAACGTCACGTACTGGGGACACCAGGTGTTCGTGGTCTTCCGCCAGAAGAAGTATAAGGGTCGTGTCGGCCACCTTGTGAATATCAAAGAGGTAGCATTCAAAGCGTGCGCACATGTAACGCAAATAGTAGGACCATTCCACGGTGGTTGTGGTGCAGAACTCCTTCCTCGTCTCGTGTTCCTCTGCCAGGCTGTGCAGTTCCTCGTCGTAAAGCGCCGTGTCTGCGAACAAGGACTGCGTGTTTGCGCGGTACCAAGCCGTCATACTCTTCTGCTGTGTTTGCTGTTGGCGCCCCCAGTGTTGAAGAAGCTTATGTTTGGAGCTTCCTCGCAGTCTAGGTAGCTTCTTATCATATGGACGACGGGCATCTCCTTTTCCTCTGTCGTGACTGGACATTGCCATATTTATAATACCACAGTTGTAGCAGTTCGCTTGCACACCTGCAAGTATACAGTTGCCTCACAATTTAACAAACAGCTCTGACTTTACAACCTGTCAGACAATACTGGCTTGGTAAGGATAGCCTGCTGGGGTGTATGTAGCTTCCTTTCTGCAATGCTGGCCTGAAGTCTCACTAACCATATGGCGCGGGTATTTTTTGCTCTTTGCACTGGTGATGTTGAGCTGCAGCTTAGAGCTTGTGTATGCGAGAGAAACACTAGCTAACTTTCACCACACTCAGATAGCTGCACCAGGTAACCTTCACCGCACTAAGATAGCACCAGGTAACCTTCACCACACTCAGATAGCACCAGCTAACCTACACCACACTCAGATAGCACCAGCTAACCTTCACCACAGTCAGATAGCTGCACCAGCTAACCTTCATCACACTAAGATAACACCAGCTAACCTTCACCACACTCAGATAGCACCAGGTAACCTTCATCACACTCAGATAGCACCAGCTAACCTTCACCACACTCAGATAGCTGCACCGGCTAACCTACACCACACTCAGATAGCTGCACCGGCTAACCTACACCACACTCAGATAGCTGCACCAGGTAACCTTCACCACACTCAGATAGCACCAGGTAACCTTCACCACACTCAGATAGCACCAGGTAACCTTCACAAGACTAAGATAGTGCACGTAACATGAAGACAGTACAGCGCATTGCCTGCAATAAGCTAGCGTTTCGCAGAACAGCCAGACTGGACAAGTACTACAGTAAGAAATAGAAAAATTAGTACAGGCTGGAACTTTATCAAAAGAAACTTATCGGGTTGTTTTGAAGTATTCGTTATAGCAGAGCATGCTCGAGACCATGCCCATATCATAGGACGTGGAAGTACATGGATATCGGTGAATGATAGGCATCCGGGGTGAAAGAACCCAGCCTCTTCTCCGGCAGGGGCGTGTGCCCCCCCCCCCCCCCACACACACACGTTCTTTGAAGCTCGGGCTAACTGGCGTAAAAGACTACACAACATGTGGAGTGTGACACTATTTGAGGTGTCGAGGCATGACAATAAGAAAACCTCGCGTCACTTTGACACACTGGCAATTCGTATCGCACTGTGAGAAAGTCGAGTGTTTCGGCACCAGCCTGAGTGACAATATCTAAGCATTCTGAACAGCATCTGATGACAATTAGGGACACAGCCCAGACAACGTGATAAGCTGGCATTAGTAGAGAAAGGCGTGAACCCACATCACCCCCCCCCCCCCCCCCCCCCCCCACCCACCACCACCACCACCAACACACACACACACACACACACACACGTTTGAGTTCTGTCTGACACTTACCTACTATTATGTCACATTTTATGTGCAAACACAAACACATTGGTTGCAGCTATCTGAGTGTGGTGTAGGTTAGCTGGTGCAGCTATCTGAGTGTGGTGAAGGTTAGCTGGTGCAGCTATCTGAGTGTGGTGTAGGTTAGCTGGTGCAGCTATCTGAATGTGGTGTAGGTTAGCTGGTGCTATCTGAGTGTGGTGAAGGTTAGCTGGTGCTATCTGAGTGTGGTGAAGGTTAGCTGGTGCAGCTATCTGAGTGTGGTGAAGGTAACCTGGTGCTATCTGAGTGTGGTGTAGGTTAGCTGGTGCAGCTATCTGAATGTGGTGAAGGTTAGCTGGTGCAGCTATCTGAGTGTGGTGAAGGTAACCTGGTGCTATCTGAGTGTGGTGTAGGTTAGCTGGTGCAGCTATCTGAATGTGGTGTAGGTTAGCTGGTGCTATCTGAGTGTGGTGAAGGTTGGCTGGTGCTATCTGAGTGTGGTGTAGGTTAGCTGGTGCTGAGTTTGGTGCTAAGTCACAGTTTAAGTGTTGCAGTTTCCCCAGCAGTCCTCACTGACAACTGACAGCTATATTGCCACCTTCAGTTGATGCTACCTTCCTCGCTCCCAGCAAGCTGATGTAACCTGGGTTGCTACTAGTACCTACTGCGAGCCATGCTCCTAGTCAGGTGCACACTGGTGATGGTGGTGATGGCCATGTTGTTTTGGGCGCAGTGTGAGCTCGCTCTTGCCGGCGCCTCTTGTCAGCGAGTGAACCTTTGTTCACAGGGGTGATGATATTTTCCATTGTGTGTTGTGGTGTGTATGTGCAGCTGACGCAAGAGTGCCACCGTCGTCCACAGCTAGTCATGTCCGACCACTGCAACACTGCTACGCATCATGCTGTGTGCAGGTTCTTGCCGGCTGTGCACGGTGAGTTTGCTCCTTCCATACCTTCTATCAGCTTGAATCATGACAATTCTTCTGGTTTGCATAGGTCTCCATTCCCTTTCTTTTCTTTTTGCTTCTCTCTCCTGCTTTCCACTTGATTCGCTTTGATATTACTTTGAGTGGAAGTTCAGCAAACACCAGACTTTTTCGTTCATATGCATGAAGGTGACATGCAGTAGAACGCGGCTTTTATTGTGACTCAAGTTTCGTGCTTTTCTATCATGAGGCAAATCATTCTAATATCAAACAGTGAAGATGAGCTTTTCTTTTACATGTACATGTATATTGCTGCAAAGGGAATTTGAGGTGATATAACCAGCCAGGTAGGTGTATCACTGTGCACATGTAGGTGGTGCTTTTTTGCTCGATTATCATGGTCCTGCTTTGCTTCGGCGACTATTTTGAAGTACCTACAACTTTAGCGTAGAGCTGAAACCTGAGAAGCATGGATAAAGGCAAACAGGCACAGGAGTCTTGAAGTGGTACACGTCGCAGACAATAATTCTTTCAAAGTTCTTCGGAGTTTGTACAGTCGAATTCCTCTTTGGGAGTGGACGTACAGAACTCTCGAACAGCAGTGTATGATGTGAAATGCAAACAGCATGATATGCTGGTATACAGTATTGTTCGAGCTGGTATACATTGTATGGTCTTTAAGACCTTTATTGTCTTTTAAAAGTGTTGTTGACAAGCAGCGTCTTTTCCAGGTAGCAGTAGCTGTTACTCTCTGTTGTTCAGGTTGCTGACTCGATTGTCTAAGGTCAGAGTGTGTAGCACAGACGGGGCCTGCCTGATGATTGTTCTTAAAAAACAAAAAAACAAAAACAAACAATGGAAGTCCGAGTCACAGGGCAAGAGCTTTTGTCACTGTTGTTTTGCCGGTGTCTGTTGTTCTGCGTGCCCAGGCTTTTAGCAAGTGATGATGCATCAGTGTGCGTGCAAGCATGCCGCTGTCTTCGTGTTGCCCTGCCGTGCATACCGGCTCTGACCTTGGTCAGGTCGGCCCCATTGCTGGAGGTAGGGGCGTATTGTCGTAATAATTATCTTCTTTTTTTGACATGCCTGTATTACCCGGTAATGTGACGTGACGTGCAGTATGTACACTGGGGGTTGAAGCATCTAGGGAGACGGCACGAGACCATACTGCCCGAAACGATGTGCATTTCGACCCCAGGTTTGGTCATTCTAAGTGAGCCGTGGTCTATAGCAGTCACGATCATGATCTCCACCTTGACCTGCTGACCCAAGCGTGGCCCAGAGCAGTGATGCCATACGCAAAAATTGGCCCTGCCCCAAGGGCGACTGGAACGGGTAGCCCGGGAGAGAGATTCAGGGGTCAGTGTCAGTTTGTACTCAAGGTGAAAATAAATTATGGGACAGACTGGGATACCAGCAGTTTTCGACATGACTGCACATTTATCTACTGTGACTTCTCCTCATTTGCTTCCACTGTTATTCCCCGTTGCTCACAGTGATCATCGTGAGTTCAATCTGGGCAGGATCAGTTTGTGTTTGTCAGCACTGGCACTCTTCTCAATCTGTGACCCTCTTGAGTTTCGTTACTATTTCTATACTGTGTTGTTCAGGCGCTACTGCGTCGCCTTTCTGTGCATGAGGGCCGTGTGCCGACTGCGGCAGTGGTCGTGGAAGAGCTGCTCTACACCGGCCAGCACATAGTGAAGAGTTTGCAGGCATGGGTGAGCTGCCAGAGCAACCCACTCACCGCCTCACCTTCCAGAGCCTTGTGGCAGGACATGGCCAAGAATGAGTTCCTGTCCACGGCTATTAGCTTGGCACTGTCCATGGTTCGATCGGCATTGCCCTGGCCATTGATCAATCGCTCCTTGACCAGGTCGGTCGCATCCGTTCTTGTAACGCTTGTTGGGTTCATGAGCCGTCTGAAAATGTCCCTGATGTCATCACCTGAGCTGCACCTCGCTGCCCAAGAATCCGAGGTTTGTCTGTTTATCTCCTTCTTGATGCTACAGCCGTCTTGTTTGGGATTCCACTGTTGAGTACTGCAGTATTGGGGGTTGCAAGTTGTTGATGTCTTATACTTTGATGCCACCCAGCTTTTCTGGCCATTATTGTTAGTGAAGTATACACACGGAGAAGGGCAAAGAAACCTGTCTTGCTGTGACTCTTTCACGCATCAAATGATCATCAGACAACCATTGTAAAAATGTATGTACCCGTATGTACACGAGACTGATTGCCATGTCGTGATGCTCCTTGTGCCGATAATCATGTTCCCTGTTGTGCAGATCGATGGCACGGTGGAGTTGCTGGCTCGCTGTGTTCGCCATTGCTCTAAGGAACTGCAACAGATGAGGGACGAGGATGACGGTGGCAATGGGAGCACGGGCCCGAGTGTGCAAGCATCGCTACAGCACTTCCAGCTCGTCCTGTTGAGCACGCTATGCAATGTGCTTGCGCTGTTTTGCCCACCCAACAGGGTAGGTATGCTGGGAGTCGGCTTTCTGTCTCCTTCTATGACTTCAAGTGCATATACATGTACTGTAAAAGTTGCAGCTTGGGAACTAACTGACTAGTACTTGTGCTGGTATCACTAAAAGCAGCCGAGATCTCCGCGAAGATACGAGCTCTCCAACTCTCTACGTTCCGTTAAGCTGGCAGTAAAGACACTAGGAACATCGCTAGCTGTATCATGCCTTCCGCTTACATATACTGCTCTACTAATGTGAACAGTTGGTTGTGGCAAAAAGAAACTGAACAAGCGCAACAAATTTTATACAGCAGAGGTGTGAGAGAAGCAGCGCAAAGAAGAGTAGCCAGAAACAGCATGGTAAAATGCGTAACCTCAAACGCATGGAAGGAATGACAAAAGGTGCAAGTGTGAAGCAGCCTATGTTAACAAGCGTTGCAGTCGCATTGCAGAGCGACACTTGATCGGTTTCTTCACACTACATGTAGCACCTTTTGTCATTCCTTCCATGCGTATGAGGTTACGCATTTTACCATGCTGTTTCTGGCTACTGTTCTTTGCGCTGTTTCTATCACATATCAGCTGTATAAAATCTGTTGTGCTTGTTGGCATGGGAAATATGTTGAATGCTGTTGGCATTTACCCAGTGGGCCTTGTTTTACTGGCTTTGTGCATTGAGTCACACAATAATGTGTGTGTGTGTGTGTGTGTGTGTGTGTGTGTGTGTGTGTGTGTGTGTGTGTGTGTGTGTGTGCGCATGCGTGTGTGCCTCTTTCCCTCAGCCACTAGGCAAGATCATTCAAGATGCAATCAGTCCACTGCTACTCGATCCGTTCCTGAACATTGCCCATCCGAATGTCATTGCTGGCCTGCTGACGTATGCCCGGCAAGATGTTGTCAAGGTGTGTTTTTAATCAAGGCAGGCAGACGGACAGGCAGATAGAGAGACAGAGACAGAGATAGAGAGAGACAGAGAGAGACAGACAGAGAGAGAGACAGAGAGAGAGAGACAGACAGACAGACAGACAGACAGACAGACAGACAGACAGACAGACAGACAGAGAGAGAGAGAGAGAGAGAGAGAGAGAGAGAGAGAGAGAGAGAGAGAGAGAGAGAGAGAGAGAGAGAGAGAGAGAGAGAGAGAGAGAGAGAGAGAGAGAGAGAGAGAGTGTGTGCTGATTGTTTCTGGCTGTAGTTGCTTATGGCTTGAGGAAGTGTGTTTTAATGCTGTGTGGAGTTAATACATGCACTAGTATGCTGCCATGAACAACTATCATTGAAGCTGAAAGATCACCAGTGATACCTTTTGCCCCAGTACTGTACACGCTTGTATAGTACATCTGCTGTGCAATTTTAGAATTTAGTGACACCGGGTGGATTTCTTTGCTCAGTTTTCATTGTGCATGCATGCATGCGTGCGCACGTGTGTGTGTGTGTGTGTGTATGTGTGTGTGTGTGTGTGTGTGTGTGTGTGTGTGTGTGTGTGTGTGTGTGTGGCTGGATACCGCATAGATTTGGCGAGACATGCGTCACTGTGCACACTCGGTAGCTGCAGCCAGGGCATTGACGGGTATGACAGTGGACGAGCTGAAGGTAACCTTGGTAACATCACTCACAACATGTACGTGTCGACTCGACGACCACTGTCCTTATTTGTATCATTGGCAGTTTTGTGTATGTATATGTGTATATGTGTATGTTTATGTGTGTGTGTGTGTGTGTGTGTGTGTGTGTGTGTGTGTGTGTGGTGTGTGTTTCTGTCTGTTTGTCTCTCTGTCTGTCTGTCGGTCTGTCTGTCTGTCTGTCGGTCTGTCTGTCTGTGTGATGTCGCTGTTTGTTGCTGTGCCAGCATGAGGAAAACATGTCACTCCGTCTTGCTCGCCTGTGCCTACCTTGCCTGGAGTTCCTCTGCACGTCTGAGTGCAAGCGCTGTGTCGACCACCTGTGCAGGTTTCTCATTCCAAGGTAACAGACTTTTAAAAACAATTCGTTCTGGTTAGATTTTCCAGTCTATTCTTCCTCTTAGACATGATTTTGAAATAGCTCTGTTGTGTTTTACCGTGTCACGTCCCGGTTTGCTTCTCTTGTCTTATAGAATGGAAGAGTGTTCAGATGCCCGCAGCGTGTTTCTTGGTCTTCTTGCTCACCAGGCCACTGCAGTGCGACGGCGTGTGTATGAAATTCTGCATAGTGCGTGGCAGGTAAGTCTAGCTGCTGCTTCATCTTCTCAATACAGGTCTACCCTCGTTAGTAGATAACCCTGGGGGTTTCAAATTGTTTGTCTTATAACGAGGATAATCTACCATCCGGGCTTGAATGTATGCGTTTCAGGAGTCGGGGGATTTTTGACCGTTGTCTACTAATGTGGTTTGTCTTGTAACCGATGTCGTGCTAACGCGGGTAGACCTGCACTGTCATTACAACAATTTATGATTACAGTCGACTTCGCTAATAACGACTGCAGATATAACGACAATTCGCTAATAACAACAGATTTCAAGTCCAGAGCAAGGTCCCATCTAACCTGTATACATACAATGAGACTTCTTCGGGTATAAGGACACTTCGCGAATAACGACACTTTTCTGATGCCCCGCCGAGTGTGGGTATACGCAGAGTTGACTGTATATCGTGATGTCACGATGATGATTGTGTGAGTTGACTGTATATCGTGATGTCACGATGATGATTGTGTGAGTTGACTGTATAATATCGTGATGTCACGATGATGATAGTGTAGTGGTAGTGTGTAGTCTAATGTATGGCTGTCTGACGGTTTTAATAGTTCAAATTTACTGGAACTCTCGCTGCATAAGACTATTTTTTTGCATGGTTTTCAGGACCGTATGGCTACAAGCGAGGTCGGCGGTGGGTCTACAGCTGAGCCACACTGCAGCGGTCCGAGTCCTACATCGCTTCTTCTCCTCGAGGATGTCATGCAGCAGATCTGTCTGTTCGGCCTCTACGACACTTCACCCCAGGTTTGTGAAATGCGCTTTTAGTTTACGTGTATGCGGCTTGGCGGTATATGTGCCGATTTGATGCAATGTAATGTAAAACAATCCAGCCTGTCCTTTTTAATAGTATGTTATGGTCTACACCTGGGGCGGGGTCTGGATATTATTAAAGACATGACGAAAGACACAACAGATTTTCAGGTTTAAAAGAAAGTAACAGAGTTGCCTCTCAGGAATCTCAGAGGAGTTCAGCTGAAGAAGTTTTTTGTCGGATGTGGCTGGATACCCTCTGCATGTCTGTACCCCCCCCCCCCCCCCATTGAAGCGTAATAATTATCACTATTATGACGTTTGAAACTCGGATGTTGAGCCATAAATAAATGTGGAAGAGAAAAAGGACATATGGATACGAGTTAAGAGTTGACTGTATATAGTATCATGTTACAGTGATGGAGAGTTACTCTTAACTCGTATCCATATGTCCTTTTCTCTTCCACTATTATGACGGCAATTGGTTTTTGGCAAAATCCTCCACTGGTCTTTTTACACTAAATTTGAGCTGGCAGGCAGGCATAGTGGGATGGTCTAAGACCATGATTGAGAAACAGAGGGTACCAGGTTCAAGTCCTGCTTGGAAGCGGACGAGGAAAACATGGATGCAGTGAGTGGGATCTTCGGTCTTTGACCACATGCTGGTGAGCTGATCTACTCACCTCCCACCGCTTTAGGAGCTGCATCTGCGCCTTGATCCTTGAAGGGTGGTGGCGTTCCTACGGATGCGGAAAACTCGGCCTATATAGATAAACCGTGTCTCACGCAAACCGTGAAATTAAAAAAAAAAATGTTGAGCTGTGATTTCTTGAAACTAGGAAAAGTGTTCTCTCCTTGCTCACACCCACCAGGGAATTAAAAAGAAGAGAAGAGATGATGCTGCATCAATCTGAATTGTGTTTCTCAGATTGCCAGACACCTAGAGAGCTGTTCTGGGCCATTTCAAGGATAGTTTTTTTTTTAGAAGCTAGGTTACTGTAAAAAGGGTAACTATTGCGACGTAACAATGTTTGCGAATTTTGCGAGAGGCCTCGAATTGCAAACTTTGAACAACGCAAACTCGCGCCAAACTATTGCAACGTAACAATGTTTGCGAATTTTGCGAGAGGCCCCGAATTGCAAACTTTGAACAACGCAAACTCGCGCCAAACTATTGCGACGTAACAATGTTTGCGAATTTTGCGAGAGGCCCCGAATTGCAAACTTTGAACAACGCAAACTCGCGCCAAACTATTGCGACGTAACAATGTTTGCGAATTTTGCGAGAGGCCCCGAATTGCAAACTTTGAACAACGCAAACTCGCGCCATGTAAAGTTCAGTGCAAGGACTGACTCGACTGTGTCGTATATGTACAGTGTGCTCTGTAGATGTACATGCCTGTACTGTGTACTGTGTACACATGTGGTGCGCAGGTCATGTACTGCGTAGACTTGAAACACACGCTGCGTCATGTAGTAGTAGTGGTGCTGGACTTTTCGGGTCATCTTCGCTCTACACGACTCGATCGAGTCCCGGTCCCAGTGTCTTCCGTTTCACATCTTTGCGCGAGCTTCTGATTGTTTTGTTGGCCAGGATCCTGAGTAGAGAGAAGTACTAGTAGTAACGTCTTCACGAGCGAACAAAGCAATGTCTTTTGGAAACTGGCTCAAGAAGGCAGGCGATAAGCCTCAGGAGAATGCCATCGTTATCGATGATGTCGATCCACTACTTCCCAATCCGAATTCGGAGGAATTTGCTTTTTTGCTCAGTTACAAATGTTACTAGTGTGCCGGAGGAGTGATTTTTCACTCTCATATGTATTCAATCGCAAACATTAAACAGCGCAAACCAGTCTCAATTTGTAAAACGCAAACATTTATTGTCGCAAACGTTACCCGTTTTACAGTATTAAGTTATTATGTTGTTTGTATGTTTTGGCAAAATCCATGATTTCTGACCAAATGTGTAAAAATCCAGCTGGGAAGCTTTCAAGAATCTTGAAAGGAGGTATGGAGGGGCCGACAGTGGTGCCTCCTTTGGGAAATGTGCTCATCACATGGCAAGACCACTGTGACGGGCCAATGTAGCCCAGCATGTCATTTGGCAAAAAAGGGTACTGGTATTTCTGCAAACTGGGGTTTAGAGAGACTTGCTGGAATAGAGGGAAATGGAGGCAGTAATATAGCCCTTTTTATGGTGAATATCTACTCTTCAAGGCCATAGGAAGCAGGGGTGTCGGAAGGCATTGTACATTGGTGTGTCTATAAAGGGGGGGGGGGGGGTCTGGGAGCCCTCCCCGAGAAAATATTTTGTAAATTGGGCTCAAAAAGACCAAATTTCATTGCTTCAAACACCTCAGGATTAATTTATGGTGCGGCTTTGGCCGCATCTGCCGCACTGGTTCCGACGTCCCTGGGAAGGATACTAGTATAATAATAAAACAAATTGAGGTCTGATGTAGAGGAAATTGACCGTCGTCAAATGCACTGAGTGTGCCATGGATAGTTTCGACGTGAACCAGTGGGAGAATCTTCTCGCGCCTTTGCATGTTGCTCGGGGATATGCCTGCCTTCTCCATTACCTTGGATACATAAGTGTATCCCAGGTTCTTCTGGGCAATGGCTGTGTTGTAACTGCCTTTTCTCCACCTGCTCCCAGTCCCGTGCCATCTCCACACTTATACAAAGGGACGACGATAACTACATTTGAAAGACTGTTTATTGCAAGACGACTACGGAAACACAACTAGACATGACGAACTCAAGACGAAGACTGCTTTTCACACCACAGCAACACGCGCATGCACCAACACCACGTACACATGACGTACACAAAATAACGTACTACAGCTGCACCTCCACAGATGTTGAAGGATGGGGAGCTGCCATAGCTCCTCGACTTCGGCTGCTTGCTAGCTATGATGTTGTTCAGGCTTTCGTTGGCCTGCATGCTGCCATAAGATGCCAGCTTGGCTGAACACTCCACTGTGGAAGGCAGAGCAACTTGTGCCAAGCGGCCCTGGTGAGATGTGCGAAGACGCAGGGTCTCACCAGTGAGTGGTTGCAGGGAAGTTTCAGTGCTCACATCATGGGCCACATCTTTGAGGAAGGACGGTTGGCAAGGACAGGTCCTTGCCACTGGGTAGGCTTCGGTGACGATACGTCTCCTGGCTGCCATCATAACCACACCTTGTGCCGCAGTCAGAATGATCCCCATACATGTGTGGCACGCACAAAGGAGAACGGCTTTCAACGCGGCTGGTTTATTTCGGTTTTGTGCAATGGCGTATGTGAAACACTTTTGCACATATCGAATGACTTTCTCTGACAGTTCCTTGCGTCCATTCTTCTTCAGATCATAAAGGCTGTTCCCAAGATTTTTCTTGCAGTGGTTGAGATCGGAGCTCTTCTCAACGGGCCAAGCTGTTCTTTCAGACGCTTCAAGGCTGAGGAGTCATCGTCACCCACCATGACAGAAACCGACACCCCAGGTGACTTCAGGTGCTTGCCAATCGAAACCAAAGCCAATACCACCGCTAGACGCTAGCTTGACTTCCTCAGCACAAGACTCATCACAGCTCTCTTTTGCCACGCTCTCAACAACAGTGCCATTAGCTCGCTCCTGGCACTGCAGCACTTTCTCATTGACGGGAGGTATGTTCAAAGTGGTCAGGAAATAGTTTACGTGAGTAACACCAATGCCAGCATGGTCCATTGCTGCAAACATTTGCAACAAAGAGAGACAACATAGATTCACATACTTTGAAGTAGTGGGATCAATCACTCGATATTGCTCCGCGAAGACTTTCCCCTGCACTGCCCTGCATACAACACATCTTGAGTCAGAAGAGGCTATTTAGGGTTTTTGTGACTCTTGATGGCATGCTGTGTCGCTTCACTCGAGTTACAGGTACTGCGGGTTGTTGCCTGCACTGTGGACAGCACTGCCACCCTGATGTGTACACCAGGTGACTGGTGTACACATCAGTACAGGACCGCAGTCGATAGGGAACTAAGGCCGAAAGCTGTAGAAGACTACAACCTCTGGGAGTTTCACGTTCACCCATGCTTTTTCAAAGACAAAGCGGCACTTTCAGTGGCGTTTTCCACAAATCCCTATCTAGTAGGGCGCACTCACCCAGTTCGGGGGAAGCATGCGAGTTTGATTGGGAATATAGGACACAGGGAGCGTCTCAGCTTCCTCGAACCAAGACCATTCAACTCAGCACCCAGGCTACTAGTGATGTTTTGATTTTATTTCATCTGGACCTCTTCTTGTGTATTGTAAAGGGATGCATCTAGGAATTTTGATTAGCATTCATCATGTACTACTAATTAACTCTAAAGGAGATGTGTAAACCTACGTTAATTGTGGATGATGCCGGATCATGCTGCTGTTGTTGTTACTGTTGCTGCTGCTGCTCGTCACTTTCAGGTTGTAGATTTGTCCAAGGCCATGGTGCGTCTTGTCCAGCAGTCCGCCCTTCATTTCCGTGACCTCCACCTCTGCGACCAGTGGCGCAGCTGCTTGATGCAGTCCTTACCTTATTTGCAGGTGAGATACAGTGTATGTTTCTTGAAAGTGTCTTTTCTAGTCTTTCACATTTCCACGGATGGCAGATGCACCCGTTGAAGTAGATATGACTGCATGTATGTGAAACATCCGGCTTGAAGTACTCCCTTGAGTCCTTGACTGATGTGCGTCCATGCCCCATGACATGCAACACTATGATGTCATGCTGTAGGCGTACTCGGGCAACGATGACATCATCGACACCGGTGTGATGTCACTGCTGAGCAGTTCAGCTGTGTCGCACGTGAGTGGACTCTGTGCGAGTGATGCTGGTGGAGGCGCACTGGAGTGTGTGCGTCTACGTGCTCTTGTGCGCTGGATGTTCAGTAAACATCACAAGTAGGTACCACTGACACAGTCTGTACATGTACATGTGCATGTACATGTAACTGTGGAGCTGATGGGAGCTTGGCAGAACATGTAACTGTAGACTTGATGGGAGCTTGGCAGTTCTTGGGATGTGCTGCAAACGAGCACAAGGTCACCTGACTGAGTCACTAGAATGTGTTTTCAGATCATCTGTGAGGATCTTTGTTCGAAGTGAAAGCACTCTTGAACTGTGTGCAGCATATGACTGCAGGCATCAGTACCAAAATGCTTGCTTGTCAACATTATTATAATAGGTACTAGTACATTGGAGCTCTGCTGTAGATGATGCCAGTGTCTTTCTTCTTGGGTTTGGTTCAAACCCTGTTCTGCTTGGTTCACTGGGACTTTCCTTCATACTTATTCACCTGTGTGTGTGTGTGTGTGTGTGTGTGTGTGTGTGTGTGTGTGTGTGTGTGTGTGTGTGTGTGTGTCTGTGTCTGTGTCTGTGTGTGTCTGTGTGTGTGTGCATATGTCTGTGTGTGTGTGTCTGTGTCTGTGTGTCTGTGTCTGTGTGTCTGTGTCTGTGTGCATATGCCTGTCTGTCTGTGTGCCTGTGTCCATACATACACGTGTGTGCCGGTGTGCTTCAGATTGAGGTCGTGGGCGTTGAGTCAGCTGGTAAAGGCTCTTGTCAAGGAGGATGCTAGCTTGATTGCTCCTTTCTCGAAGGTGCCTGCGGGTACAGCTGTCGCGGATATATTTATTGTCGCATCGCCAATTGCACCTGGCTGTGTGGCTACTTCAATCCCGGTAATTTCGTTTTCTTTTCGGTATCTGTATCCGTGCGATGTGCACAATATCGTCATTTCAACACTATAGCAGCTGTGTGCTGTATAGCTCTGAGTGTGTGTGTGTGTGTGGGAGAGAGAGAGAGAGAGAGAGAGAGAGAGAGAGAGAGAGAGAGAGAGAGAGAGAGAGATGATGGGATGGGATGGGGTGATGGTTATTATAGGTGTTAGGCTTTTTCGAATTTCAGACATTTCGACGGTAATTGGGTTCGAGAGTCGAAACGGTAGTCAAACTATAGGTCTTTTCAAAAATTCAGAATACTACACACATCAAAAGACTCGCGTTTCGACTGCAAAAGATTCAACTGTGCGAACAGTGGGAAATTACGTGACATCTGTCGTGTCATCGAGCTGGCACCTAAACCGTCTGTCTGTTCCCTATGCCTTCTGTCTTTTGTGCCTCAAATCCTTGTCAGGCTGATCGCTTGAAGGAGTTGCTTGACATTGTGATCAACAATCGTTTGGATGCTTCCTTGCGTGTGTCCGCCACCCAGCAAGTCTTGTCAGCTGTCCAAGGTACATGCAATAGTCACTAATAACTTAGTAATGAGTGTACAGTATATGTAAAGTAAAGTAACCTCTGCACAACCACTTCCCCATCGGCTATAGAGTGTGTAATGAGTGGTTTTGCATCTATCACATGACCATATGCAGGGTTCTAGCCAGGTCAAAATAGTGGGGGGGGGGGGGGGGCAGGGAAAACAGTTACCCCGTAAGGGCCGTAACCCATTTTTCCATATTTAAACTAACTGTCTTGCCGTGCGAAATGCAACGTACGGTGCGAACGCCTGGCTTCGCCCCAGACAAATGTGCCTTCATGAACCCTCTACAACTGACTATCGACTGCATTTTCGTTGAATGGCATGAAAAAAGTAAAAAAAAAACACAACTCGGAAAATGAGTAGGGGGGCACTTTTCACAGGGGGTGCGCAAACAGAGTAGGGGGGGGGGGGGCTGGACCCCCCCCCCCCCCCCCCTTGGCTAGAACCCTGATATGGGACAGCCATGTTGGTTCCAAATCGTCAACCCTTGCACCTATGGGTCACATGATGTCGGCCATGTTGGTTCCACTGTCCACATGCCATGATCACTTTCTAAATAAATTTAGGCACGTGACAAACTGATGTGAACACCATCCTATAGAATTGTGTTGAGAAACACAACCATCTTAGGCAGTTTAGCTTGTGCCAGGGCATCACCATGCCTGATTTTACCAAGGTGTACAGCAGGTAAAAAAAATAGAACTATGACATGCATACCTTGACGGTGGATTTGCTGCAGTCGACAATCATGGCCTGACTTGCTGCTACAGTATTAGAAGCAGGAACACCAGGTCAATGTAGGAGGACCAGAATTTGAACATTGGGGATGATTCTGCTTGTGTACTACAGAACTCGGTATACAGGCGATAGATTGACCTGAATTCTTCTGAATATAGAAGACGGTCGGCATTATCAGCATTGACATGATGTTGCAATTCCTTCATGCCGTCAGCAATCTCTTGGCTGTACTCCAGAAGAACACTTGGTTCCAATGTGGTCAAGAAGGCTCTCCATCTCATCCGCACCAAAGACTTGGCCACAAGCTTATGCATCCGCACTGCTCGGTTGTAGTGGCGACCATCTAAGGCTGACTGAGCTTACGATGATCCACCCACAGTAGATTCAATCTAAACATCAGCCAGACCGGCATCCTTAAATCGCTTGCCCAGGACAGCAAGGAACGTCAGGCTGATGTGGAAACCACCAAGGCGCAGGACAATTGGCTTGATCTCGGTTGGTCTTTGCAGCACCAGATCTACCGCCTTGGCATAAATTGCTTGGTCGAATGCTTGGTCGAATACGATTATGGTGAAGTTCAATCCAGCAAGCCTGGCCATGTTCATAGACGGACAGAGTACTGAGTAGACAGTGGACATCTCTGTGGGAGAACTGCTAATGACAGGGCAGTATTCAACTGTACATTTGACGGGAATGTTTGACTTGCATAGGAAAGCGTTGAATGCGGACCAGGCAGGGACTGTTTGGTCCTGCTACACACAGTCGTCAGATTCAACAGTTGTGTTTGGCTGGAAGACATCACTATCCAGAAGTGCCAGGGCCCCAAAGGATATCCTGGAGCTGGGCAGAGGCATGGATACCAGAGTTCACTGATGCAATGTTGACGTCGCTGCTCGAAATAGGTGGCGGGTTGCTGTTGGTAGTAGCACTGCAGATCCTCTCTGTTTCTGTGGGCAAAACAATGGGGTATTGAGCTCTCTTCCAGTATCAGCACTATTGGAAAGCTCCACTGTTGCCCCGTGCTGCACAACAATTCCATTAGTGCAATGAGGTGTGCCCGCACCTGACAAAGTTTCTTCATTGAGATCATCATTATCCCAGACGAAATGAAAAGGATAACTCGGGTTGATATTAGCTGGTAGATATGCCATGTCTTGCTGCTTTTGAACATGATTTCAGCCACTGCCGTTTCAATTTCCAGAACTTGGGCATATGAAATGCGGTGACCGAGCCGATTTAGCATGCGGATCAGGCGATAGCTTCGGAATATGTGATGAAGAGCGACAGCTAACGCCACATGCTTAGGTGGTCGAGCAGGCGTACACACATGCACAATGTCCTGTGCAGTGGACCAGATTTGGTGCTTGACATGCTGATCAGTGATCTTGACCTTCCTGGACGATACATACCCATCGTACTGATCACTGCTTAAGATAGCTATGAAGTTGTGGAGGTCTGGATACATGCCCATCGTACTGATCGCTGCTTAAGATAGCCAAGAAGTTGTGGAGGTCTGGTGGAATGTACTCATCACTGTTGGCTGTCGACAGGTTCGCCTCAGGCAAAGGAGTTCCCCGGGAAATATTTTGAAATTAGGGTGCAAAATCCTGCATTCTGGGCACTTTGGGCATTGTGTTAAAAAAAAGTGGTCCGGCCAGAGCCGGACCGGCTGCTAAGCCCCTGCAGTCTACTAGTATATGGCCCTGTTTTGCATTCTGTATGCGGACACTGTTTCTTGCAAGTGAGTTGTTCAGTCATCACTGACTGTCACAGTGCTCATGTGCACGATCTGTGCATCTTGTGTTATTCGTTGTACTGTGCTGTAGCATGTCATGGTGGACGACTGCCTGCCGATCTAGGCCTGGAGCGCATTGTGGACGTCATGCGTAGCTGCATGACCAAGTCTCACTCCTCCACACCGACCTGCGTAAGTCACCCCATGACTGTATTACTTATTGCTAGTGCCTTGTAGTGCTGCACAGGAGAAACTAGTGCAGGAGACCTGTCTTTCCAGGCCTTGCCCTTCTGCACCAGTTTATTGGGCATGTAAGAAGATGTACTGTGGCTCCAGCAACATCAGATACCACACGCCATTCTGCTGACTATGACCAATGCATAGGGTCAATGTTTAAAAGAAACAAATTAGTTGAAAATACCCTATACAAGCACGTATCCGTCAATGCATGTGGGTGTGGGTGTGTTTTCCTGTTTGTTCAATGCATAGATCACTCTACTGGAGCCATGTGTTGGGATCTTGGCACATGCTGCCGAGTGTACGCAGCACATCAGGAAACAGCTCCGCGACTGTGCGCACCTCTATTTGACAGTGTTACGAGGTGAGGTACTGTGTGGAGGAACGCTTGGCTTTATATAAGGGCAACTGTTGTACGTGTTCGGGCCTCATGTTTCTCCAATTTCATATTAAAAAATAGCTTCCTTTTGTGTACCTCTTGCGTAGCTTCAGCTGTTAGATATCTGGCTGCTGTTGGCCCAGGTAGCTGACGATATGGAATAGTCAGAGTACTAAGTAGCATACGTTTGTCAAGGCCAGGGCCTTGAAAGCACTGTGATACAGCACCGTTGAAAATACCGACACCTGTGTGTAGAAAACAAGTGTAAGTAAATGACTCAAGACAACTATTGGAGGTGCTCTTAGTTGAAAGTAAGCAGCTTAGAGCAAGACTTGGACAGCTTCAAGTGGCGAATGTTACAGAAGATAGGGAAAAAATAACGCTGGGTGGTAAGTAGCAGATTCCTGCAGCAATTTTTGAGGATAAGAAGAAAGCTCACTGGTGACATGCTACCTATGTGCTTGTCTCTTTCCCTGTCTCTTTCAGCATGCTTTCTGGCTGCGCACAGCAAGACTCTACACAGCTATGCGGCACGACTACTCATTCAGCTCGTCTTTGCCGAATGCAGCTCTGACCAACCCAGTGCACGGTATGGTGATGGCAATCTCATCTATACTCTCATGTGACCATTATGGGAATGCATGTGTGTGTGTTTGTGTACGCATGTGCGTTCGTGTTGTGTTGTAGTTCGCTTGTGCAGATCCATAAATGTGGACATCTTCAAGCTCCCAAGTACGAAGAGCTTAGAGAGCTCCAGAGAATCTCATCAAATTTCAGGAGCATGTACTATGTGTGTGCGGGGGAGGGGTGTTTGAGCGCGTGCATGTGGACGGGGATCAAGGGGTTGTTGTTGTTGCTGCTGCTACTGCCATTGTCGTTGTCATTGTTGCAAACTACAGAGCAGTGCTGTGCATTTGTTGTTCTTTGCCATGTGCAGGGTTCGGTTTGTGTCTACACCGTGCTCGTCCACTGTACCCGAGGCCTGTTTCTGGCAGCATATCTTGGAGAGGTGAGTACGTTGATCACGCTGATTTGTGTGCTGGAACTGTGCTTTGTGTACGTTCGTACTGGAGTTCATATTGGAGATTGAAAATCTGTATAAGTACTGTGGCCTCGCTGACATACTACTGCTACTCATTGCCTTTGACTTAGCACAACATGCATCTGCTGAAGTATGCCCACTACTGTGTCGCACTTGCACCCACAAACTGCATGCATGTACCCACTGTACTAACTGATCTCTTTTGCACTTCAGTTTTGTACTTGATTGTAATACACACTCCTTCAACATAGCATTCTTTCTCTCCCTCCCTTCTCAATGTATGTGTGTGTGTGTACGTGCGTGCGCGCGCGCTTGTGTTTGGTGTGGTTTGGTTTGAAATCAGACTTGACATTCGATCAGTCATCAAGCTCTTACCGATTGTCAGTGCCCATGCGTGTCAGCGGCTGCAGCTGAGTGACACTCGTCCCGACCTGTACAGTCTGGATGATCTCAAGCGCCTATGCAATGAATGGACAGAGCTGACAGCACAGTGCACAGCACACACCAGTGAGCTGTGCGATGCACTGCTGTCACAGCTGGCAGAACACCAGGACAGGTGTGTATAGTTGTTTGTTGATTGGCTCAGGAACCTGGGACCCAAACTACTTCCTGTGATAAAACTTAGTTCACTTTGGGTGAAATGATCAGTAATCACCCACAGGACGTGCCAAAATTAGTTTACAGAAGAAGTTAATAGTCGCATGCTTCCAAAAGGTGTTGATAATTTCTATGTGTTCATTGTCATGCTGTGTGCGAAGGCAGGTTGAACAGGAGCACACACCTCTGTCCCGTGAATATTGTGCTAGCCTCTATCCCTGAACAAGTATGCATGTGTACAAATAGAATGTTTGCTTTTGTGCTGCCAGCTCTGCCGAATCTGTTCCCAGCAAGCTTACCCAGGTGCACTTATCAACCGGGTTTATGGCTGCCCTCGCCGACGTACAGTCCGCTCGGGATCATGCAGCGGCACTGGATGCCCTGCGACGGCTGGACCTCACTGTGACCGCTGCCGCATCAGTGGCATCGTGTGATGAGATGTATGTATCCGTGCCGCCACCTGAGCAGAGCAGCTTGTTCCCGCGCTGCGCTGCACCATGTGACCTGGCTGGCATTGTCGCTACGAATGTCTTGGATGCTACTGCAAGGTATGTCCCCTCTCCCCATTTCCCATGTTGTCCTCGGCAATAGTTGTATGTTTGGATGTGAGGCACATGGCTGATGGCCGACGGGGTCTTTTTATAACACCTCTTGCTGGTGGGCTGATCTACTCACCTCCTGCAGCTTTGGAGCTGCATCTGCGCCTTAGAGCTTTGCAGGGTGGTCGCGGTCCTAGTACTTCCTACGGATGCTGAAAACTCAGTCTAACCGAGTCTCAAGCGAATTGTGTATTTTTTAGGTCGTTTTCCACTTCAAGCTTGTACATACTTTACCCGATGCTTCACTGCTGACTGTTCAGGTTCTTGTCTAACATGCCAGCCAGTAAAGATGACTTCAATCTCTTCACCCAGCTCATGACATCTCTCCGCTGCGTTGTGGAGTTCCCAGGCAGTGTTGGAGGTATATCGGACCTGGCCACTGGCCTGGTGACCAACATCCTAACTGGGGATGGCAGTGTCTGTATGGTCCTGTTACGACAACACCTGATGTCCTCGAATGCAACAGTGCGGGCGGATTTGAGCGAGTTTGAGCAGAGTAAACGGTAAGCATTTGCTCCATATTCACGTTCATATGTTGTATACTTGAAGGTGTTGTGCTGTGCATTTAGAATACTCCTAGCATCGAATCACATTCTGGTACCTTCACCGCCTATCTGGCTTGTTATTGAATCTTAATCAGCAGTTTGTGTCCCCATGGCTGTTTGTGTTGCAGCAATGCCTTGGGTGCTCTACTGGAGTTGTATGCAGCAGTAACCAGGTTGTTCCCGCACAAGCTACAACAGTAAGTCCAGTGCATGTCAGTGACACTTGCCCGTCCTCTCTGTTTGAGTTCTTCAACATTCTGATCAGTGCACGTTCTAAACCAAATGAGAACAAGAATGCGACCATGTAAAAAAAATAGCTCATTTGCAATGAATCTTTCAGATAGCAAAATGCCTTTGTTGAGAGAGTAAGCGGAGTGAATAGCATTGTTTTCCTTGCCGTAACCGTCTGTATATCTTGTCTTTCTTGTTCTGCTTGAAGTTGTCAGTTGCTCTCCTTGATGGCAGCTATTGGCAATGTCCTCACTGGTGCAGTGGAAACGTGGAGCTCAGAGCCGACCAATGCAATGGAGACGACAGATTTGCTGCAGCTTTCGTCTACATGTCTGCTATCACGGGTTTTGACCTGTCTTGTTGATGCATCTTCAGGGTACGGTGGAGCATGTTTTGTCTTTCTGCTTGTCTATTTTGTATGTCTGCATCTGTCTGTTTGATGTTTTGTTTGTTGAGCTTCATTCTCGTACTTCACCATATGCACAGGCAACATCTGCCTTCTCGCTGGGCGTATTGCCACAGTTTTCGCAAAATGATGAAGTCTGTGTATGTCTGCTTGCCTGTCTGTATGTGTGTTTGCCAGCCTGTTTGTCCAATGATCTGTCTGAATGTCTCAGTGTCTGCTCCAGACCCGGGTCAGCGACCCGGTTGGGGGGGGGGGGGTACTTGGACCCGTTTGGAAAAAGAACACCGGGTCACCCGTGACCCGGTTGGGAATACAATATGCATCAGAGAGCCCTGAAATATGTACAACTCCTTGATCATAGGCTGGTGTACATGCAGTAGCCGCACTTGAACGGACCCGGCTCTGACCTGGTTGCAATGGTTGTGCCAGGTACATGTGTACCCGGTTGCTTTGGAATCCTAGAGTAGACACTGTGTCGACTTGCTGGTCTGTATGTGTATACGTCTGATTCTGTAGTCTGCCTCTATTGTTGTTGTGTGAATTTCTACGTTTCTAGACTGGAAAATGCGTTACTTGGTACACCCGGCAAGACTCGCGATATTGATTACCATCCCCTGTTTAACATGCTGAGAGATCTTGTGAAGGTATGGGCTAGTCACACGAATGGTTTCGAAGCAACCTTCGTTTTTATTTTCTCTCATTCTACGGTTTATAGGATTGTGAAATACAGTCGAACCTCTTTAGGACGAACACCAAGGGACCAACGGTATTGTTCGCAATAACGGGAGTTCTTCTTATCCATTTGTCTTACCCAGTGAATACACAGTGATGAATCCTATAGTGCTTGGAATTCTAGTTCTTCTTAAGCGAAAGTTTGTCTTGTCAGTGGTCTTCTTAAAACGAGGTTTCACTGTATACCGTGTTGTGCATCATGCACCATTACCCATTTTGGCATTGTTCAAGCAGGCTGTGATGTACATGCACATGCATGGCTTTGTGACACCACATGTACGCTCTCACTCTGCAGATTGCCAGTCGCATCAGTGGCCATGTCAAGGATGGTATGTCTCCTGTTGCAGCGTCACTGCTGCGCAGTGCAGCTCTGTGCATTTCGCACATTAGCGCTTTCCTCAGCTGCCAGGAAATCCCCCAGGTTAGTCTGCAGTGCTTTTTTGTACTACTTTGGAGGGCACTGCCAAGGACTTTATTTACTTCATCATAATGTTATCACACGAAGAGACGAAGCCAGTTGTAAACCTGATGAGGCCTTCCGTACCATTACGTCTCAAATCCGTACAAGACATGGTGATAATGGCTTCTGGCTTCGTCTCCTCGTGTGATAATATGTTTTTTCCTCTGACTAAGTCCTTGTTCATCATAATGGCAATGATATTGGCCTATGCAATAGTTTCCACTGATTTCTCTTCATGCTTTCCTGTATGGTGCGGTACTGATACATGGTTGTGCTATGGCTGGCTGTTGATACGGATTACTAATAGCCTATAGGATGTATGTGATGTCACCTTTTGTGTCGAGTTAGAACTGGCGCCAGCTGTTCGCTGTCGGTGTCCAGTCGCCATCGTCGAGTCACTTTGCAAGCAGTGTTGCCTGGATGAAACCTCTTGTCTCGCTGTCATGGGACGTTACGGTAAGAGACTAACAAAATAATACTTTTAGGCCAAACTAAAAAAGGTGTGTGGTTCGACTAACATGGACATTTTTTTACGGGCGGGCGGGCGGATTTTTTTTTTTTTAATATATATTTTTAGTCGTGAGTCAGTCAAGTGTCAAGTTCGGCAAGAAGCGTGTGCTCCTCGTTGGAGCAACCAACTTCCTGACTATTACCGCCGAAGTCGCAACTTCTAAGTTCGTATTGTTGTCCCTCACGCGGACGTGCGACTAGTTGTTGGAGGTGACAGCGTTGTGAATAGCTATACTGGCTCTCAACGTCTGTTCAGCACAACTCCATGAGCGACTCTGACTCACGCTGCTACCTGGGGCTTCACGAGGTGTTTGTCGCGCTGGAAACAAAGCGTCTCTGTAAGCTTGTATCCCTGGTGATGGTTTGGCCTGGAGAGCAGTATATAAGTGGTGCTTTTCAGGCACAATCTTCCTCAGCCTACTCAAGCTCAACTGATGAGGGGTGAATTCCCCGAAACACTGTGTATTGAGCAGGGAGTGGTGCTTTCTTTCAGGTTTGCCGAGCGGAAGGTGCGACATGCTCCTCGTGTGCTCCGGATGGCAGTCGTGAGTCAGTCAAGTGTCAAGTTCGGCAAGAAGCGTGTGCTCCTCGTTGGAGCAACCGACTTCCTGACTATTACCGCCGAAGTCGCAACTTCTAAGTTTATATTTTTTAGTACATGTAAATACACTGTACTGCCTTTAGACACCCAGTACATCGGCATTATTACGCAGTGTTATGCCATACATGTTGTATAAAGGGATCACTGGCTAATACTTTGAAACATTGTGTGGCAGAAATGTGACTTAGAAGTATGTGTGACTCAGCCCTCCGGACCCAATGAACAGTGCTATGGCAACTTACCGGTACAGGTGAAATATCGTTCCCAATACACGAGGAAAGTGCAATCTCGTCTGTCCTTCATCCCAAAACAGAAGGCCGTCCTTAATCTGGAACGAGGCAATCACTCTCAACCGGATGGTCACTTCAAAATAAGTCTCGCCAGTCTGCCGGTGGTCGTATCGAGTAGACTCTACTACCAGCACAAGGCAGCAGTCTTTCCACTCACTGCACTGCACTGCAGTACAACTACAAGTCAAGTCCAAAAGGAGCCGCCTGCGTCCGCAGACTCACGCTGCACAGCACGTAGACGTGGACGTGTTCAGTCCACGTACGTCAGTCACACGACAGCCCGCCGAAAAAAAATACGGTCGGGCTGAAAAATGTACGGTCGGTCGGGTGAGTCGAACCACAGACTTTTTTCAATGTGGCCTTACTAGTGTTTTTACACCATGTACAGCTGTATCTGTTGCTGTGTGGTATTATTTCAAAGTGGGACTTGTTGGTTGTAACATATGTTTCATGATTGTTGCTCAACTGTGCTGTTACCAACATGACATTGATTATCAGCAATGCCATTTGTACTCGCAACGTCTTGGCCATGGGTAGTACATGTATATCTAGAGTGGGGTTGTGTCATGGGTAGTACGTATGTATATCTAGACTAGAGTGGGGTTGTGTCATGGGTAGTACGTATGTATATCTAGACTAGAGTGGGGTTGTGTCATGGGTAGTACATGTATATCTAGAGTGGGGTTGTGTCATGGGTAGTACGTATGTATATCTAGAGTGGGGTTGTGTTGTAAAGTTTCTCCCTTTAGAACTCCCTCAAACTTGTGCATTATTGAAGTCAAGTCTGTGTATCCTATTGCTTTTTTTATGGTGGGGCACAGGTTATGCGCTAGAGCCCGCCAACTAAACCAGGTTTTGAACAATCAGAAGAGTATTTATACAGTATTTATACAGTATTTTCCTTGGCTCACCATCTGACTACTTACTTCTTTCTGGAGTTGTAATTCACTAATTTTCAATGAGGCTTTTCGTTTCCGATCGACACTGTAACTTTTTTTATGTTATTTCCCATGTGTTTAGGTTCAGTGGTCTTGTCTCCAGTGGCTGTGTGTTCTGCTGCAAGAGCCCAGCACCATTGCAGTTGTACTGGCTGCGTTCGATGACCATGGGCATGACCATGACCATGGTGACAATGTCTGGCGATTAGCTCTGGATTACTTACGTGATGAGAGCCTTGGCTCCATTGTGAGGAAACAGGTATGGTGGGCTGGTTATGGACTTTGTGGCTTGTTTGTGCTCCATCTGTACAGGAATGTTACACTACTCCACCGTCCTGGATAAGATTGCAGTGCAGTGTTTTTGTTCCAGAAATCGTATAGAAAAGTTTTTATGATGCTTGAAACCATCAGAAACAGCCTCTATGTCGCTCTATCCATCCATCTCTCTCTCTCTCTCTCTCTCTCTCTCTCTCTCTCTCTCTCTCTCTCTCTCTCTCTCTCTCTATCTATCTATCTATCTACCCCTTATCTATCTTTTTTTCTCTCTATATATCTCAGGCATGCTTGGTATTGATTCAACTCACTCATCGGCACACGCTTTCTGCCTTGTCGTCAGTCTGCCAGCAGACTTCACAGTCATCGCGGGTACAGGTAAGCCGTCTTGTGCCAAATCCACACTGCACTGGACTTGCACACTGATCAGTGCTGTTATCTCCATGTGAATGAAGAAACTTGTGTTCAACAAAATTTAATACTACCTCCGACAAGCGAAACTTGGCGTGTTTTTCGTTGTTTTTTTTTGTTCGTTCGTACCACAACTTCACAAGGTGCGAGGTACTACCTACTAACTTGTAGCTCGATGCCACCGGGTGCAGGAAGCCAAGCGACGAGCTGGTGAGTGGCACATGGCTCAGACTTTGTCAGAGGTAGGTTTGCTAAGGCAGACCAGTCTCTCGTGTACCAGCACAACGATGCGTGTTTCCATTCTGCGAAGGAGAATCGTCGTGCTTTCGCGTTTCAATGCAAGACCAAGGAGTTCTCTCTCTCCACGTGGTGAATCAGCCAGCACAGAGTTCAGACGTCTATGTCAACAACCTAGTGTCTTTCATTAGCCATCAGAGCGATGCGTCTCTGGTGGCTAACGAAATCCGCCAGGAATTGCTGCCGGCAATTTTGGACTGTTAGCGAGAATACCCGACAAAAGGTTGGGAGTCCAGACGCGTGTGGAGGTGTTGCACAATTCTTACTACGGCATCCTGGAAAGTGGGGGCGGAAATGACTACCCTCGACATCGTGCCTCGATCACAGCAAACATGCGGGACATCGAGATTTCCAGAGCTATCACAGCAGAGGTACTTGCTGCAACTGAATCCGCTCTTGTCGCATTTTCGTCTCACTACAGGGACAATTCCTCTCCACAATAAGCTGCGATCCCCGAATCAGCAGAGAATTATTCAGACTGACTGGTGTCTCTAATGATTATGTCCTTGTTGAGCAATACAAAGTTAGTTGTATTGTGGTGAATCAATGATTATTTTCGAATGTAAAGTGTGAGTTATTTCGAGTAACCTGAAGTAAAAAAACACGCCAAGTTTCGCTTGTCGGAGGTAGTAGGTTCACTGCTTTGAAGGAGTTTGACTAGAAGATTCCTGATTCTGGTAGATGCCAGCCTTGTCATGATTCATGAATCCAAACATCTGCAGCAGGCGCGTGCCCCGTATGGGTTCCTGGGTGCCCGGAACCCCCCTTTTTTTCGCTCAAAATGCAGGATTTTGCTTCATTTTTTGAAAATTTTCCCGGGGAGGTCCCCCGGAAACCCCCCTTGAAGGGCACCGGCGCACGCGCCTGTGCAGCAGTGCCCGTGTTATATCTGGAGTATGTGTAAATGGGTTGTTTTCCAACGACAGTGTTTCTGCAAGGGCACTCCGTAGGATCATCAGGAGCCTGGGGTTTTACTGTAACCAGATGTGCATCTGTCTGCCTCGTGCTTTTGACTCTGTGTGTGTGTGTGCGTGTGTGTGTGTGTGTGTGTGTGTGTGTGTGTGTTTGGCTGTAGAACCTGTGCACTGTGCCGGGGCTGTTAGCCTGGTTGTCCGCCAAGACGGTGAAGTTCTTCCCATGGCTGCACGATGCCTTCGTACAGTGTTCTCCTATGGGTTGCGGCAGTGTTAGTGAGGGTGGCGGTGACAACAGTGTCAGTGGCGACTGTAGCAATGTGAAGTGCAATGTGGACGCATGGCTAGGCTGCCTGTGTCCGTTGCTACACAACTTGCTGTCGCTGTCGTGTGCACCGGTGGCAGAGCAGTTGATGCAGCACAATGTGCTCAGCGCAATCCTGAGGTAAATCACAGCTCGCGGCCGGGCATTCATTTAGGACTTGATTGGAATGTGTCAGGCCTGCGTGAATGCAGGCTAGACTGAATAGGCGACGAGGAGACAATAACTTTATTAAGGCGATAAATAGTATAAGCGAAGCGGACATTACGAAATGATCAATGAGAATACTTCGAAGTACATGTTTGTTAAAATTGATGTTCCTAATCGATTTTCTTGAGACTAGCATCGGGGAAAACTCGTCTCACAATAGAAGCTATGTGGAGAAACAAACTACTTATACGTCTATAGGATAGTGGGAAGTATACAAGGTGAGGGGTGAAAAAAACTAAAGTGGGAGAGAAGACGAAAGAAAGAAGAAAAAGAAAAGATGTGAGAGTGTTCCAACGGTGTGAGCTACTACAAAAAGTGAGTGAAATGAAGGCGTGGAAGCAGGTGAATGCGATAGAGTGAGGAACTGTGAGGTGTGGGTGCATGCGAATGAATACGTGTGTGAATGCTTGGTGAAGAGTCTCAGTTTTGTGACATTTTCTTTCTGAATGCATAGAATCTATGCATTAAAAAAAATTGTTAATGCATAGATTCTATGCATTCAGAAAGAAAATGATTAGGATTGATTAGGATTGTGTTTACGGATGAAAACAGCTTCTAATACCTCTTTAAGTTCACGAAACCTACGAGCACGGCACAAAACAGTGAAGCATGAATCGTCATACACTGAGCGGCATTGGCTACTTGAGGTGTTTCTTAATTGCTGACCCTTTTGTTGTCCTCTCACCTTCAGTCCAGTCATCTTCATCTTGCTTTTCCAGCTCACTTTCTTCATCACTGCTCACACCTTTCTCATCCTCTTCTTCTTCCATATCGTCCTCTGCACCCGACGACAATCCTACGCTACTGCTCGCTGCAAGTCCATGTCCGGTTGTAGATGTCATTATCACCGCACGAGTCATGCTTCTTGTTACTGGTTTCTGTACCTGTGCTTGGCCATTTCCTGCAATCACATGTACCTGTGTACTTGTAGTAGGTTCAACCGGTACTAGAATAGTGTGGTTCTGAGATAGTTGTGCAACAGGCAACTGTTTGCGGGGACGGCCTCGTCCAGGTCGCTGGGCTCTGGCTGCATCTGACAATAGGTACAATGGTACATGTTGTTTGACGCGTGCGTTCAGGTGCTGAAGGGTTCTTCCTACATATCGGCTATCACAATGCCGACATTCGAAATGATAGATTACATGGCTGATTAGTTGGGTAGGAAGAACATCCTTCTTCACCGTGAACGCACAGGCCGTAGTAAAGACTGTTGTCAATGCTGTGGCAAAATAAGTTTGACCACAGTCCTAACGGCGCGGGCCACAATCAAGAGTTGCGTGATCTTCTCTTCTGTAATGGGCTTGCCATCCACTAGGATCTTATCACGGGGAAGGAGACACTTCACACCCTGTGAACGGAGCTGCTTGTACTTCGGCAGGAGACTTCGACGGGCCTCTCGCTGTTGCATAGTTAGATCGTGGTTTACGTAAACTGGGTTCGTACCATGCTTCAAGCCAAAGCGCGCATCCATCAATTTGGCCTTGGTGGTGGCTGTCATCTTGGCGCAGCGCGGATCAGCCTTGGTCGATCACCTCCTGGTCATCCGAGGCAGTCTGCTGCAGTGAAGGTTGATGTATCTATGTCCGGAACAAGTGATGCCGGCACATCTACTAGCGTCTCCTCAGTGTGCTCCCCTATGCCTGAAATAATGACATTGTCCCGTATCTGCAGTTGCATGCACTCTTCCTCAACCACTTGGCGTACGGTAGACACGGTGTCATGGGACACGTGGCAAGACACCGCAGAATGAGTACGGGTACTCATATCCTCTGTCAGGGGTTGTACGGTGCTGGCCAGTTCCGTCTTTTCGCGCTCCAACTCGTTCACTCTGGCCTTGAGATCCTTCACCTCTTTGCTCAAATTGTCAACATTGCATGTCAATACTGCCAGTCTCTCGTCCAAAAGTTCCGACATACACACCTTAAAATCAGCGAGTATATCTGGGGCCACAGCGGCCTTGGCAGAAAAGGTGGAACCTATAGCACCGGTCGGACCAACAGACCTAACTAGAAAACATAGTCACCAAATCTCGCAGGAGCAGTGCGGATCCGGCCTGATCGACGCACTAATACTGGAGGAGCAACAGGAGGAGGTAGAGGTGATACGGCAACAGGCGGCGACAACGGAGGCGGACTCGGCACAGAGTCATCAGCACCATGTGGCACAACAGGAGCAAAGTCATTAGCTGACAAAATCACTGGGTCGGGGAGATCATTGACAGACGACGGTAAGGTAACTGGGCACGATGAAGTAACTGGCTTCAAGCGATTGAAGTGAACAGTACGTTCAACTCCATTGGGCAATAACGTGTATGATGTTGGACCCTGAGCACGCACAATAGTATGTGGACCAGACTGCTCATTCCTTTTTCCACTTGATCTGTTGCACTCGGTACCGCCGTCTTTGCATTCACCGTTTTTCCTTTTAAACTAGCCAATTTGTCATTGCATTCCGAAATACGTAGAACAACCGTATCTCCGTATTCTTCCTCTTGTTTTTTGATTTTTCTATCCTGTGATTTCGATGATTCAAAATCATTGATCAAAGTTGCGAACGACTCGTACAGGGATTCACACTTCGTTTCGGTGGCGTTGAAGGTTACACAAAAGGCACTTATCTTTTCCAACTTTGGCGTGCCGTCAGTCAGCAGCCTGTCGGCTTCCACAACCCGTTGTTGCGTGACGACCCGGTGAGCCTCGAGTAGCTTTCGTTTTGTCTTGGCAGAGCCACTCACAGATTCCGATGACTCCGACATGGCAGCTGTGACCTAGTACCTACATGTACATGTAGGCCGGGTTTCGGCACCAAAAACATCGTGAAGCATCGTCCCTCTAATGATCTCGCCCCATATCGGGGCAAGCGAGACTCAGACAATCACAACACTCGCAATAAGGTGACTTGGTTTACATAATTTTCTTACATGACACGTGATCGTTGCCGGGGCCATGGCCAATAGGCGATCTTCCAGCCGCGGGCATAATCAGGCCATCAGGACCGTTTGACGTCATTTCGGGAGTTTCAGGACCGTTTGACGTCATGCCGGGAATGTCAGGACCGGTTGACGTCATTTCGAGAATAATTTGTCGACCTTCGACCTTTCGACCTTTGACCTTGCTTCGCGATGTAAGAAATCAAATCAAGCACGCTCTGTCTGTCATGATGGCTGAATCTTGCCCTTGCCTGCAGCCCTCGGGCCTATGGCCCTTGGGCTGCAGGCTCGGGCAATATTCAGCCATCATGACCTCCTGAGCGTGCTTGATTACATACATTTAATAGACTGAATAGACTGAAAATATTACCAGAAACTTGATGAAGACGCCATATGTACACACAAGTGCATGGCGGTACGGTGCGCACTGCGGAATAGCTGGTTGTGCATGCTCTAAATTAGTATGTACTATGGAACAGCTCGCAGTAGTAGCATCACAAATTTGGAGCTCCGAAATGAACACAATGCCATGCATGATAACTGGATCATTGAATATTCGCGATAGCTTCGCGACATAGGTATACCGGAGATGCCAGCAGCAGACTTTCCACTCGACCTCAAATCGTCGGGAGAACTTTCGTATGTTGTCCCTTCATCCACCCACTGCATGTATGCAGTGGGTGGATGAAGGGACAGCGTAGTTACCGGTGCGCATGCAATGATCTGATCAATGTATATATGTCTCTATCCCTTCATCTACCTAGGTATTGACTGTGTTGTTCTGCTGTACATGTACTACTAAGGCCGTCATCACACCACGTTCTCCGACTCCCGTTTACGTCTACGTCTATGGTGAAAAAAACCCAAAACGGGTGGTCGTGTCATCAGACAGGCATAGTTCTTGACGCGTACACGCAGTCAGGTTTTTGGAGAAATTTAGACGCACGTACATCGAAGTACAGGGTCGCTCGGAAAAAGGCTGGGGGAGATACGCACGTTCATAAAAAAAAGTCGTATACCCCCCTCTCCATACCACGTCTACGTCTCCCGTTTCCTCTGCTCCCGTTTTCACCCCGTATACGGATCATCATGACAACCGACCAAAAACTCCTTACGTGGACGTAGACGCAGCGCTTTGTACCATGGTGTGATGACAGCCTTAAGTAATACATGCACCAATAATGCATTTCTTTCTAGGATTGATGAAGTCTAAGTCACTGTTTTACTCTTCTCTCTCTCTCTCTCTCTCTCTCTCTCTCTCTCTCTCCCCCCCCCCCCCCCATGTTTCCTCGGTGTCTTTGCATGGCTCTAGCTTGAGCCATGTTCGTGTTCCGTGCAATGAACATTATCTTGACCTGCTTTTTGTTTGTTTGTTCTTGCTGCTCTTGTTGGTCTTGTTGTTCATTTTCTGGTCATCATTGTCTCCGTCGTCATCTTGGGCGTGTATGGGCTGTCATCAGCACATGTTGCTGCACACTAGCTAGCCTGACGCTGCGCCAGTCCTGCTGTTATCTGCTGAGTGCTGTGCTGGGCGCTTCCAGTGTTGCACGATCATGGGCAGTGTCAGCAGACGGCCCGCCATTGCTTCGTCTTGTGGCGTGTCTTGGTAAGTCGACTACTAATTGCATCGTGTGGGTGTGTCTCAGTGGTGTTTTGTTTTGTCCGGTTTTGTCAAAGGATTCGTTCTAGGTAGGGGGTGGCCAGCTCTGTCTGGCTCGCTTTACTGGATTCTAGACTGTATCACTTCAGGCTCAACTCGCATTGCAAACTTCCTTGTGTTTCCAACTAACTAGCGAAAGAAGACTGGCCGAAAGGAAAAGCACCATGGTATATAACACAGCAGGGCAACATAAAGGCACAGCAGGCCGAGCAGGGCGGCATAAAAGGCACATGTGAAACCAGAGACCCGGACTCGTCGACACATGCAAATGAGGGCCGCTCTATCGCCTGACATGAATGCGTACAAAGAGAGCATAAGCAGACAGGTTTGTCATGAACTAAGATGCCGACGCGCATGACCGTAACACAGCACGACAATGAACATGACAGCCAGACTACTCCAGACATGAATGCAGGAAACCAGTACACGTGACCATGCGTGCACAGGGGGGGGGGGATTTTAGCATACCACACTTCAAAATTTCTGTCCACTAATTGACTGCCCTCTGTTGTAGTGTGTAGTTGATTTGGCATGACAGCTATGTTAACACATGAGCAGGGCATTCTCTTTGTCACTGTGAACCGTCACCAAGAGGCATTGTATTCAATATACGTTCACGATTGTAGCCCGAAATGTGCGTGTTGAAGTAGACTAGGTGTTATGTCCTACTTTTCCTTAACGCGCACTAAAGTCTTCACTCGCCCCTTTGTTCTTGTGCACTGTTGCCTTTTTGTCCTCTCACCCCATCTGTCAACTCGCACCTTACTTGTCAGGTTAGCATCTTTTGGTGTGCCTTTGTAGGCTTGCGCTAGATACATTCTGTATTCTACACTGTGTTCTTTTCAACTCAAATACTGGGGCCATCCTGACGGCTTCTTTTTCGCTTCTCTGCTGAGGAAAGACTAAGATCTCTCTATCTCTCTTTCTCTCTCTTTCTCTCTCTTTCTTTCTCTCTTTCTCTTACTCTCTCTCTATCTATCTCTATCTCTATCTCTCTCTCTCTCTCTCTCTCTCTCTCTCTCTCTATCTCTGTATCTCTCTCTCTCTCTCTCTCTCTCTCTCTCTCTCTCTCTCTCTCTCTCTCTCTCGCTCTCTCTCTCTCTCGCTCTATCTCTGTCTCTCTCTATCTCTCTATCTCTCTCTCTATCTCTCTCTCTCTATCTCTCTCTCTCTCTCTCTCTCTCTCTCTCTCTCTCTCTCTCTCTCTCTCTCTCTCTTTTGCCAGAATTGTTTCTGTGTGGAAGTACCTGTATGCTTTTGCAGTGTGTTCTGTGACTCTCTCCTTTTTCTTGTAGAGGTTGAGCTTTGGATGCTTGCCTGTCATTGCTGCCCTATCCAGATGGTTCCACTCCTGCGGCCATAGCTCTGGTTGTTTCTGACATCATTGGACACTTCTTTGCACTGCCAGCGTCGACGGAGGCGCAACAGGCTCGTATGACTGTTTCCACCTTCCTCTGTCAGTCTTGGACAACATTCTCATGTGCGTATCAGTAGCTAGGTGATCAGGCTACGACGTATACCTTTCTGAAAATGTAGCCATTAATACGCTACTGCATTTCAGGAGCACATATTCTTGTATATTTGTTTTGAAAGGGCTCGTGTTGTACATGCTGGCCCGATCTGCTGATGTGAGTATTGTGCTCTGGCAGTGCATTGTTCTGTTTTTGTGCCCTTTATCTTTGATTTTTCTGCTTCTCATTCCAATATGTTTGCAAATACTTTCCTCTCTTGTTTTGCACCTGCAGGCTGGTGCCGGCGCTTTCTGTCCAGTGAATCTGAAGAGGAGAAGATGTCTGCCCTGGTCTTGCTCAGCAGTCTCTTGTCACATGCTCACACAGAAAATAGGCAAGAGTCTGGTCCAGTGTCGGCACTTCTTCAGCTTCTCGAGTCTGAACAGGATGAGAGCACCGAGAGTGGCAGCGGTAGTCCACCTTGTCGGACTATCTCATTCGCCACACCGCCAGCAACAACAGAAGTAACAACTGGAGCTCCACATGGCGATAGTGTGTCCAGTATTGCTCATCAGAGCCAGCAGCACCAGCAGCAGCACAACCTGTGCTCACGCTGTCTGGTCATGTTCCTGATAGAGACAAGTGAGTTGTGTGCAACATCAGGGAAGCGGCTGCCGAGCGCTGCAAGTTCTGGCCATGCTCTGCTGATATCTTTGCTTGCTCTATCACCCCTAGCCAGACAGCAAGCTGTGAAAGGTATGGAATCATTGTGTCAGGTTTTTCCCTAGTATTCATCATTCACACCAGAATCACTCATTATCTTACTCCACTGATGAACTCTGCCAGAGCAAAACAGCTGTCTAGAGGGTTTGCAATATTAATACCTCAATGGAATTGTCGGCCAAGAGTGTAGTATGGAGTAGTGGTGTGACTAACATTTTCCATATGCTGCGTCTTTTACCCTTCAGGAATTGTGTGTTGCTCCCTACATGGGAGCTCGTGCTTTTCCTGCTGACTTGAATTCTCACTTGACTGACTCACGACTGCCATCCAGAGCATACGAGAAGTCCATCGAACCGTCCACTCGGCAAACCTGCAAGAATTCAATTGAGAATTCAAGTCGGCAGGAAAAGCGCGAGCTCCCATATATGTGTTGCTCCCATGTCCCCAAGTATCGCCAAAGTCACACCAACCTCTTCTTCACTTTTATCCTTCAGTGGTGGAATTTTAAAAAAAATTAAAAATTAAACCTTGTATAGAATGGCACTTTATGGCAGGCATGTTTTTTCTTTTCTTTTTTCTTCACAGCTGGCTTCATTGGCAAGTTGTTGTCTAGGGTGGAGGAGTGTGTGCAGCAACTGTCAGCAGTAGCACTCAAGGTGAACTTGTCAGCTACAGAACGCAGGGCGGTGAGTGTTGTGTCACTGAGAGACAGTGCATGAAAGTTTGCTGCCTGTTGTATACTCTATACTAACCATACTTGTGCTGCACCAACATAACTACACAATCACATGTGTGTATGCATTGCAGTACTAGTATAATGAGTGGGACGGGTCTTGAAAGCGGCCCTTGATTCGAGGCCACCTCCTCTAGCCTACAGTAACTTTAGCTACCCTATCTGAAGATGAACACTGGCTGCTGCTGCTAGTGATGGGCCAGAGACAAGCTTTGTTAGGGTGTTTGTTCAAGTATGTTTGTTATTTTGTCATGAGAAATTATGATTCTCTTTCTCTCTCAGCTTGAAGGATCGACTGTGTCCGTCTGCCAAACTGCCTTGCGACTTCTGCAGAATGTTGTGTATCAAGACAGTAATGCAAAGGTGAGTTTCTCTCCGGCCCAGCATTTCCGGGCATTGCCTTTCTTTATTCCACCCACGCTGCTACCATGTTTGTCATTGCTCTCGCTGCTGAGTAGATCCAATACCCAGTAATCTAGGGTTCATGCGGGAAGGAAAGGGGAGCTGTGTCTCCACGCAGGGCCCAGTACCCAGTAGCATAGATCACATGTGCCACACTGAAATGAAAGATAGCGGAGCTGTACCTAAGGACCATTCTGTATTCCATCGGCCAGTTAGGCGCCGGTCACACATGCAGGCGGCGACACCGCTTTTGCGGCTGCCTCCAACACGCTGGCAGTGGGCGCTTTTGTGGCTCTTTTCTGCCGGCGGTCACACATGCAAAGGCTTTGGTACGCACGCAGCTTCACGGGTCTCCACAGGTGTCGTAAAACTTTTCTCTGAAAAAGACTGTAGCCTCAAAATTCCTTTCCTGCGCTGGTATGGATCGCAGAAACGCCCAGAATCGCCGACTACGTCGTGACCAGCGACTGCGGAGAGCTATGGAGATTGCCTCAATATTCATGTTGTTCAATTTCTCTTCGTTTGAATCTTGCGGAAGCTCCTTGAGCATCGGTGGACGCCTGAGTCGAGTCCCATGTCGGATGGTTGACCTCGAAATAGAGGGAGAGGAGCAGTTGCTCTTGGTCAGCAGTCCACTTCATGACGAGAGATGAAAAACTAATTTTTCCAAGATCCAAGAGATCCAACAACGACAACGCCGCAAAAGTTGCACTACCGCTTTTGTGTTTCGCCACCAATTTTTTGGTTGTGGCGCTTTTGAGATTGCCGCCGTGGCGCCAGGCGCAGTATCCATGGTGATCCGGGGATATCCCAACTTTTGTGGTGCAGCTTTGGTGGTGTCGCAAAAGCGCCATGCATGTGTGACCGGCGCCTAATGCAGTACTGTAGTGCAGTGTATGGCTATTGCTCACTAGTAACACTGTGCTGGCGTGTTTTTCTTTGTGTGCGTGTGCATACGCGTATGTGCTCATCTGCACACTTTGTGTATTTGTGTTGTCCAGCTACTGCTGGTGACTGGGCACATAGCTGTGTCTATCCACCGCCTATGGTGCTGGTCACTTCAACACGAAGTTCTGATGCTGGCCATGACTGGCTTCCTTTTGTCCTTTACATCTAACTGCTCTCAAGGTACTTGTGCGTCTCTCTGTCTACAAGTGTGTGTGTGGGGGGGGGGGGGGTACGTGTGTGTATGTGTATGTGTGTGTGTATGGTGTGTGTGTGTGTGTGTGTGTGTGCGGTCCCATATGGTGCAGTGGTATGTGCAGTCGATTTCCAATCGAGAGGTTGCGGGTTCAATTCCCGACGATTATGGTCGCGCACGTCTTTCTTCTCTTTCTCGGACTCTTCCTGACTTTCCTTTCATTCTCCTGGGTGGTTACCAACAGCCAGTGTATGCCGGAGTATGTGGTGTGGTGTGGTGTGTGTGTGTAGAAAAAAAAAATGGAAAAATGAAAAATAGGGATTCACTGGCCAGAAAAAGTCACTTCAAACAGCTGTGTGGTGGATACCAGGCTAAAAATAGTGGCGGTCAATTCATCAGCCTTGCAAGCTGTTGAATGGTGTAATCCCAGCACAAGTTGCTATGTCTAACATAGCTGTTCGCTATCATCGCTTCCGCGATGGGCATGTCTGAGGTCTGAGGTGTGTGTGTGTGCGCGTGTGCATGTGTGCATGTGTGATTATTCTTTCTAAACCAATATGAGAGTGTGCTAGGAACTTCTGCCGTACCATTCACTCAGCTGCATCCGGGTATGTGAACTCTTAACTCTCCCTAGTTGAAAGAGCTCATACAGAGCAACTAACGTGCAGAACATTAGTCCTTCCAAGCTTCAAAGCCCGAGAGGACCAGGGTTTCACTTTGAAGTCATGATAACTTAATGAAATCTTCCATCTGGCTGAAGCCCATCTTCACTTCCAGCTGAAAGTAAGGATTTCAGAATTGGAAAGTAAGGTCAGACAAGCTACTCCAATGCACAGACTTTTTTTCCAATAAGGAAGTGCCACATGCACTTGTCATTTCAATAGTTTGTGTAGACTAGAAATCGGCAGACCAAACAGTGGCATTGATTAGCTTACCGTGGTGTCTTGTTTAAAGCCCGTCTCACATAGAAGCCTGTTTTGAATACCAGCCTGAGTTTCAAGATACACTGTTGGCACATAAGCCTGGTTTTAGTATTGACACACATAGAAATACCTGGTGTGAATAGAAGCCCGATGTGAATAGAAGCCGTGACATCGGCTTCTACAGGAATAAGCCCGGCTATAATACGCAGCATTTACGGTATAGTGTGTAAATCTTTCTGCGTTACAGCTTGTCAATCACTCCTTCTGGCCTCTACGCCCGGCCCCTCCACCTCACGGTCGTCAACAAGAGTGAAATCCGTGATTCACTTCCTGGTTCATCGTGTTACACATCTATTGTCGCTGACATCCACACTGCGCAACTGTTCTGCACCAGCCTCGGCGGCCGCTGCAAACAGTAGCAGTAGCAGCTCTGCCTCCTCATCAATCTCAGCTCATAATGTATCATTGCTTCAGCTGTGCTCCGTGCTCGCCAACTGTGCACGCTCCACTGCATGTCGGAGGGTGTTGATTCGGGTGAGTGCTGCTGCTACATACTGTGCAAGGGAACAGGGTCCACTATAGTAGTATACCTCCCTTTAGCCAGGGCACTGCCCACAACTTAGAACAGACGTGATGTGTTCCGTGCAAGTGACCACTTTAATGTCAATCTATATATTTTGGGAATTGTGTGTTGCTCCCTACGTAGAAGCTCGCGCTTTTCCTGCCGACTTGAATTCTCACTTGACTGACTCACGACTGCCATCCAGACCACACGAGAAGTCCATCGAACCTTCAACTTGGCAAACCTCCAAGAAAGCACCACTCCCTGCTCATTACACAGTGTTTCGAGGAATTCACCCCTCATCAGTTGAGCTTGAGTAGGCTGAGGAGGATTGTGTCTGAAGGAGCACCATAGTGCTCTCCAGACTAAACCATCACCAGGGATGCTTTAATACAAACTTACAGAGATGCTCCGTTTCCAGCGCGACAAACACCTCGTGCTGTCGGCAGGAAAGCATGAGCTCCCACGTAGGGAGCAACACACAATTCCCCAAGTATCGCCGAAGTCGCACCAACCTCTTCTTCATTATATATTTTGGTGCTCGTTTTTATTGAAAAGCCAATGCTTATAACTCTGCAAAATATGATCCGCAAAGCAACTTTGCCAACAAGAAGGAGGTCACGTCCCGATGAGGGCTATTACTCCAGAAAGCGTGGCATTTTTCCATATTACTAGCCGTCAGACATCGGACGTTTCCCGGCCATTTTCAGTCGATTACCGCTTGTTTGAACTTGTGCCAGCCGGCCACTATGTCTACTAAAGTAATTCTCAAAGTTCGACAAAAAAAGGATGTAACTTTAATACACCATGCCCTTCAACTTGTTGATTTTGAAATACAAACTGGGTGAACTTGTTGATTTTGAAATACAGACTGGGTGAACTTGTTGATTTTGAAATACAGACTGGGTGAACTTGTTGATTTTGAAATACAGACTGGGTGAACTTGTTGATTTTGAAATACAGACTGGGTGAACTTGTTGATTTTGAAATACAGACTGGGTGAACTTGTTGATTTTGAAATACAGACTGGGTGCACAGATATCTAAGTACAGTAAAACCTGGTGTAAGCGACCTCTCGTTTTAGCGACCACCTGCTCTTAACGACCGTTTTTCCATGCACAGACAGTTCTACACAGACACTGTGGGACCTGGTTCTAAAGACCACCTGGCTTTAACGACCGCTTTTCCTTGCACCGTGGGGCGGTCGCTTTTAAAAGCCTGCAAGTGCTCACAGGTCTAGGGCTGGGTAATGCCCGGTGCGTACTTGAGTGATTCGACTGGACTTAATTGAGCAGCACTGTATAAACGTAGCAGGTGATGCCTTTGCGGTTTGCGTTATGCAGACGTCACTTACTTGTTAGTTTGAGCACTCTGGCGAGGTACGTTCGGGCCTGGTTTAGATCTGGCTTTGGAAATTTTGTTTTCATTGCTATCAGGTTTGGCCTCATTTTCTCTGTTCTGCGCTGATGAGTCCACAAAGGACAAAACAGTTCTGTCCGCAGAATGAGTAAACCAAGCAGTTAGGTTGGTTCACATACATGCACCAGCAGAAGCCTTCACCACGCACATCTCTGATTGTTTTCCTCGCAGGAGGGCCTTCTGACTCGCTTCCATGCTACTGGGCATCTTCCCCTAAAGGATGGCGTGTTAGTGCAATGCCTGCTGCATATCTGTCTGGCACTGAGCTTCAGTCATGATGGCGTGGCTCACCTCATCAAGATTCCAGGTGAGCGAATAACACAGTTTTAAAATCATTTGTTCAAATTTTAATCTACCTGGTGCTTTTCTCAAGGCTCCAGCAACTTTCAACATTTTATTCCAAACATGATATTTTGTTGCACATGTGCACTCAAATTGCCCTGGTCTGTGATCATGCCCAAACTTTTGCCCGTATCCTGCTGCATGCACTTTGCCCCGATCAGGTACACACTTTGTTAACATTAAATTTTAGATCCTGTTGCCTCTGTGTGGCGAGTGTTTGTGATCGGTGTAGGGGCTGACTAGGACTGGGCAAATTGCAAAACAGATACCGGCACTCATTGTTTGTGATTTTCCGTACAATCTCAGTGCAGTGGCGTCGGACACGGTACGGTCACTACGGTATTGACCATACCACATTTTGCCCCAGGTACCCCGTGAATCAATAAAATACACTGATCTGGACTCTAAATTTCCAAAAAAATTGGCTCAGTCACCCCTCCCACATGAGTAAATTGTACAGTTCAGATGGCTGACCGTAGCACACTAGAATGACCGTAGCACACTAGAATGACCGTAGCACACTAGAATACCTTCCGACGTTGCCCCTGCAGTATGCATGTTTGGTTTGCATTTGCAGAGGCACCAGGAGAGTAACTGCTAGCTCCAACTTAGGTGTGAGCTGAGCCTTGCTCACATGTTTGAGTGTAGTTTCGGTACTGTTCATTCTGCGAATTTCACCAAGCAGTCTGGGCATCCGTAAGGCCCTTCATGAAGGCTTCGTTTGGCTGTGCTCTTTGCGCTAGGCATGGTGGATTGGCTGTGTGATGTTGGGACAAGCCAGCGCCTCAGCACATTGCCATCCTGCACCAGCCTACTAGACTATGTGCACCCGGTTGCATTGGTGCCACGCTTGTGTGCGGCAACCGTTCTGCACAACATTGGCATTGAGCACAAGCGATTGCTGAGCACAACTGGTAAGGAAGGGGGAGGGAGGGAAGGGCTCTAATTAATTGCCTCAGGCCAACCAACAGACATATTTAACTTAGCCCTCCAGTCATAATTGCACATTTTGAGTACCGTATTTCCCCGAATATAAGTCGCACTTGATTATAAGTCGCAGCCCATTCTCACGTCCGAACCAAATCGTCTCAATGCATTCACATAAGTAAGAAGTCACACTCGATTGTAAGTTGCACCCCGTTCTTTGCACTTGAAGTTTAATGTAAAAAGGTGCGACTTACAATCGGGGAAATACGGTAAACGAAAAGACTGTAACGAGTAAGTGATAAGTAGTCCGCATGATTGTTTCACCCTAGTATGTAACGACAAGTATGTTGTGGATCTTTTCATTCACCACACAAGCTCACTGCAGACTTTTGCTCCTTGTGTGTTCCTGCAGATCGTCCAAGGAATTTATTCCATGTTCTCTTGCGGTCCGGTTCCGCGAGGGAGAAGCAGATTGCGAATGCTGCGCTCTCCACGCGCAAAGTAACGTTCACGGATGTGCAAGCAACGTGACGACCTGCACCCACGGGCCATTTGTGTGGGTTGCTGCTGTTACACAATACACAGGGTGCTGTTCCAGGCCCCTTGTGCTTTGTCGTGCCTGCTAGGTTTTGTATTGCCTGCAACTTCTGTTTCAAGTACCGTAGTGTCTTGTTTAGAAGCCGGTTTTGAATGCAAGCCTGATTTTTCGAGATGCACTGTCGGCATATAAGCCTGGTTTTAGGTGTTGACATACATAGAAATACCGGTCTTGTATAGAAAAAAGTCATGTAAGCTGCGGCTTTTATGCACGACTATACAGTATGTACATGTGGCTCGCCTTGCGTTGATTCTGTCTCTCAATTTTGTCGTTTTCTACTGCTCTCAAAGGAAGCAGTACAACTCCTCACTTTTGTTATGCATTCATGCTTGAAATGTATTGGTGCTCGCGACAACTGTAAATGAACCTAATTATTTCTCCTCTGGCACAAGGGGTGTTATGCACAGCTCGTCCTTGAGTGGATCCTGCCAAGATTTACTCCATCCATCACGAATGTTGTATCATACGTACTTGTAGCTTTCTGTAGGAACTTGCTGGTCAAGGTTATGCCCAGATACACACTGTTTGAATTACCACTTTCAAGTATTTATTTTTTTAACACTTCAGTTTATAGTGCTTTTTCTAATTACTCAATTTCTTTTTTACTTAGTAGCAAAGCATTCAACCGACACGCTTGATCTCTCTTCCACTGCACTAGTCGCAGAAAAATTCAAGTTCCTACCCACGAGGAAACTCGCGTCACATGGTCTACTACACTCTATGCAGTACTGCGCAGGAGTCTAGCGCCTTGAGCCAGTTCACATCCCGGTGCTGGCGGTCTTGGGCCGCACTGCCAGCTTGGCATTCACTCGCTTGATCGGAATCATAATTATATTGAGCAGCACTGTAGAATTGGGGTCAGTGTGCCTGCTGTCCGAATCTGCCGAGATCAATCCACTTTCTTTCAGGCATAGTTCTTTACACTACTCTTTTGCTCCAAGCAAACCTCACCATAATGCGAGTTAAGTTTCACAGGCACACAGCAAACCAATGGGGTTGCGCCCTCGGGGAGTGGGGTCTTTTGGGTGTAAGCAAGAGCGTACGCCGGTACAAAGTCATGTACCTAACTGTTGCTTGCTTCCAAGAGTTTGCAACTCCCAGTCTGCCACGACTCATTTTCAGAATATTGTAGTCTTCGGGGTGCCGAGTCGAATGGTCTTGGTCCGAGGAAGCCGAGACGCTCCCTTCTTCCTTTATTCCCAATCGAACTCGCGCACTCCCACCGAACTGACTGGGTGACTGCGGTCATTGTGCCCTACTAGATGGGGATTTGTATGCAAAATGTTACTAAAACGCCATTTCGTTCTTATAAAAGCACGGATGACCGCGATTGGCCCATATGTTGTAGTCTTTTGGACACCGAGTCGACTGGTTTTGGTCCGAAAAGGCTGCGATGCAGTGTTCCTCCTTTATTCCCAATCGAACATGGTTGAACAAGCGGTCACGTGCTCCTGCGTACACCAGTCACCTGGTCACGGTGCCTGCAGGGTACAACTTACAGCCGGCCTGTTTGACCTTTTTTGGGTGCAGTTCTGTCGTTTGAGTTGAACCTTGGTGTGAAAGTTGTCGCCTGCTGGGTGCTGGCATGCGCGGTGACAGGTGACTTGGGCACGCAGGAGCACGTGACGGCTTGTTCAACCATGTTCGATTGGGAATAGAGAAACCATTCTTTGACCAAAACCAGTCGACTCGGGGTCCAAAATCAACACATGGGCCAATCGCGGTCATCCGGGCTTTTATAAGAACGAAATGGCGCTTTTAGTGACATTTTGCATACAAATCCCCATCTAGTAGGGCGCAGTCACCCAGTTTCGGTGGAAGTGCGCGAGTTCGATTGGGAATAAAGGTGGTGGATATACACAGCTATGTGCCCAGTCACCAGCAGTAGCTGGACAACACAAACACACAAAAGCGTGCAGATGAGCACATACGCGTATGCACACGCACACAAAGAAAGATACGCCAGCACAGTGTTAAAACAACTAGCAGCACCACCGGCCAGCGTTGCCTGGCCGAATGTGGCATGCGGGTGAAGCAAGTACATGAACAGCACACGTGCTCAGCACGTGGTGGTGGCCAAACCGCTGAAGTCCGGCCTGGTGAGGGAGGTTCTTCATCGTTGGAAGGAGAGGGACGTCTGTTACGCCTTCGGGAGGCTGGTCAGGGTTGTCCATCACCTGGTGGCGGATGAAGCGGCTCAAAAAATTCATAAACTTACGAACAAAAGTGCGATGCGCTCTTCACTGCAGATCAGATGCAGAGTGCAGTCAGTGCAGATCTTTTGTATCCTTTTGTTGCAGATGTTTCTATTTGCAGAGAACGGTTCACGTGGTCCGCAGCGCTTGTGCGGCTGCTAGTGCTACCTATGGCCTAGGCTAGGTGGCTACATAATTCGCACGCTTCGCGTGCTCAGTGCTTCTGCGCGCGGCTGCTACTGCTACTCGTACTGATCGTGTCTGCTACCACCTAGTACCTACACTGTTCGCACGCTTTGCGTGCTCAGCACGTGGTGGTGGCTACACGATTCGCACGCTTCGCGTGCTCAGTGCTTCTGTGGCTTCTTCCGCTAGCTACACGATTCGCACGCTTCGTTCGCACGCTTCGCGTGCTCAGTGCTTCTGCGGCCGCTAGCTACACTGTGCTACACTGTTCGCACGCTTCGCGTGCTCAGGGCAGCGCTGCTCCGCAGCGCTTCAGCGTGACACAAACACACACGTCACAGGTGCCTCTTCTTTATAAGGAACGTGACACACACACACACACACACAGACACACGTCACAGGTGCCTCTTCTTTATAAGTAAAGATGAAAACTATTTTGACGCAGTAGTTCTGGAAACCAGTAGTGACAGCAACCCATGCAGCAGCAGTTACACTCTATGATGTATGCTCTGTTGCCTTGTTGGTAAATCAATCATGCACACAACCACACTCCGCACCAATGCCAGAACATGCACACGGTCTAGGTTTCGAAGCATTTCTTTTCATAAGCACTTAGAATGGGTATGAGCGCTGCGTCACAGGAAGTTAGAGGCAATAGTCACTGTACAATAACCTACATGTGTGCCGAGAAGTTAGTTACTTCCCTGCACACATGTAGGTCATACTGATAAGCTGTATGAGTACTAATACTCACGCTCACTGTCTCTGCTGCACACGGTAAGCCAAGTCCCAAGTGCACAACGGCTGACTAACTTGCATGCACATTCAGTTCGGCCCATGTCGCAATTCGTGCCGGTTTCGGCACCCGCTACAGCGCCGTCCTGCAAGCCAATTAGTCGAAGAGGCCGAAGCCCATGTCGTCCGAGTCCGAGTCGGAGCTTACTGGCCGTGGCTCTTCCTTCTTTTCCTCCTCCGCCGGTTTCTGACCTTGTCCGCTGCTGTTGCCGTTGGTAGCTGTGGCTGGGCCTTGACCTTCCAAAGCAGCCTTGACCACGAGCTCATGGATATCTCGCCCGGACAGTGCATTGGCGAACAAATCAGCCCAGAACGGCTCAATTTCGACATTGGCCGCGCGCATGACTTTCATGAGGTTGAGCGCCGTTATCTCGGCACCGCCGTCGGAAAGCAGCAGCGCTGCATAAGTGCAAGCGTGTTGACTCTCTACTACAGTGTCTTTGTCCATGCTGATACGCTGATACCGGTAGGAAGCGTTGACGGTTGCTGTAGCGCTTGCCGACTCACCGCACACAACTACTGGTAAGAGAGGGGTTATTTCCAGGGACTGTCCACTAGGCAAAGTAACTAACAGTTAGTTTGCTTCAGAAGAAAGACGGAAAGAAGGCCACGCGAAAGACCATAAAGAACAAGATGGGGTAACGGTAAACGACGAGGCGGCTAGGCTAATAGTCGCTGCGGCCGCGCGGCCCGGCGAAACCGTGAAAGGCTTGATACTACCATAATAGGTGTGAATTGAGCTAGAATTGCGCGCGCGGGTATCCGGGTGGAAGTTAGTGATAACCAGTTACCTGTCCGATTCCAGTGCCAGTGCTAGTGGTCTACCGCGCACTTACTAGTCGAAGCTAGTGTGAACCATACGACTCCCTGGTGTGAACGAGAAAAATGACAGTCATGTCGACACCGCGTACCTAGCTGTAGCTGCACGAGTTCGAGCAGCCATCGATCGTTCTGCGCATGAGCAGGCCACATTTTGTTCGTAGTTCGTAGTCTACATCATCACCAGCATATATAGCACTATTCTCGATTGCATTGATCCAATCATGCACCATAGATAGTCTACCGTCTACTCTGTAACTCAGCACAAATTTTTTTGGTATTATAAACGTGGATGTGTGAACTCGTACTTTTATAATGCATTTTGTTAGTACCCGGGCAGTAGGAGCTTACGATTGTACTCTTCATTGCGATGCATATTCCGACCCGCCTCGCCCTCGGGTCATATTCAATTTTCCCTGGCCCGCTATAATCTATCTGATCAGAAGTCACACCAACCAGTTAGTAACTCTCCGGTCCACCATGGGTTGCAGTAATCACCATGCATACTTTTAAGGGCTTACACAAAAGCACTTTTCGGCCTAATCACCACGAATTACTTGTACATTCATACGATTTGAGGGATAGGATGAAGATAGGGAAAGAGCAAGAGATGATCAGCGCAGAGAAAAGTGCAAACGCCATAGCGCCGCGACCAGCAGCAGCAGCAACATATCAACAGCCAAAGCAACGCCAGCATGATTTGACAACAAAGGCTCTAGAAACGGATCACAAGGGAACAAAAAATCAAGCATCTCCAAGGCAGAAACAGCCCGGGTTCTCTCTCTCTTTCAAATGAAACAAAGCTAGAAGTAAAAATAACCAAATATTCTCAAGTGAAGAGAGTGACCGGTAAGAGCTGTACTGTGGTAATAAAAACGAGACGGCGTAAATTTATCAGTCTACAGAATCATCGCAGCCGGAAACTAAAATTGCACAAAATCCTATCATGGAAATATTTGGGGGTCTTCTGTCTAATGGGTTCATTCGGGGGAGGACGTCAACGTGCCACTAGTTGTGATGATGACGATGCCAGGCATGCCGTATGTCTTGGCCCTGAGGAGTACAGCCGTCAAGTAGCCGACAGCACGTGCTGTTCAAGTTGTGTGTGCTCCTCACAATAATTATGATCATAATACTGTTAGTAGGCAGCAGGGACTGTAAGGGTGGTGCCCAAAGCACCAGCGCCGGTGGCAGTCTTGGCTACCCTGGCGGCAGTAGCACTGCCATCACACAGAGAGAGGAAGAGAGTGAGAGCTCTAGTCGTTGTGTTCCTCTCTTGTCCACGCTCACACCGTGTAGAGGACCTGAAGCAGGCGGCTGCGATCTTCGTGGTTGTCTGTCGTTAGGCGCTTATTGGGTCTGTACGCAGGCAGAGGCATACGGGCAAGTCAGCAACAACGCACACCAGTGGCATTGCTCTCCACTTGCCTACAAGTACCAGTACAGTGAGCAAGCAGTCCCAGGAACTTAGTCTTAGGACTGCACGTGCGGTAACCCAGACACCTGCTCTCTACGTTTCACGTATAGCAGAACCTCTCTAATGACAAAGACATTCACCCACATACACACATGCACATGTACACACAGTTCATTGGACACACACACACACACATGCACCCTCCCCCCCCCCCCCCCCACACGCACACACATGCACCCCCTCCCCCCCCCCCCCCCCCACACACACACCTTGACCTTGATCTTGCCCATTGCGTACGCAATGATAGCGAATGTCGGAAAGTTCAAGTGAGAACACGAGCGCAGAACTTGGCATGTCGTTTCAGGTCTCCTGATCGACGAAATGGACACACACGCACACACACACACACACACACACATGCACCCCCCCCCCCCCCCCCACACACACACACACATGCACCCCCCCCCCCACACACATGCACCCCCCCCCCACACACACACGCACGTATGCACCCAAACAAACTCTTACTTTGTCAGGAACGCTGCCAGCGTAGCCGCAGCGTCTTTCGGGAAGTAGGCTTGCATGGCGACATGGCGAAGAAGCACAAGACCACCGCCAACATCGCTTAGCCGAGGCACTATCTTATCTTCACTCTAGCAAAACCAAATAAACCAGAAGAGAGCAAAGCACAATTCAACACGGTGTACGTGTAGGTAGGTCATTTTTGACAATGTTTCAGACTCCAGAGAATGCAACAGTTCGCCTCGTTTTGGCCACAGTGGCGTGCCCACTTCAAAGTACATGTACACAAGATTGAGTCAACTCCTTTGCAATGCATATGACGACAGTCGCGCCATGGGCTAAACAGGTAGTTGACCTCAAGTCTCCACACAAACCTCGCCACCACTCGTTCTCAGGATGACGTCAATTTCAGTGATGTGTTGCACCGGACTGCACACAAACCCGCACCACGTAGTCAGCCCTGCATCTCCAACATACTACAGTACACGTAGTTAGCAGGTTACACTTGAAAATTGACGTAATTCTGAATATGAGTGGCGACAGATACCCCTCAACAGCTGCACACTCTGGGGAGTAGTGTACTCTTGATATTGGGGACCCGGTAACCTTGGGGTCTGTTGGGAATGCACGAGTAAAAATAATAAAAGAACATACGGTGTGTGGACTGGATGCTTATCGATAAAAAATACGCATGGCAAGAATAGAATCGTTTTCAGCGGAAAAAGGATCAGGTCAAAACCACCATTAGAGCATGTCTTGCCACAAAGTAGGTACATGTAGTGGGCTCACAGGTGACATTTTCACTTGGCGGCGGAGCGTGGAACCTAGCCTCACCTTCAGCAAGCCCATTTGAACCAGGATCTCTCCCACCAGACTATCACCAGTAACCTTGGAATGTTGATGTGAAAGTGATGACGACAATAAACAGTCTGAACACAAGAGAGACAAGGAAGAAAAGCAATTCGACAACGTCTCAGTGACTCTGGCAACACAATCGGAATCACAAAACCCTAGTTCACCCTACACTTGTAGTTTACCAGACTACAAATGGACAGTAGAATCACCACATGCACAGTTCTTTATCTCTCCTTTTTACGCTTCAACAAGAACTGCCAGTCGACAATCACAAGACAATCATCAACTACAAAGATTCACATAAAGCATCAGAGCAAATTGTTGCTCATGTCTCTCATGGTCACTGACTCAGCATGCACTACTTGTACACTGACTTACCAGAGAATGCTTCAGCTGATTGTGCTTGCTCATCACCCTGTCGTACTACATTGCACGCCTGGCAAGATGAAGAAACAGAATACAACGAAGGCATGTACGTTAGGCCTAATGTACGTACATGATGATATATTACTAGATCGCGACCACCACAAACAGCCCTATCGAGAGCTATTGATAATTCACGCAACACTGTTTACACTTCGGACCGGTTTCAGGGTTTGGTGTGGTGTTATGACCATGACTTGCTATCAACACGAGAGTTTGAGAGAGTTCACATACTCAAATCATGGTTTGAGAGTACGCTGAAGTCTGAACGGAGCTCTCCTGACGTTCAACCATCTGTGTTTCGAAATGCACTATAGAACAGTATTTGTTTTTTAGAAAAAGCCACTGGCATGCAAGACATTCCCTGGTCACTCACCTCTGAGAAAGCAATAGCAACCTGCTTCACGTCGTCTTGAATTGCCTGCAGTTACAACCAAGGACACACAGCACACAGCCTACAGTGATCACAATGGAATACGAGAGTGATCAAGATCTCCAATTTAAATTTACAGATGCATGTATGGCCAGGCAAGGAAAGTGTCGCAGAAAGCTGCAAGAAGGTACAGCAGGCGTTGCACTTATGCAGTCCCGATGCAATGCTTAGCCATAGAGCCAAGCAAAGATCAACACCATGTGTTTCACAATTGGGTGGCACGAGGAAGATTGTAACAAGACGGAGTAGCAATACTTCGTTAATCACAAAAATCACCAAATACGGGAGCTCACTAGAGCCAGAGACCATCTATTTGTGAATGTACTTCAGTAGCTTGGCCTATGGCTGCGTCTCACCTGCACTGCCTGCTTCAGAGTGTCTAGCTGTTTGCCGAGCTGCACTATACGTGCACTGGAGGGATCGAGCAGTGCTGCCCTGGCGTCATCCAGTGAGAGCGGCTCAGCGGGCTGCGAAGTGAAGAAAACAAGAGCAAAACCATGTGTTGCAGCTCATTGGCAGATGTGGTCAGACTTGTTGAAGCAAATTCCATACTTGTGTCAATCCCACCTCAGGCCCGTCGCACCGACTTTGGAGGTGGGGCGGCCATGGAAGGGGGGGTCCGGGGGTCCTCCCCGGAAAAATTTCAAAAATTGAAGCCAATTGCAAGCATTTCCGGGTGTTTGGTGCTATTTCAGTGTACGGTAACTACAATGAAAGTCTTTTTGATTCTGCAACAAACGAAGAAGACACTACGATCTTGGACAAACATTACCCTCCCCCGGGAAAAAAATTCAAAAATTGAAGCCAATTGCAAGCATTTCCAGGCTGGCATTTGGTGCCATTTCAGTGTATCTGCAATGAAAGACTTTTTTCTGCAACAAACCACGATCAGGGACAAGGATTTATCACGTTTGGGCTAAGCTGCGATCATTGTGCTTTGTTGTAATGTGCTTCAAAAAAAAAAAAAAAAAAAAAAAACGGCCAAAAAAGTGGGGCGGGCTGTGACGGCCTTGCACCTTCCTTAGTTATTCCATTTTAAAACCATCCCTATCATCTATTGCTAGTTAGAGTTTCTTATCATGGACTTGCCAGACATGTGTACCTCCACTGGGCCCTAGTCATGACAACATGAGCACATAACCAAAAGTATGCAACTGTGATCATAGGTCAGTGCGCAGTACGTTGCTTCATACATCTAGCCTAAGTACATAACTTGCTTGCATCACAACTGCACTCATTATGAGTCATAATAATAATAATACACGCAGCTCGCATCTTCCCTGAACCTGTTAGACAGGAGCAGAGTCGACGCATCTGTCAACAGTGTCAAGCCAAGTTAGTCTATCTCCTGCAGCTTGGAGAGCGCTCTCAACTGCACTCATGCAGTAAACAATTTTTTTTAAGCTCTGTAAGTTAGGGAAAGTGTGGTTTTCGAAAAAAAGAAGTTAGGGAAAGTGTGGTTTTCGACTTTCTGCAGCGCATGGATAAAGCCACATGATGTAATATGGGCAGCGCACCGTCGTTCAGCTGGCCCATAGAGAAAAGATCGCAGTTTCAGAGGTCTGCACAGTGCTCAGGGAGATAAGAGCTCACACAGTGGCAATACATAATATGTGGGGCCGATCCCTTTCTGGGACACTGTCCAGTTCTTCTATAGCAAGTAATGTTTGGATATAATGTTGTGACTCCGGCATTGGGGGTCTCTTTATTTCTTCAGAACGGACATTTTCAGCAGCTAACCCTCAGTTCTACTGGTGCACTTACAAATGCTAGTCGTTCCAACCGTGAATCTACACTGCTGACCGATATCTGCCGACAGAAATCACAACCGACACGAGTACGGAAATTAAGCCGTGTGAGTGAACACGATATCAGTGCAAATATCCCATTCCAGGTATACGCAATCACAGGATTGCCCCCCCCTCTCACACACACACACACACACACACACAAACAAACACATACACACATACAGTGAAAAAAAGAACAGCAAGGTCCCACACTCATACCAGCAAGCGGGAAGTCAAGTAGTCTTATTATTATTATAAACGGCGGCCTGTAGTTAGTAGTATAGTGTATGCCGCATTGTCTCACAGAGCACACCACCGTCCCATGAACATCTCTACACGGGTGACACAGGCAGGCAGCAGCAGCACACCTACCGCGTCTCTGGTATCTGGAGCATCGCCCTCAGAGTCCGCACCTTCGTCGTACTCGTTGTCTCGCCCGTCGTCGTCATCACCGTCCTCGTCTTCATCCTCGTCCAGGCTATGCAGCACCGAGGACGGGAACATCTGTTCCATCTCCGTTACAATACTCGCACCAAACATATTGCCTGCAAGTGCAAGAACAACGTGGCAACAAACACACACAGTAGCACAGGACCACATCACGTGCATCAACAAAACAATACATGCAAGAATAAATCGTATTCATTGGCATACAAAGGTGAATGGATGGAGAAACGTCGTGTGGCAAATACACACCCTCACACAACAACAACAAAGTCATTTTTACTCCTAGAACAAAAAAGGGACAAGTTCAGTAGTTGCAAATTGTAGTGAGCGAAAAGAAATTTGAGTTTGCGAAAAACTTGCAGCTGCATCACAGTGGAGAAACTGTTCTAATGAGCAGGTCTGTCAACGTCACAATAAATGATATAAAGAGTAATGTTACATAACCTCCCAGAGTGTGCAACGCCTGATCCAGCTCTGCATAGGGTCTTGGTCGAGCGTAATCGGATCTTTGCGTCATAATACAGTACACATCTGAGGAGACCCGGGGATTCGTGGGTACTCTTGGATCAAAAACAACAGTGCCCTGCCTCGAGACCGGCCTTGCGCTGGTGTGGGGCGTACACATGACATCAGAAGATCCGACTACGCTCGACCAAGACCTTATGCAGAGCTGGATCAGGCATTGCACACTCTGGGGGGTTATGAACTCTTGATGATATCAAGTAAGGCCCAGAAAGCCAACATGCCGTTAGTCAATGCCGTCATGCATATGAGAGAAGGCCCAAGGAGACAACATACCATTCAGATCGACAGCTTTGATTGAAGGTTTCGCCACAAGAGCACGTGCAACAGCCATACCCGATGTTCCATCGGCTTCATTGTGTGCCAAATGCACTGTCTGCAAGTATATCCACACATGACGTCAAAGAAAAGCATTCATACTCAATGGAATTGGCAATTAGACCAAGGAGAACGGTTGTGACAAGGTTGCCTGAGACTATCCAGTGAATATGGTTGATCAGGCACATTGACACACTATCTAACAACACAGCAATCTTTCCAGTACTCCATGCAATAATTGGAATCATGAAGATAGTGGGACTTCGGCAGGGGGTGGGGGAGGAGGAGACTACAAGGTCTCTAGAGGAATGCAGGATCATGGCAGTTTTGTAGCTAGTTGCACTGGGCCAGCACTGTTTCAGTTATATCACAACTTCACAAGTAAAAAAAGCGGCACCAGGCAGTAGCAGAAACAATGTCAACAGCATGTACATGAGGAAGTCCTGACCAAGTGGCATGCAACATCCACAGCAAGTAACTACCCCAAGAGTTGTAAGACAGTGCATGCGGAACTTGCATGACTGACCTCCAGCTTAGGACATGCCTCGTAGAACGCATCGGCGATCGCACTCAGTCCATCTGACCGCACAAGACAGTCGTCAAAGTTCACTGCACGCAGATTCTTCAGGCTGGGCAAAACCTGAAGTACAACAGGCAGCAAGGAAGACAACAAAATGAACAATGTTGGAAACGTCTGTACAACACAACTATAAACAAGTTACAAAAATAAAGAAAAGACTACAAGTACAAGTAAAGAACACGAGTGGTGGAAAGGCACGGAGTTTTAAACTACCGTAATGCCGCATATAATAGCAGGTGCTTACGGCCGTATAAGCCGGGGTTCAAACCATGTTCAAACCATGCCTCTACGTCAAGATCATCAGTGTAGACTGTGCAGTGTACACCACCATGCATGTACTATGCAAGTACTTGCACGTGTTTTTGCACAGAGCGGCTTCTATTCAAATAGTGCTTCTGTGTCACGGCGCGCTTCGAAAAATCGGCTTCTATTCGAGTCATACTTCTACACAGGTCATTCTTTTATGTGCAACACTACAGTAACTCTTTTAAAAATATGCTTGAAGAAAAAGATTCCTTCCAAAACCTGAGTTTCTACCTGTCCCTACACTCACTAGCATCATCAATGTCAGCTCAGAATGCTTGGTGTGCACAGCATGCACACTGCAGTGGTCTACAGACAACAGGCAAGCATGCAGCATACAGCAAATCATTGCCCCAGGAATGCATTCATTTCATATCGCTCCTGAATAGCGACAGCGATGATCACAGCAGTACAGTACCTTTGCCATGGCGACACCACCTTCAGACGTGAATGTATTGTCACACAAGTTGATATCCTAACAGCACCGGTGCAGAGCACACACACACGCGCAGACAAACACACGCGTAGAGTCAAGCAAGCAAAGCAACAAAGGTATAGTGAAAGTGAAAAAAGAGTATGCAGCTCGGATGGATGGCGATTGCAGATAAATTCCTGGATTACATCAGTTCGGTGATGTAGTGGGTACAAACAGGACTCAAGCAAGTCTCTACATCTGCTGCACTCTTGCAGCTCAGCTTTAACACTACACCCGATTGCTGCCGTTTCTCTGCATCAACCATGGCGTAATCCAGGAATTGCTCTGCAACATACATCCGCACTGAAGCTGCACATGCTGGATTTCATGATGTACTCTTGCAGGAGAAGAATGCAAGCACACTTAACAGCACCTACTGCTGAGCCGCATTGGAGGCACGGACAGCATCACACCGCACACAAGCATGATCGAAAAGCTGCAGATAAGGTCCCTGCAGAGAGTGGAGTTGAGATTGCTGGCGGATTTCTCTTTCATAGGGTCCAGATACGACGCGAGCACAACCCATCGCAAGTCTCTTTCCAATACAGTGAGCAGAGCACAGGACCGGTGTTAGACACAAGGCTCGTCAGAGCGCTTGCACCACCATTATACAGGTTTTGTTTTGTTTTTAATACTACAGCTTACCTCCAGGTTAGGGTTAGACGGAAAGGAGTTGGCCAGCGCAATAATACCCGGTGCCAGGATGGAGTTCTCGAACATAGAGAGCTGCTGCAGGGAGCCAAGCGCCTGATAATCACGAAGACAAGGATAACATGACACAACATTCAAGCCAGAATACATGTAATGATACAGTAGTAAGAGTGAGGATGTCACAGTGATTGCACTTGCTGCAACTGAACAGGAAAGGATCGTCTAGAGAATGACAGTATACTGAAGAACCTACACAGGTACTAGCAGAACACTATCATCCAACACCAGCACAGCGTGGTTAGGAATGGAAGCCAAGCAATGCCAATGCTAGCGATACAGAAACATCCACAGGGAGAAGAGCCATCACCTACAAAGGTACACATTCCGTGATACCATCAGAAAACTATTGGTGCTGGATGACTACACAAACTGAGACGAATAACTTAGTAGGTACATCTGAGTTGCATGCCCGTACAGCTGTGGAGGATGGAAGATATAGCAATGACAGCTGGTTTTATATTCAAAGACAAGTTACCTTGTAGGCTTCAGCCAAATGTGTGGCACCCTCGTCACGCAGTCGATTTCGGTTCACCACAACAGATTTGGGTGCAAATTGTACACCAGCAGCCGTGGCATTCTTGTGACACTGCAGGAGTGCTTCAGAGAGGATCTAACAAACAAACACCATAGACGACCACAGGCCAAGAGCATGAACATTGAACAACAGGTTGGCAACAACTAAGGCTTCACGCATAGGAGATGTGACAACACACAAGACACAGGCCTAGCAGATACATGGAAAAAGATTAATTCCGCCACTGTTATAAGAGGATCTTTCATGATGAGCTTTGGTAACTCAGAACATATTAGATACATGGACACATAGTACATGTTGCAACCCGTCTGGTCAAGTTGCACCGTGATGCCTCATACGGTCAATTATTGCAAGGTCACTCGCTACCATGATAAACGGGAATTTCATAAGCCTACTACTACAAGTAGTAAGTAGAGAATGCCACTTTGACCTACCCCAACGTCTACAAGGCATGCCTGATGTGCATTATGTGCAGAGAAAAACAGTTTAAAACAGAAATAGACTATCACTCACCTTGCCACCACCTGGACCAAGACCATTGTTGTGGAAACGAAGGCTTTGCAGCGAGAATCCGGCACGGCTCACCAGCAGTTCCCGCACTGCCTCGACCCCGTCCGGACCAAACGCGTTGTCACTGAGATCAATAGCTTCCAGCTGAGCACCGGAGCTGATGACAGCTTCACCGAGAGCACGCTGACAAACAGGGGGGGGGGGGGGGGGGGGGGGGTACAAATAACATCTGTTTCCCGAACAGATACTCCGTACTGTACTGTACACAGCCTGCTATTGGGATCTGCCAGAGTGCACATAATTAGTATATGGCACACAATATATGAAAGATGGGAAACTGCCACAACAGTACTCAATGCAGCATTGTGCAAGCCATGGAGCCATGAGACACGACAGAGAATGTTGCATTGGAACATTGTTGGCAGTCAAGTTGCCGGATGCTCACCGTTGGCAGTCAAGTTGCCGGATGCTCACCTTTGCAAGTTACGAAGTAACTCAGCACGACAACAAACACATTTCTCATGGACCATTTCTTCAGAAGTGATACACGATGTGTGTGTGTGTGTGTACCTACTAATCACTGTGCTTCATCAATACTATGAGCAGCAGAGTCACTCACACATACACTAACACAAAAATGTACACGTACAAACACATACAGACACAGACATACATGTACAGACAGACAGACAGACAGACGGACACACAGACAGACAGACAGGCACACACACACACACACACACACACACACACACACACACACAAAGCATCCTGGCCATACCAGAGCAAGAGGGATCTCTGACCGAAGGCGTCCTGTGAATATATCTCCCCACATGGCCCTCTGCAAATGCACAAGAACACACAAAGATACGCTGTTACTCGTTACACTCCACTCATTGTGTTGGTGTCCATGTATGTGTGCATGTGTGTGTGTGTGTTTGCTATGTCTAGAAACATAGCTGTTCGCTATCATCGCTCCCGCGATGGGCATGTCTGAGGTCTGAGGTCTGAGGTGTGTGTGTGTGTGTGTGTGTGTGTGTGTGTGTGTGTGTGTGTGTGTGTGTGTGTGTGTGTGTGTGCAGCTGTGTGGTGGATACCAGGCTAAAAATAGTGGCGGTCAATTCATCAGCCTTGCAAGCTGTTGAATGGTGTAATCCCAGCACAAGTTGCTATGTCTAACATAGCTGTTCGCTATCATCGCTTCCGCGATGGGCATGTCTGAGGTCTGAGGTGTGTGTGTGCGTGTGTGTGTATGTCCGTGTGCAGGTAGAAGGCCTTGGCTTGTGTATGAATGGAATCCTACCTTGAAGGTGGGCTTCTCCGACAATGCCTTGGCAATAGCCTTTGCAGCTTCCACACCAATAGTGTTTCCACTCAGACATAGCTCTTCCAGTTGTGGAGCATCCACAATCTTCCTCACCACAGGTGCAGCTGACAGCAAGACAAAACAAGGTAAAGAGAAATTCAATTGTGGCGCAGGCACGGCAATCGCGATTAAGCTCTTGCACCGATCCATTAGCACACAGCCAAGGCAAGCGCATGTGAGAACGTTCAGTGCCACAAGATCACACAACCCCACATACAAGCAGAAAACCCACTATTCCACCTGCACAGCGTGCATGATGTGTACAGAGCACACGGGTACAGAGTACAACTCTCTCTCTCTCTCTCTCTCTCTCTCTCTCTCTCTCTCAGTGGCACAATGCCGCTACATGTAATACAGAGTGCAGCACCGGCCTATATGACGCTCGCCTCTCACACACTCGCTTATCGGGCACTTGGCTACATGACAATCAGTTACACAGCATATGTAGCGTCAACCTGCACGGCCCTTGAAGTCCTGGAAGTGGTACGAATGCGACTGGACGTACGCATATACAAGTACAGTGATTTCTAACATGCTGTCAACCAACAATATCCAAATACAAGGTTTATCTAATACCAAGTACATGTACAGTGATGTAATCAGAATACCAAGTACATGTACAGCGATGTAATCGGAATACCAAGTACATGTACAGTGATGTAATCAGAATACCAAGTACATGTACAGTGATGTAATCGGAATACCAAGTACATGTACAGTGATGTAATCGGAATACCAAGTACATGTACATGTACAGTGATGTAATCGGAATTGATCCAGGACGCCAGTTTCGCACTTTGGGTCGGGTTTCAGTGAGCGCAACTGTACGCTGTACTTGTATTGCACTACATTTCGACGAATCTCAAGCATAAAGCATCCCGGATATAACGTACTTCCTGTGTGGGCTATACAGTACTATTTTTGAGGACCCTGCATAATGCCATACCAGTCATAATGTATTACTACCTTGGATAGACAGTACAATGTACCTCAGCTACAAAGTACGGATTTTTCCTAGCTTGGAAGTGTGCTAGACTGAAGTTGTACTGTAGTATGGGATTAGCAAGTGGGAATGCACTCTCTCTCTACTTTTTTTGTTATTACACAGAGCCTCAGAGGTACTGTAGAAAGGAATAAAGCTGCAAAACAATCTTGTCAACTGGCGCTCAGAACGGAGTCAAAACAAAATAGAAAATACTCTTCAGGTGCTAACATTACAACGTAGCCAGTATGGTTGAAGTGATGTTCAGATAACCACGATGCATCACAACATACGTCTATAAAACAAAACAGAATACATATGTACATACCATCCTCAGCTGATTCCAATTTCAATGTCAAATCTTTGAACGACAGGCAAATATTGTCTTCCAGTGACACTGACTCGACAGCCTTCTCGATAAGACTTGGACTACTCATGTTTTACTATGTTTTACTACGGGTTTGAATTATTTAGGACAAATAAAAGCAGCTGAAGGAAAACAATGGTGAGCAACTAGAGTCTTTTCCAACAACCTCCGAACAATACGGAAATGTTCTCATTCCCTTTTTCCTGCCTTCTTGAAATACGAGTGCCCTGGCTTGCTTGCGTGCAGATTTGAATTTCTCATTTTTGCATTTCGTTTTTGGGATTTGCACACTTTGTGTGCGCGTTCCCAGGAAGGATTTGGAGCAAACCTTGTACGTTCTGTCTTTCAGTTTGCGTTTTGAACGGTAATCCCTAAAATGGGCCCTTTTTGTGTGAATCCACTGTTTTCTGAGCTTGTGCAACAAACAAGCAAAAACAAGTGAGTTCCTCTGCATGACTTTTGAACTGTTGGGGCTTCCCCTTTTTGATCACTCATTGTGTACGTGTCTTTGCGTACCTGCTTGCACGCTGCACATAGATCTGAGATCATCTGTAACTTTCATAGTGTTTGTTGTGCTCAACAAATCACCGATCAGAGTTTGGGAGAATATTGTTGATGTCGGTATTCTAATAAGTATTGAGTTCCCCAAAGCGTATTTTGGACAGCTACTGATAGAAGTCCAACATTATGGCGCTGGCCTGCGGTATTGGCAGGCGGTTCCTGGCCAGAAATCTCCGTCCACAGGTAAGTGTCACTATCCTAAACAATCGATTCCACACCAGCAATAACGTTTCTCTTCATTCGGGGGCAGGCTGTTGCCAGGTACTGGCACATAACTTTGTTTAATCTAGCACCTTCCTTAAGTAATTGTGAACTCTTGACTGACTTGTTACCGTCGTTGCACCACGCAAGAAATCCACCCAACTCCTATTGTCCAAACATCTGGGGATCTAATGTACTACTACTAGAACATGGCATTGTATCAAGTGTCAGATAGATTTGGAAATCTCAAATTCTCCATACAGAATACAACCAACTCCTACCCACGTACACTGCGGACAATGAGTAGAAGTAGCAGGTAAATGTGATTGATAGCAATCATACAGAACAGGAAACAAGATTTAGCTTGCCCGGTTGAGTCTGTTGGAAACGCATTTCACGGTACCGATCGAGGCTCGGAAAATTACAGTAGAGCTTTCAGTGTTTAGTAGCTGGTGTGCCACAAGTATTACTTTGATCTTGCATTAAAATACATACAGCACCACTGCATGTACCCTGGTAGTATACAGCAGTTTCACTCATATCATTATGCTAACAGTTCTCATTCTCTGGCTTTGGAACAATGGCCATTTACTGAATATTACTCAATCCATGCGTCTAGATAGGCCAACAGCCCGCAGCTTTTTCACGTGCTCCTGCTCTTTCTCTTCCCTCTCGGAGTATCCACCAAATCTGTACTCGTTGGATGCTAGAGGCAATTAGTAGTAATTAGTAATGTACTTGTTCTGCTGCTGCAGGTATCTCAGCTTCTCAGTCGCCCAATGTCATCAACAGTGGAGGATATTGACGGCAATGATCGGGCACGCTACCCTGGGCAGCGACCTGGCCAGTACGCTCACTTTGTCAGCCAGCCCACGTTTCAACTGCCAGATAACATGGATCCTATGCCAGTGTACAGGGTTCTTGATCGATCTGGTGAACCTATCGAGGGGGCTGAAGTTCCAGATGTAAGTCCTCTACTGCTATGGCCCTTGTACTTTGTCTAGGGGAGGGTATATTTACTTCAAAGTAGAACGTTCAACTGACATGCAAACTCTCTTACTCTTAGTTGACGATCGATTACTCGATTATAGTTGTCAGCAAATAATGCCAAATATATCAGATTTGTGTGCAAAAATCCCAATTTTGAATTTCATTGAACCTCAAAACACAATCCGTTCCTGTGGCAACTGCATCTTCATAGTGGAAACTGATTAAAACTTCGCAAAACAGGGGTTTCAGTACGTTCTGGGTGCAGAACACCTAACGATTTTTAAAGTAGCGATTAGTTGGTTGGGATTAGTTTGTTGCTAAGAATCAACGATTGATTACCGAGTAATCAGTATAATTGTTCAGCCCTATATTGAATGCATGTATGTGTGCGTGTGTGTGTACGTGTGTGCGTGTGTATATGCATGTGTGTATTGTCTCCTTGCCGCAGTTGAGCAGGGAAGTAGTACAGCGGATGTACAACGTCATGCTGCAGCTGAACGAGATGGACAAGGTCCTGTATGATGTACAGCGCCAAGGTGGCATCTCCTTCTATATGACTGCCCATGGCGAGGAGGGAACGCTGGTCGGCAGTGCCGCAGCGCTGAACAACAAAGACCCGGTGTTCGCACAGTACCGCGAGGCAGCCGTGCTGATGTGGCGCGACTTCTCCGTGCAGCAGTGCGTGCACCAGTGCTTTGGCAATCGCCACGACTTTGGCAAAGGGAAACAGATGCCAGTCCACTACGGCTCAGCCAAGCACTCCTATGTGACAATCTCATCACCGCTCACTACACAGCTGCCACAAGGTTGGTTTGAGACAGTGATTTTAATTTTCACTTCTGAATCATGCTGCACGGCTCAAATTCGTTGTCGATTTGTACTGTTTGTATTGTCTTACTTGAGTCAATAGCCAAACATTGCCTGGTGCGCGCATGCAGTTCTACCACTGTTTACAAATCACGACCTGAAACTGGCGCAGAAGTCAACCCAATTTACAGGCTGCTTTCTGCGGCTATCCGGATGTTTGTTTTAAATGCGTATGTGTGCCGGGTACCGAAGTGCATACTTTCGTCTCAGACACTACTGTATGCCATACAACGGAGCGGATGAACTGTCGGCAAGTGAAATTCCTACTTATTCAATTCTGATTATGGACATCAAAGTTATGAAGTTGTTTTTTGTCTTGTTCTGTATTCACCACTGTTTATTACTTACAGCTTCTGGTGCAGCTTATGCGTTGAAGCGCGCGAGTCCCGACCTCTGTACAATCACATACTTTGGTGATGGTGCTGCCAGTGAGGGTGATGCTCATGCTGCAATGAACTTTGCTGCCACTCTCGAATGCCCCATGATTTTTATTTGGTAAGCTTCGTAAAACAACTGGATACTGATGCACAAGTACACATACACTCTAATCCTCTGTGAATCATGGTGTGTGCACGCCACCTCACTCCTTAGGCTTAGCACTAAAATAATAGTAGTTCTCCTTGTGGGCTTTTCAGAACTTCTTCAAAGGCTACTTGTACAATTGTGAGCGGACAAGGTAGAAATGGAACGTTAGCTGCATGACATCATTTTGAGATACAGGCGTTTGAAGTTTGGCAAACTGTGGCATATTTTTTACCTGGGTTAGAGGGCTCTATTTGCATCAAGCGCTTGTGCCTCGCTCAGCACAGGGCTTCAAGGTCCAGCACTGAAAATTTGAAGTGAATCCGTTATGGCAGCTAGTTGTGCGACGGGTGGCGTATTGACGGGCGAATTTGGAGGTGACGGCGATCAGCTGATAGCCTGCTGTCAGGTGCTGAGAGCTTCTCTGATTCTGAGAGCGTTTCTGAGTCAGGTAGTAGTCGAGAGCGTCTTCCACTACGCCGAAAACGACGTGCCGATCAGCGTTTTGTTTGCTGCTGGCTTTAGCGCGGTACAAAAAGACATAGGGAACAAATGAGATGGATCTTTCGGATGCAGGCGAACGTGGTGACAGCAGTGATGATGATAACACCAATGAAGGGGAACGTTCCTGTGGATACTGAGTTGTACTGAATGTATACGCCGAACCGACTTCAGAGCTCTGAAGCACACAGCGCAGGAGCTGAAGAAACAATAGCGTCGTGCACCACAGGGGAACGTATGTAGGGACTTAATAGCCCAGAACAACTAGCTAGCTGTTGCCCAATGCATTGGATGCAAGTGGCAGACCTGCATCGTGCACTGTCTGGAAATGAGTGTTTTAAGAATTGAGATACACAGAATGGTCTAGGCTGGTGAACATGAGCTCAGTGGAAAGAAGTCAAATCAGGCCTCGGATTGCGGACTGATGTGTAACGTTACGTTAAGTACAGTTTCTCAAGTCTGTGGACTCGTCCTGCTTCGCCAATGGGCACCGTATTGGTGGTGCGTCTCCGGAATATTATTTCCATGCTGTGTGTTCAAGAGCTGTCTGTCTCCTGCCAAAATGTTACAAACTATATTACCAAGGTGCGCCGCTCAGTCGTCGGGAGCTTCAATGCATCAGAGCAGAGTCCGAGGTCGCCAACAGTATACGACGAGAGCGTGCACACATGGCTGAAGCAAGAACACACTGGAATTACCATTTGTCCGCCAAATTCTTCTATTTTTGACATGTGTGTAGTGGTATTTGATGTGTGGATTGAGTACCAGCTTCAACAGTCCTATTATTTTGCCTTGCATCACGAGTTACTCTGGAGCTGATTTTTCGGCTCCGGCTGTTTCTAGTTATGTGGTTTTGTTGCTTGGTTCCACCTCAAACGAGTCCATGTGTGTGATCAGCTCATCTTTCACACTGGTATACACTTGTGGAGAAATACAGGTCAAGATAATGGGTTTTTTTCAGTGTTTTGGTTGTACTGAAGGGTGGACTGTTTAAATCATCCCGAAGCAGACGTTAAAATACTGACCGGCATCTAGAAAATGGTGAATGTAAGGCACTTCCCACCATAGTATCAGCCTGAAACTTTGGGATCTGAAAAACAGATAGTTGTAGGTGACCTTCATGCAAAAAAACAGTTTTTGCCAGACTGCAGTTAACGTTCCATTTCTACCTTGTCCGCTCACAATTGTGGCTTCTCTGTAACAAACTGATCTGATTCTGTTTATGTGTTTTTGCGTACGTACGTCCTTGCATATAGCCGTAACAATGGCTATGCAATTTCAACACCTACCAGTGATCAATATCGTGGCGATGGTATCGGTGAGTTTATTGCTATTTGTATATCAGGAGTAACCGTTCTTTGGATCTGTTCGGTTTTTTTGCCCCTCGCTGCTTTGCCTGGTAACTTGTGACGGATTGATTTTCTACAGGAGTTGATGTGCTTCTTGATGTTCTGAAAATGTAAACTATCAGCACTAGCATCAGCACCTTACAGTTCATGGCCTTTATTATGTGCTTTACCCTGGCGTGTTTCTGCTTAGCTGCCCGTGGTGTTGGCTACGGTATGAACACAATCCGCGTGGACGGCAACGATGTGTTCGCGGTGTACAATGTTATTCGAGAGGCGCGCAAGATGGCCCTGGAGCAGCAGCGGCCAGTTCTCGTCGAGGCCATGACTTACAGGTTTGTCGCGACGTGTGTGTGCGTTTCCTGTCATTCAGTTTTGCAGCCCACCTTATCTAAACAGATACTGTGCCTACATTAGCTGCACCTGCACGGCTCTCATAATATCCAGGCCGTGGCTTAGTTCACATACTGTAAACCGTGAAATTATTGCAATGGTCTAATTTCTGCGAAATTCGCAACCGCGTGGAAATCGCGAAATTTAGACAGCGCGAAAAGGAGATCCATGAAAGGTTTAGGAAGAATGCCACAGGTTTAGTAAGAATGCCATTCTGCAATCGCAAAATTAAAACCTCGCAAACCTGTCCGGATTCTGAAAACGCGAACTAAAAACGCCGCGAAAATTTCACGCTTTACAGTAAAACTTGGCTGTGTTTTAAGTTACCTGTGTTCTCCTGTACTTTAAGTTACCTGTGTTCTCCTGTACTTTGCTGTCCATTGAAGACTAGTGACTGTCTCCCCTGTTGTGACACTCATGACCGTCTCTGTTTTCTGTGTTGTCTGTTATTCAGAGCTGGCCACCACAGCACCAGTGATGACTCAACCGCGTACCGATCCAAGTCTGAGGTTGGTCACTGGGAAGACACCGAACAGCCCATTAATCGGCTTTCTGAGTACATGAAACGACAGGGCTGGCTCCAGGACGGAGATGAGGAAGCTCTCCGTGAGGAGTTCCGTGACAAGGTAATACTTCTATCTGCTTCTCCCAAACCATTCTTTTGTTCTCTAGCCAGCATCGAGACATCTGCTTGATGTATGCGATTCCACCCTCGTTCCCTGCTTGGGTTCCTAGCCATCTCAATTGACCCAGTACTCTCAGTATGGTTCTGTTGCTAGGTTGGTTATCACTGATGTTTGACTTTGCATCATGAAGTACAGATAAATAATTATTCAATCAGACCTGTGGTGTCCACTGACCTGGGCCCCTCGACCATTGTGTTCCCTATTCTACTTGGACTCTTGAACATGTTGGCACCCTCCACGTGTACACGTACTTCGAAGTACAATCGTATACGTGACCTGTCTGATGGGGTCCTCTTTTCATTGCTATGCCACTTCAGGTATTCGATGCCGTAGATGTGGCCGAGAAGGAGAACAAGCCGCCAATGATCAGCATGTTTGAGGATGTGTACGATGAGATGCCTGACCGTCTCAAGCGCCAGTACCAGTTTATGAAGGAGCATGTTGATCGCAACTCTGACAAGTACCCGGTGGGCTCATTCTAAGCTTGGCCTATGAAACCTCTCACCAGTCTTCCTGACAGCCTCATGAAACTAGATGTAATCATAACCCCATGACACATTTGCATGATCTTGATTGCTAGAGTCACCCTAACATAAATTAGCTTTGCCTATCGGGATACTGTACAAACTCGCTTAAAAAGTTTATGCGCGCACAATCACTCACGTAAGACAACACACAGCCTTCTCTGCTCAGCTATTTGGCAAACCTTATTCATAATTAACTTCTCGCTGGTTGTTCGTTTGGTTCCTCTTGTCCACACGAAGTACGGATATAATTATTTTCGTCCTCTCTAAATATTTCTTTCATTTTTTTCATTTTTTGAGTGCTGTCAAAGCGGAACCACTGTCTCAAACAATATCAATGCAGACTATGGTGAAGCTGTCCGTGCAGGTCGGTGGAATGAAAGGGTGACAAACCGGAGTGTGCCACTCCCACAGAGAGAGCGCATGCCAAAGTTGAGGTTCAGATATTCAGATGTAGGACGCGGTGGACGAGAGTCTCTGCTATGGAGACATCCATGCATACGGGTACAGCACATTGTATGCCAAGAAGGCATAACTGCTTTTAAAACCAATACATGTAAGCTGTCAAGCTCCTGCATGCCTGCTACCAAGAGTACATAAACCTTTATGTACTCTTGCTGCTACAGGTCGTCCCCCGTTAATACGAGTCCGGTTAGTACATAAACCCCGTTAGTACATAAGAAATCTCAAGTCCCGGACGAAACGTGATTCACTACCATACAAATTTTGTCGGTTAGTACATAACATTTCTTTATGTACACTTCGTTTAGTACATAAACCCCGTTAATACATAACATTAACAATTTTTGTCAAGTCCCAGAGATTATGTATTAACGAGGGACGTCCTGTACTAGGTACACTCCCACACTTACAGCATAACTTTTACAGCAGTACACCTGCACTGGAGTAGAACAGTAAACTGTCAACATAGTTGATATAAAAACGAGCTCCTCTACCCATGTTGACGAGTTCAATCGAGAAAAACTATCCGAATCTAATGCCCTGGGACCATAAGAAATGAGAGCTCTACAAAGAAAGAAGTATTTAGCTGAACGGCGTAGAACCGAGAGTCCAGAGCAGATAGAACGCATATCGCAACATACGGACAAGGTGGCAGCTGTTATGTAGCTGCACGATGAAATGAACTCAAGCTTGAAGTTAACCACAGACCCTAGAATTACCATCGAGCTTCGAGCCAGAGCGAGTGGAGTGCACATGTATTGAGAACTAAATAGAGCAACACGAAGCAACTGTCTGTACAAACAGTAAATAAACAAAGGCCAAGCTATGTACAACCAATTTCAGCATGCAGACACAGATAAGTCAAACTAAATGGAACAAATTAAAACATCAATAGCGAGTAACACAGAAATAGACAAGTACTTGGGGGGGGGGGGGGGTAGCAATACGCCAGGAAACAAGGCAGACAGCGCTAGATGAGCACGAAGAAAAGAAAGAGTGAAACGCTGTGAAGATACTTTTTAAAAACAAACTTTATTATTAATAGCAATTGTACAAGGCACTTTGCCTGTGTCACTGCTGAGGAGGCAACTTCACAAAATCTTGCCTAAGCACGAAGCCGGATCTGCATACGATGCGGTTTACATTTTTCCATACGACGAGCCCCAGTACATGTTCATCTTGGAGTCCACGTCTCCCAGGCCGCTGCTATCGTACATGGACGTCATCTTGGGCGCTGCACCGCTGGATGACTCCTGCTCAATGGTGGCCATACTGCCGGAGGCACTGTGCGTGACGGTGTGAGCACTGGCTGCACCCATGCCCAGCCGTTCCAGCTGCTCTGCCGTGCGCCCAGCGCCGACTGCACGCGTCTTCTGCTTGGTGCGCGTCGCTGCAATCTCGGACATGGACGATGAGGTGGCGGCGGCGGCACTGGCACTAGCCTCGGCTACCTCTCGCTCTTTATCAGTGTTCTTTACCTCAATCTCTAGCTTGTCGAAGTCTGCAACAACCTTTTGTGCACCAAGACCTTTCTTTGTGCCGCCGAGGCCCTTCTTTCCACCGGCTGGCTTCCGCTTTCCAATGCTCGATTTTACTGGAGCAGCTCCTTCTTTGGGGCGCTGGTCCAGTCCGTCCACCTTGGGCTGTCGGCTACTGGACGATGTGGCAGTCGCGGACGCACCATTGCTAGCACTAGCAAATGAACCTGCAGCAGGAGATGGGGATGAGGCAGCCAGCGTGGTAACAGCATCGGCAAAGAAATCGTGCTCCTTCTTCTGCGGGGACTGCAGATCTGAGCCAGACATGTTGATATGCAACTGTGTGCCATACAGCTTCATGGCCTGTGCTGCAAGCTGACTGACTTTGTCCTTGTACAGGGTAGCAGCCCTACTACTATACTTCGCAGCGGCATCTTTGGTGCTGCAGCCATGCTGGCGGAAGAATGCCGTGGCAGCTCCGTTGCCAGACACCTGCATCCTCCTAAGCTGCTCCCATGACCAACTATCCAGAAGTGAGGACCGAACAAAGGTCAGATGGACACCAAGAGAACGATGCACAGCCGAGCAGTCAATGCAAAGAAATACACCGTAGGTGACTGAAGTCCAGCTTGGGTTTCCAGCATTACAATCGAAGCAGTGTTTATTCGTCGGTGATGAGGACAAGCTCTTGAACACTTGCGAAATTTCCTGCTTCGTTGGTTCAGCCATTTCCACCAATTTCTTTCGCACGAAATGACAATGAAAATCCGACAATGGTGTTAACCGTCACCAGCACCCTATGAAGCGTGGTAGGACAAGGCTGAACTAAATACCTCAGGTCCCTGAAGTAAACTTAGAATACAATCGAGGGGAACCCTGGACACCGAGATCAAGACAAGAAGAAAGGTTGTCCTTCATGTAGGTTCTCCTCACAACTGACACAATACAAGTAACATTGATGATTGAGAGATTTCCATCACCAAAATCCAAGGATATCTGGCCTAGCTGGATGGTCGAAAACAGGGAGTAGTAAAATACAGGGAGGTGACACGCCACTAATCGTGATTTTTGATGGGTGCCTCGCGCTTGTTTTTTTTTCTTTCGCAAAAAAAGATGATCTGCTGAATCAATCTTGAGTATTTGTCGAAGAACTAATTCCGTGAAAAGGTCTATCCATCTCATGGAACAGCATTTGTTTTGCTCTTGTGATACATCTGTGTCATCGTCATATGGAAAGGTACCACCCTTCCGAAAATCGTCCCGATCGACGGCATGGAGCAATAGAAGGAAGGTGATTTCCTTGAGAACAATACGTGTACGATTGGAGATGAAAAGCGAGTGCACAGATTTTGAAGTCGAAAAAATCTCTAGGACACCACACGATCGCCCCTAATTTCTCCTCAGTTGTGATCAACCAGTACTTCTCTACCTTCTTTGTGATGATGAGCATTTCATATTATGGTATGCTAGAGATTCGGGAGTTCACTTTTCGGAATGAAATGTTCCTAAGTTTGTCAAGGATTGAAATGCGGGCTACGTCGTCGTAAACAGCTTGTATCGACACAGAAAAAATCTACGGCACGCAGGGATATCTCGCAAAGTGATACCACTCTTGCTGGACTTCTATCCTGACATAGTGGTAGTTTGGTCGACTACCAAACTTTGTGAAGGCAGACAATTGTTGGAAATTCTCAGCGCTGAGTTTCTACGGGCTGCAGTAGGAGTCTCTTTGGCGGTAGGTATTTTACTACTCCCTGATCGAGAGAATCCTGATCCGCGCGCGTGTCTACACACTTCGGTACCCATAGTACCCCAATCTCACCCGCCGGGTGAAAACGGTGCTGAGGCAATCGTCAACCTGGCCGTACATGCTCGTGTCACCTCCCTGTATTTTACTACTCCCTGGTCGAAAACAAGGAAGCACACGTAACGACACGTTACGTAGAATCTACACTTACACAAAAATCACAAAAATCAGCGATGGATCAGGGCAGGGAGAGTAGTAAACTTCGGGTATTTTACTACTCCTGTACTTGTTACTCATTGTCATGTCGATCAATGATTAATTATTATGTTTGTGTGTGTACAATGTACTTTGGGTGATCATATCACTGATCAGGTGATGTGTGCGAGACTGCGTCACCTGGTAGGCGCTAGGCCCAGACAGATTCTGCTCCGCTCGTATTATTATGCTCGGCAGGCCGCGAAAGAGAGCCCGTTACCTGGACCCCTACTCGCGCGGGTAGAGCGAAACTGAGCACCCTGGGATGCGAGCAGCTTTTTAGTACTCCCGGGTCCAAAATCTCACCACCAGGCCGGGATGATCAAAACGTCTGCCGGGTCTGCAGCCTACAAACGTGGATCTGCCGACACTGTGCTGTCGACGACATGTCCGGCAAGGCACCTCCTTGCGTGAAAGCAAGGAACGCTTTTTTTTTAGAAAGGAAGCTTCTTCTCCAAAATTTAAAATTTTTGAAAATTATTCCTTCTGAAAATATCATCGCGTTCTTGACCTCGAAGCTGACTGCTGAATGCGATTAGGAAAGAAGATTCCTGAAGATACACCAGACTGATTCTGGCAAGCCGTCTGTCGTCTAGATATGCAGTTGTTCGTCATGCATGGTCAGCAATCTTCCTCGTTCGTCCTTTCGTTTTCCTGACCACGATGATGACAAGCAGCTCTCATGCTCAGGTTAGTGCTGTACTTGTACGTCTGGGCACACAACACATCTGAGATTCACCCACTGACGTTATCGAACTGAAGAATGCAGCAAGGGTTCCTAGGATTCTCTTGATTTCGGAACAAATTTCCTTCACTTTCACCCTCTCAGTCTCTTCCCCATGCCCTCCATGCATGCACAATGCAGCTTGCATTTCAATTGCTGTTTTTTATACTTTGGCAGTGCCTCTGCTACACTTTCATATAGAGTGAGGTCCTGTAAATAGGATCGAACATTGTTGGTGGTGGTGTGTGTGTGTGGGGGGGGGGGGGGGGGGGGGTACGTTTGCAGCCAGGATGTAGGAATGACACTTCTGCACAGCAGGTGGCAATAGTCAAAACTGGTCACTCTACAAATCCCATACCTGCCAACCTTTGCAAACCTGAGATCCAATGACATACCTAGGCATGAAAATGTATACAAAAGAAGCTCGCGGTGAGGCATGGAACTAGTGCACTTTTGGGTGCCTATTACCGCCCTCGATATCGGGACGGTCCCGGCCAAATTGGGATGGTTGTCAGGTATGAAATCCCAACCGAGAAAACCATTTAATTAAAAGATAAACTCGGCCAGGACATACATAGCGACTTTCTGTTTGCCGGGGGGGGGGGGGGGGAGGGTCATCGTCCGCAATATTGGTAGAGTTACGGTTACATTGTATATGTAGATACATGTGCATCAGGGATTCATAGCACCTGGGGAGACGACATGAGACCTAAGTACCCAAAACGTTGTGAGTTGTGACCCCGGATGGGGTAGTTCTACGTGATCTGTGTTTCTATAGACCTTATTCGATAACGTGATTTTTGGACTCACCTCCAGGGATTTGTTGTAAGCTGGGGCACGCGTACGTGAAACGAGTGGCAAGAAAGGCCCAGTTCGTACAAGGGAGTAGTAAAATACCGGTATTTTTCTACTCATATGTTCCCACGCCGAGTCCACTGTGCACTGAGTGCAGGTCTCTTGCCGCTCCCTGGTTCCCGGGACCCTGGTTCACGTGATTGTGACGTTTATTGAATAAGGTCTACATGTATATGCGGGCATGCATAAATCCACCCTTCCACAAGGACGGCTCAAACAGGCAGCCAAGGAGTGAAAATTTCGCTCCTGGGGCTAGGAGTGAAACGAAGGCCTCAATTTGCCAGATGAACCTTCTCCATCGAAACGAACGAAGGTGTCGAATAATTCTTTTACCAGTTCACAGTTGCCGTTCACGCGCACTCCCCGGGGTGGGGGGGGGGGGGGGGGGGGCTACTATGCACTTGTAGTGATACTTACCATAAGCCAAGTGGAACACGACTAGTTGACTGCACAGACTACAGTACAGTATACATGCACATGTATACAGTGAAGATCAGTGCGTGCATGCCTGCCATAATCGTATGTTGACCTTCGTTCGAATTGAAAAGAGAGGGTCGTTTCGAAAAAGAAAAAAAGCTCGATGGAAGTATGATGCTGCTGACAATTCAAGACTCACTGAAGTCGCCTTTCTGGAATGGATCATGCACTCTAGGTTCATCCAATTGGATATGGACTCAAATCATTGTTACACCATTATTGTTTGGTTAGTTATTGTACATCCCATAGCATGTACAATCAACCTTGTGAATAATCTACCTCGGGTTTACAAAACAACTCGCAAATAACGACACAATCTTCAGATCTAGTGAACATTTGATTGCATACTTCCAACCTCACGAGTAACAACAATGCGAATAGCGACACTTTTCTCATTCACAATCGAGGGTCAGTATTCCCCAGGTTGACTGCAATTGCCAATCAAACAGGAGGGGCGAAAGTCGACCACGGCTGAAAAGGCATAAAGAAAAATTAATGTATATCATGAGCTAGATGGCTGAAGGAGGAAGTAGGTTTTCTGAGAAAGCAAGAAACAGAGGTGAATGAAGCACCAGGTCTGTCCATGCAGTGGATAGAATTATTGCATTGAAAGACAGGCTCTTTACATCAGCTTGCTACTATTATACCTACATTTGCTTTCTGCCTTTTTCATGCAGGATTCTGAAAGCTGGAGCAGCTCTGCTTATCTCGACCACTGAACTTACAACTAACTTCCAACCAAGTACAAAGGCAATATTATGATGAATCAAGCACGCTTGCCATCATGTCATCATTGCAAAGTACATCGACAACATAGATTTGGTGCCGACTATGTATGATGTAGAGTGTGCTCTATGTATCTATACTACTGATTGGCCTACATTGTACTTATGTGGGCTGAGAGTAATCGATTGTACTATATGGCAGTTTACTTGTATGTCATAGATGTTAACATTGCACACAGCTTCTGAAATGCTTTCTGTTGCACTGGCCTACTGCGGCCCACTGCAAATAGATTGTAGTGGCATGGGCCATGCCATAATTATAGTAGTATACCGGTACTACACCAACAATTTCACTGGTGCACTGTACTTACTGGTACGAGTAGATCTACATCATGCACAGCCTTGTCACTGATTTTCTCATTTTTTATTAATTTACTGTACTGTACACATTTTGGCACAGCTCTTCCACAAAGAGTTACTAGTATTTTCTTCTGCATACCTACTGTATACAGTGACCTGACTGGTAACATCTATGGCTGTGAAATCACAAATTTCTGGGTTGACAGCCTCGAACCTATACGATTTGTTTCTAAGAACGTGCTATAAGAAATTTTCTATTGAAGTATTCTACTGTAGCTCGCAGGACATGGAGTGCAATTACGTAAAGTTTGGAACACCACTCTTCTGTGATTTGGATGTCAAATTATGAAATTCAGTGTGTGAGGTAAACCCATGCATGGCATACACTGCTATAGTATGACTCGGGGTAAAGTGTTCCAACGCATACTCATTATAGTGAATAGTTGTGTGACCAACGTTGTTGCTGCTGGATAAATAGTACATATTCTGAGATAACTGAAGCTACACAGCCATCTAATGTTCAGACATGCATCGAAGGGGCCGTAACAAGATCTGCAAGGCATGATTCTATACCTGTATTTGATGCTCTCTAGCCTAGGACATTCACCTGCCTCATTTTCTCTGTGCTGCATTGATGAGTCCATTAGTAACTAAAGGACGAAACAGCATGCTGTCTGCAGATTGGTAATTGTGTAAAGACAGACGTGTATGTAGTGGTAAAGCTCAGATACATGTGCAACATAACAATCCCGGTGTTTGACAACAGCACAAACCTACACCGCAATTCTTAATTTTGGGCTGTGGTGTTCTTAGTATTCCAGGTTGGATGTTC